GTTTGTGCGATTTATTTTATTATATGAGGCAATAAACAGTACCTTTCTTTTTATGAAGAGAAAAGTTAAGAAGGAAGACAAAAATTACATTAACGCTTTTGTTCATGTTTTGCTTTCACTACTTTTAATTTCATTGCTAACTTTATAATACAAATAGATATATTATCTGAGATCATTGATATCAGTAATTCAGTTAATACTCCGGATTCAAAATCTAAACACAAAAATGTAGAAAAAAGAAAATTACTTACCATTCCGATGGAGACGATCCGCAATCATCATCCACGCGCATTCTTTTTTATTTTATTTTTATATTCCTTAAGTCTGTTATCCCATATAACGGGATGTCGCTGGATTTCAGCAATTAGACTGCAATCGTCGCTCATATCTTCAGCCATGTTGTTTATTGAACTTAGCGCGCAAGCTGCTGATGATGATTTGAAATACTCTCCTGATTGGTCGGTTCCATGTGTCGACTAGCTCCGTTTTGCGTGAAGTTCAGATTTTTCAACTGGGCCCGTAGTGACGAAAAACTGGTTTTTTCTAGCTGACCGGCTGTGTTGTTTGCGTCGGATGTGTTCGTTAGCTCCGATATGTTCCAGTGTGAACGGCGCTTAAGAGCGTCAACCCGTCCATTCCCCTCCGCGAAGTTGACGTTCTCAAAGAAAGATCAAGTATCAAGGAAACACCTGCTTTTATTTATCAAGTACACCTGCTTTTATTTATCAAGGAAACACCTGCTGTCTTTAGCAAAAATTTTGTCTAAGATGGCTGCCCCTATCTAATTTATTCTGGCCCTTATTTTGGCGCAAAATTAGACCTTCTGAATTTTTTTTTTTTTTCTATATTTGTTTTCAGTGTGAAGGCACTTATTCTTAAAAGCTTTTTTCGGCTTAACAAAATTTTTTACCGTATTAGAAAATTCCCTCTTTTGATGATGACAATTTACTCTTCAGATGATGTGGAGGTAAAGGCGTTTATGCCTAAGAACTCCGTTACACGAACTTCCTTGATCCTTGATCCTTGAGCCACCGCTAGCTCAATAAATAAAGGTGATTTAAATAATAAAATGTTAATTCACATGTCAAAGATCTCTTTGTACACAACATTTCTTGTGTAGATCTTTTCATCATTTTTTAGCTCGCCTTGCAGAGCACCATCCATTATTTTTAAATTTACGTCCGTTCTTTCACGAACTTTTGAACAGGCAACGTAAAGTTGACCGTGTCCAAATGCAGGTTCAGGTAAAAAAAATGCCAACACGCTTAGCGTTTGGCCCTGAGATTTGTTGATGGATGGTCATAGTAAAGGCACGTTTTACAGGAAATTGTCTACGTCTCAATTGAAACGGCAACCCTGTGCCGTGGCAACTTCACCCCATTGGCTAGTACAGTTACGCAAGCAACCAATAAACTATCGGCGACAAACAGCCACTTAATTCGCATATATATATGGGGGGGGGGAAGTACCATCATCTCCTCCGAAATGGCTGGCTGCCGAGCTTAGCGAAGCACACAGTTGGATTCCGCAGGTCCGTGGCACGCTATTTTGACCATTCGCGTCTTCGTGGGACTTTAATTAGCCGAAATATTAATTAAAAACTATATTTCCCCTACGTTTTCCCTACATTGTCCACTTTCTTTCTTGGGTTTTCCCTGTTAGAGAGATTTGGCTACATGCCAAATTCTTTTTTCTCGAGTATTTACGGAACGGCGCCGAGTTGAAATTCGAGGCGCGTATTCTCGGATTCCAAAAAATTCTCCGAATCCATCGGTACCGTTCTCATCTTTGTACGAGTTTAATCGGCCGAGATATTAATTAAAAACTGCGGAAACGTTAATTTCCGCGCTCATTTTTCCGAGTGACAACAATAAACTATCGGCGAGAAACACTTAAGCCGCTTATAAAGATGTTCCTCGCATTGTGAAATAACGACGGAACCTAGGTCAATCAAATTTTTAATAACGTATTCCTCCACCCGAGCATGTGCCCGTAGAAACCCGAATTTTAAGTTTCGAACTTTATACTGTAAAGTCATTGGGTTATTTTGAAGCAGGAGACGTGAAAAATATGCAACACCCTCGCCGGGATTCGAACCCTGGACCTCTCGAATACGCGTCGAGTATGCTTTCAGTTACACTACGAAGGCATGCGAAATGGAATGACCTTATAATATTTCATATTTTGTAAAATTTTAATGAACTTTTAATTAACAAATTCAACGATTTGAAAGTAAGCAGTGGCGTCACCGGAGATAAAACACTTTTATTTCCGGCAACCGGCAAGCGTGAGGGTGTATCAGAAATTCTAATGATATGCTGTTTTTAAATATTTAGTGATTTAGCTGTTCAATTGAATTTTATGCGCTATAAGTGCGAAGAACATGATATTTAATAAATGAATAGTTAGTTAATAATAAAAAAGGACAAAAAAAAAAAAAGAGCGCTTTGCAAGACATTTTTCTAAGAAAACTGAACATTTATATGATGAACTGAGAAAACACTAAATAAAATAGAAAAATAAATGCCTGCACTTTAACAAAGTTTGCGTCAGGAATTCTAAATATATGCTGCTTTTAAAATCTGTGTAATTTTGCTCTTGAATTGTATATGGGGGAAGTGCCAAGAAAATAATGCTTAATAATAAAGCTAAAAGAGAAAAAGAAATGGGTTAGCAAGAGTGAGTTTAACAGCAGATTGGTAGACTGTGAGCTCAGCGAGAGAGTAAAAAAAACCTTAACAAACCATTTTGGGCAACCTTGAAAATCTGAATCCTTTTTCTTTTAATAATTAGATTGTCCTAGCTGTTTCATATTTTGTTTTGTGTTTGCCAGAAGTGTTGAATTAATTCGGTATTTATCTTTAACCCGCTGAAACACCTTGAAAGATCGACTGTGATAATAACACTAATTTCTTATCGCGTAACTTGTTGCGTATTATTATATTCCTTATCGCGTAACTTTCTTATCGCATAAAGAGGAACGTTTTTGGTCGTCAGAGACAGAGAACAAACAGGAAACGCAGTGTCATACTTCTCAAGCTCAATGAAGTGCATTATAAAAAGTCTATTGTTCAAATTCACAGAATTATTTTCTACATTCGTAATCATAATATTTTGTAATGACTGATTATCCGCCTAGACGGTAGTGGTCAGGGTAACCGACTACGATACCAAAGGCCTGGGTCAGTACCACCTACATAGGTCATACTACACCTATGTAGGTGGTATAGACCGTGTTCGAATCCGGAAGCAGACATGGTTGTAACTATCCGTCCCCTTCACTTAAAATTCGCAAGCGCGCTTTACTCAAAATTCATTGATAAATAATTATTTTATAAAAAAAGTATGCGACATCCACATGCAAATTATAAAGTGCAAAGTTGGAAAGTTCGTGTTTGTTGTTGTTTGACTAATGCTCACTTGTCTGATCTATAGTCAGCCCAAGTCTATGAAATGCCTCATGGGAAGGAGCGATAGATTACACTTGCGGTTAGCAACCGCACCATTCAGGTGACAGTGCGATTTAGCTCAGTTCCACCCCTAGTTTTGATGGAGAGCACGCGGGGAGAGGGGTCCGAGGATCCTCCATCCGTCTTCCCCTACCATCAACCTCTCGAGAGGACTTTCGGATCGCCACATATTTAGAGTGCCCCCACGCTGTATGGACGCTATACATTTACAAACATCTATGCCTTCTTCGAAATTCGAACTCGGGCTTTTCAGCATGGCAGTCAGCGACGCTAACACTATACCAGCTGAGCGGCTGTATAGTTTGTGTTTCGTGTATTTTCGCTCCGAGGAAACGAGTTTGCCTTCTGTGAAAGGCTGATTGAATCTGCGTGTGAAATATCAGTCGTCATTTATGTTGCACCCTTAGCTGTGATTTTTGTGATGAAAATGCGGTATGAATTTTTTTTTGGCTTGTTTCCAGGCTTGTGTTCCATCGACAAATCCTCAATCATTAAGGGAGGGAAGAATTTTCGCATGCAAACTTCCGCTGTAGCTGTATAGGGGGGAAATCTTACCCCCAGTCGCAACCCCATTCCTGCACGTGCTACATTTACAAAGGCTTCGAATTTCTAAATGTTTTGCGCTACGAAATTTCGGCAGGAAATCACAACTAATACTCGTATATACGTCCGAAGTGTTGACTTCTTGACATATACAAAGTGTTGACTTCTTAAGTGAAAAACCTTTGAATGCAGAAATTGAGAGTTGTGGAAGTCTTGTCTACTTACAGTAACTTTATAAGGTATTTTCTTCCTTCTTCGTAGTGTAATTGGAAGAATATTCGACGCGTATTCGAGAGGTCCAAGGAGGTTCGGGTTCCGGCCAAGGCATTGCACATTTTAGTGGCATCCGAACTAAAAGGGTCGTGAACGATAATTCGTCAACATCAGCATTTGCCGACTGTGTCTCCTAATTCCATGGTCGCCTATTAAAAGGAAGGGTATTTAAGGTATTTTCTCCTTCCGTCTGGTGTAATTCGAAGGCATATTTTACGCGTGTTCGAGAGGTCAAGGATTCGAGATCCCTCGACGGCACTGCACATCACATTCCTCACGTCTCCTGCTTCCCCCCCCAAAAAAAAACACTAATGTCTACAACTTTTATTATGCTGTTAGATATAAATTAGATTGCAGCGCCCATAGAGGTAAATTTTGTAATCAAGCTATGTTATCATGTAAATTATGGTTTGGTTTGGTTTATTTAGTTATGGCAAAGCACACTACGGCTATCTGCCTAAGGGAAGGGATGCCTTCGTGGAGGACTTTCTGAGGGAACTGGCTCGTATACACGTTACACATGGGAAAAACCAAAAAACCGCCCATGCAGCCAGCCCGTTTGGCGGGATTCGAACCTCGGACCGAACTACCAGTGTTCAGCGGCTTTACCGCTCGGCCGCTGGTGAGCGCCATGTAAGTTATGAGACACAACGAAGTTTTATTGTTTTGTGTATATGTATTTGTAATTTATTATTATTGTATTTATTTCATTAGGACGAAAGACCCGAAATCGAAAGGTGCCGCGAAAGGAGCACCTCAACCTGTAGGACCTCAACTTGTAGGCAAATCGATGCCCATTGGTGCCCAACTGCAACTGGTGCGAGCTGAAAACGCCTTCTTGAAGAATTTTGTGCGCAGAGCCCTTCAGAGTAAAGAGCAAGATATCCAGTTGTACAAGCACACAATGAGCTGTGTCCGCGAACTGTATGTAGCAGCTCTCCATAGGATTCAATCAGCTACACAAACGCTTGGTGCAGGGACATCATCTGCGTGAATTGGCTTGTAACGATTTTCAAAGGAAATAAAAAAAAATTTCTGTTCTTTCCAACATTAGTCCTGGAAGTTCTTCAAAATCTTGTTATCCTTCGTATACAAATCTTTCTTTCTTGTTACCTCATTACGTAATATTTTCCCTTTGAAAATATATTAAGGAATTTTTCTGAGATCTGTTTCTGGTTTCCCGATAGTCAAGTTTTATATGTGTGTAAAGGGTTAACTTTTTTAAAAATGTTACAAAAAAAAAAGGATGTGAACTTTTATTACATAAGTATCATATTGAAAAGCTATAATAGCTTAATAGCTATAATAATGTAATAAGCTGTAATTATGCTAACTGTTATGTCTTGTAGAGACATTAGGTATTTTCTGAAAGCAGGAGTGATGAAAAATGAGCAATGCCTTCGGCGAGAATCGAACCACGGACCTCTGGAATACGTGCCCAGCGTGCAGATCACCACACCATGAAGGCACTCTAAGAATTCGGGAGAACTACCTTATACACTCCCCCTTTCTTAAAGGGCGACTGGAGTTTTTAGGGGACCCAGTCGCCAAATTCTGGGTGCGAAGAATCGTCATCCACCACCCTTTTAGTTCGAACGCCACTGTAGAGTCATTAGGTTATTTTTAAAGCAGGAGTGATGAAAAATGAGCAACACCTTCGCTGGGAATCGAACCACGGACCTCTGGAATACACGCCCAGCGTGCAGACCACCATACCACGAAGGCACGCTAAGAAGGCAGGAGAAATACCTTATAATCTAGGCTCATAAAAGTCTTAAGGAACTTTAATACTTCTTGTTTATCTCTGACACGACCTATACATTTCAATATAAATAAATATCCATTATAAATAAACATTTTTATTAAAATATATACTTACTAAAATGATTGTTTTCAAAAATTTTCATTTTGGTCTCGAAAAAGTGAGAATGAAATATTCTTTACAAATTATCATAGTCATAAATATGATACAATTGCAAGTGTTTACATGAAGTTTTTGAGCAAGTCTTTTAAAGTTTTTTGGCAATATTGATCAGTCAGTATTATTAATAAATTTTCCTCGAATCGTCTCCATTATGCAGGAGTGACGGCGCTGGCTTGAAGATCGACTGCACATCTTTCACAGACAAATACCTTATCGAGACTGGGTTAAATACTCCTCGTGAGTCGTGTATCTTCTGCATACATTGCTCGCTAGTTTAATGTTCCATCTGCCTATATTTCGATCGCCATTTTCTTTCTCTTGCCGTAAGACATTTTAGAAGAGAGCAGTTTTCATATTATGCGTTACTTCACTGCATAAAGTTTAGTTGTTTAGTATGAGTCTAATTCAAAATTATCTCATACGAAGCGGAAACTATCGCACCTGCTTTTAAAAATTTCTTGAAGTTGTGCGTTTGCGCAAAATACCGCCATCTGATTGTTGGCTATGACAGAGGCTTCTGAATACTCAAAATTAAATTGTTTATGACATCATACCACTTCGCAGGGGAGTCTGCAGACTCAGTTAGTCACCCTGGCATCTCTCTTCTAAATGTACTTTCTTGCGCATTCAAAAATTAACAAAAATCCTTTATTCTAATACAGACTTGTCATCTTCTTCTGTAACATCGTCATAAAGTTCCAGACTATGAATTCCGGCCTGAATATTTTGCAACATCATTTCCTTTTTGGCCCTGTCCTCTCATATTGAGCAATATGAGAGGTTGAGCTCTCCTCAAATGAGCTTATCCATGTAGGCCACCCGTAGGGCATTCGCAACACAGATCTCCGTTATTTTATCCTGTGCATTCTTCAAGTAACGACTTTTTGGATCTTAGGCTTCACAAAGACTTCTTAGGCTTTGATTTCTCTCCATTCTATTTTCAATGTGGTCATTGATTTCTATGAACAAATCGTTTTTAAACGGCTTGTTTACTACAATTTCAAGAGTTTGTTGACATACAGTCATTCCAGAGAGAATCATTATTTGATCACTTCTTCTTTCAGCGAAGTTCTTCATGGTTTTAATGCTGTGAATGCTGGCAGCATCCCCCATTAGCACTACTCTTTGGCTACTTTTCAAAACAAAAGGTAGAAATAAATCGACTCACTTATTCCTGCTTGCCAACAAGAGCTTTCAGTCTCAAAACTAAATGCCTGAAACACATTCGTTTTCTTCTGTCTTGCCTTCAGAGATGATTACAAGGGGGCGGGGTTCTTTTCATGGAGACGAATTGCCAAAGTAATGCGTACTTGTTCGTAACCCGTAGAGGGAATGTATATCGCAGAGGCACTCATGTGATGAGTGGTAGTTTAAGGCTTTTGATACATAAATCCTATACTTTCTTCCAGTTCCTGTTCGAGAGTTCCTGCAGTCCTGTTTGAGAGTTGGTCCTTAGAGAAGTCGATGCCGTCAATGAAACACTTGAATGCAAATGCTCGTTTAATAACTTTAGTATCTTCTATTCTGAACAGTATTGTTAATCTTCTTAGGGACAGTTCATATCGCTGAAGGAAGCCATTCACCCAGTGTTGTGATGTTTTGAATTCGTCAGGTCATATATTTAGCTATAGTCAATGCAAGGTGAAGCTATAACTAATGCAAGATCAAATGCTTAGATATCAGCCCTACGAACAACCAAACACTTTGCTGTTCTGTCATCAATCCCTTCACAGATGATATGTTCTAATTCAGGAAATAATGGTTGCCTACCTGATTCATACTTATGCTTCTTGGCATTTTCCTCGTCGACTTACTGACTGAGGTTATTGTGCGATACCCCACTTTCAGACCATTCGTAGATTCAACTTCTTTGCAGAAAGCTGTAAGATTTTTGTCTCTGGAATCTTCCACAATTCCTTTTCTGTACTCGATGGAAGAGCTGTTTCTTTTTGCACTCATTTTATGAGCATTTAAATTTATTATTAAATCAAGTGTTAACTCTTTCGCATCGAAGTCGCCCAAAGCGCCCTAGCATTCAGACATCGGCTCGACGCCCGAAACGCCTGAATAATTTCCTACCCAGTGCTTTCCCCCATCACGTTACTGCATTACTCATTGCTTTCAGGTGTTGTTAAATCACACGTCAATCATTCTTTGTTGTCAGTTTCATTGTTTCCTTTGTTCCTTCCTTTCCTTTGCTTACTGTCAGTGTTTAGCTTTTGATGCCCGAAGTTGCAATCCCAGTGTCAAATCGTCGAAGAAAGAAGTTCTCGCTTTACTTAAGTAAGGTTATTGTTAGCGCTGTAGTATTCAACTTGTCATGGGGGAAGGAAAATCATTCCAGGAGAAATTCTTAGATACGGGCGTTTTCGATGTTTGGGAAATTGAGATTTTGTCCTCTCTCGATGCGAAAGAGTTAAACGTCTGTTGCTAACGAGACGTATTGAATAATGAAGACTCTAATTTGCCGCAACCATGTCTGTTTGTTTCAAATGTTCATATGTGTTGCGTCTACCCTTGGTCATTCGCAATAAGGCGTCCGTCTTACGGTTCGATCTTAACTAGCTTATTTTAGGACTAGGGCTTATATCAGGAGTACCCGGAAAAAAGTTTTGTGATGAGATGTTATTTTCGATTATTTGCGGTAGCGAAGGTGACTTTTAATACATTATTTGGAGACGTGTTTTTGCCGTTTAGCAATTTCTTTATTCTCTTTCAACTCAATTTGCCAATTTAATTTAAATAATATATCCTGCAATATTTTGATAATATCTTTGATAATATTTTGATCAGCTTTGTTGATCACAATATAGTTTTTGTGTTCATAATGGGGAAGCACTTGACGACTTGACGGCTATCTGCCTAAAAGGAAGATGCCTAAAGGGAAGATGCCTTCTTCGAGGACTTTCTAAAGGAAACTGGCTTTTAAACCCTTGGCTAAGAAAACTGGCTTATGAATACGTTACACGAAACCACAAATCGCCCAAACAGCCAGCCCGTTCTCCGGGATTTGAGAGCAGGGCCGAACTACCAGCGTTGTGCGACTTTACCGATCGGTCGCTCTTGGGCCTGTTGATCACAGTAACAGATGGCATTTATGTGGCCGCGGGCCAAGGAAGTTAGCCTTGACGGAAAGTGGGCTCCCAGGGAAGAGTCCTGTCTCAGGCTAAATAAGAAATGATTTTTCATATTTCGTATATAGGGCCATTCTTTGGCAATTCGATAACAATATCCGAATGATAACATTAACAGCAATCCTATTACGCCGAACGTACTGTATTTATCATTTCCTTAGGCCCTTTCATCGCCTAAGGAAGTGATTGCGCCTAAGGCTCCAATCACATTTACAGTATGGATTATGGCCGATGCTATTCGCACCAACATGAACCACGTATGCGCATTGGCTTGTCAGATTCATCAATTAAACCCAATCGAAAGGAACGGATTCTTCGTTCGCGAACTGCTGTAGTGAATCTTTTTTTTAAAAAAAGGCGGGTTTCTACCTTGGCGTAGTTTATCCTTTTTTAAGCGTTGGCGACTTTCAAAAGTTTAGAAAGGAAAATGGGTTCCTTTTCTTATAAAAAGAAGGAACACATTTCCTTTTATTAAAGTATATAGAAAAAAGAGCAAATTTTTATGTTCGCAATGCTTACCTTTTCCTGAACGGTTTGAATAGTTTAAATGTCTGATTTGGGGGGGGATAAAATCCTGTTTACATTTTTTGTACTTCTTAGAATACATTTAGCTTTAAAGATGTGTTTTTCGCAATCAAGACTTCAATTCATTCTTCTTTGAAAAATTTCGTCCGATAAAAGATACTCAAAATTAGACAGAGGATTTCTGTGTAGAAAATTTAGACATGAAATAAGTTAAAAGCGATTATATCAACTGTTAAATGAATTATTCTGTGTGTCTGCTTATTTGTTTTATGGAAATACTTGGCATTTTCAGGACACAAAAAGTGCTTCAAAGAACTTTGAAATATTAGTACAAACACATTAATAAATTAAATTGAAATAAATAATGGGATGTAATTTAAAAGACAATAATTTAATGTAAGAGATTTAGATTTAAATATTTGCACACCCAAATGATTTATCAGATTTTGTAAGGTTTTATTTCATAAATAACTTTGATTTTGAAATATAGCATTTGAACCTATAAACCTGTGTGGATCAAAATCGTAAAAACAACCTTGTATTTAGCGTAAGTATATTGAAACACTCAATCGATTTCGAGGGCAGCTAAAGGTTCCTCCTCATCAGGAGAAAGAAACACCTAGAAAGAAGAAAAATAAAGGGGAAGGAGTCTTAGAAACACGTGGTCCTTATCAGCACTGCACGTGGTTGTAACCGGATTTTTAATCAGAGTTGCACTGGCCGCCTACTTTTACTGAGCCAGGATATCTAATCAAACATGTAACACAAAGAACAAGAAAAATGGCGAAGTTAAAAATAGAGAGCGAGGGGCAAATGCACCTTCACGCTTAAAATCTGAACTTCGAATAATGAAACTGAAAAAGTGGATACTGAAAAAGTGATGAATATATAAGAATATTATCATTTTCAGTAAGTTTTCTTACTGAATAATAAATTCTGACAGTCCTATGCTATAAGACTAGGGTCTAAGTTTGCATAAAAATTCCTCTGTTAAATAGAATTTAAGTAATTTCTGTAGCCTTTTTGTCAACACCCTAAAGATTTTTTAACTATTTACTCGTCCTCGCTTGCAATTAGACCCATCATTAAATCCCTATTTTATCTAATAATTTCCTGAACATTATCATGTATATAGATTAACCTCGTCTTTTTAACTGATAATTATTACTTACAAATTATTCTTTTCTGGTGAACTATTAACAACATTCGCTCTCACTACCGCCTGCCTTACGGAAATCGGCGTAAAATGCTGGTACCTGGGCTGATTTTGTGCATACACGAACGTAGGTGGTGTGAATCAAAGCTGTATATATAATAGCTTTTGAAACAGCTTTGGTGTGAATAGCCTGTTAGCTATTCGCACCATCGGTGCGATTAGCCACTGCGATGGATTATATATCATTTATCTTTCAATAATTATTCTCCAAAATGCAGATATGAGAATGAAATACATAGTAAGTACATTTACTCTTATCTAAACAGTAGAAACCTTCTTCAAAGGTTCAAAGGAACAATCTTATCTTATTTATTTAAAAAAAAAAAGAGAAAAAAAGAAGAAGAAGAAGAGAAAGAGATAAGCATATTTATCAGCGCTAGGCAACTTAACTCGTTCTTTACGCTGCTCGACAGCTAACGAGAAACATGGCATGTCGTGTCTTGATCCGGTCTCAAAGGGTAAAGTATTTTTCAATGTAAAATTTCGCGTTATGTTTTTCCGCGTCTAGATTTTATTTGTTTTGTATAATGTTGTATGAAATTTGCTTTTACGTGAGGAATATGCTTACATAAAAGAAAGGAAAACGAACTGATTTTGACCTCTGTATCCAAGGGCATCTTTTGAGCGACCGGATTCATAAGTTTTTCGCGCTTTAATTTTAGTGCAGACAATTTGTGTTTAAAATATCCCTTTAAAAAAAAAAAAAAAAGGTCTCCTTAGTAACACCAGTAAGCTCTAGACTATTTTTGGTTTAGTAAATAATTACCTCCTTTAATGTACAATTTGATTTGTACGGGCATTCGGCTTGTATTATTAACTAAATTTAAAGGCCACTATCATTTATTTTTTTCACTTACGACTTTATACATACATTTTTCATCCATACCTTTATGCATACCTTTTTAAATGTGCAATATCTTAATATTGGAAGGTTACGAATTAGAAAATGTCCTAATAACAATGTTTTCTTTTGTAATAATTTAGAAATTATTTATTGTACTTAGTAAATGTGTAATAATACTAAATTAAGTGTTATTAATTAAATTGATCATTTTGACTTTTTGAATCATTTTGAGTCATAATATATTTGGAGTATCATCTACAAAAATTTGTGTTTTATCATCAGGATACGGTATTTATATGTAACATATGTTAATGTTCTCCTTTTGGCTGTGTGTACATATATAAAAGGAAGAATTGATGTACTGTTAGAAATGATGCAAAACTATTTTTTTATGAGTATATAGATAGTATATTTCTAATTTTTTTATTACTTATTAAGGCTAATATTCAGTTATTGTTGAAAGGACAATATATATGCAGTATGTAAATTTAGAGTAATGTATTACATTTTTATATGCTATCATCAATCATATTTTCACTTAATGTTCATTAAGGAGGTATTAGATACTTTTAGAAAGACATTGCGGTAAAGGAATAAATCATGTGCATTATAATTTAATTTTTTACTCACCTCCTTTTTTTAATATTCGTGTACTCTTGTGATAAGGTACTTAAGACATTATTTTTTTTCCCACCTGCTATGTACAGTTTTTCATTGGTCATTTTCTCATGTGCATTCACATATACGTTATTACAAAAGTACTCCCACAATGCATGGCAAATGCATAATGGAGAAATACCAAAATATTTAAAAAATTTATTCTTGGATTATAATCTAATAATGAGTGTATTAAATATCATTAGATATATTTCTAGAATGGAAATCTAATAATGACTGTATTAAATATCATTGGATATATTTCATGAATGAATGTTTTCAGAATAGTAAAATTGCATTTTCCTTGAAGTACTATATTAGCAATCAAATGATAAATGCATTAAGGTAAAATTTTTTGGGGCAGCTATGCACACTTTCTTTTATCTTTTTTCACTTTTTTTTTACTTCCTTGTACGAAGTAAAAAGGAAGTATTGTAATCGCGAAAAGTTTCAGGCAGCATATTTCAACGAAAATATCCATTTTGACCGCTATCGAATGCAATTTAACGATGTTTTTGTGTGATATCTGTACGTAAGGACAGAATAAAAGGCTCATTTCCTCCAAAAAAAATTATAAAACTGCTTTAAAATGAATTCTGAAGAGAATTTTTCGTGGCATCTGTACGTACGTATCTCGCATAACTCAAAAACGAGTAGCCTCAGAACGTTGAAATTTTGTATATAGGACTGCTATAACATGTAGATGTGCACCTCGTATTTTGGTTGCAATCGGCCGCACCAAACGTATATAAATATATATTATATATATATCCACTCTGTTACCCGGCTCAGTGATCTCAGTTTCTTTACTCTTATATGTTTGTAAACTGTACATTTTTTGCTTTAAAAATGATTGAATTATGTTGTTCTTATCTTCCGGTTAAGGTTCTTATGCCTTTAGTAAATCTGTATGCAATATTTGTTCAATTATCAACAATTTAAAAGCTGTTCAAGTGCGGTTAAGCCTTTTAAATAACATGGCGGACATATTTTTTTACATTTGAAACAGCAGAATAGTAGATTTGTTGCCAATCTAGAGAGACTAAGCTTCGCAACAACAAAGATAACGCCTTCATTTATTATTGCGAATTAAATCATGCTTAATCCTTTCTAGAATGTTTTCGAGGAAATAAGTGTTTAAGATTTACTTAATTTTAATAATTAGTAATTTTAATACAGATATTTTGAGTTTTTATGTATTTTTGTCGTTGTCGCGAAGTGAAAACTGAATTAATTGAATGAGAAATACTCAATCGTCTGTGAAAAACTGTTTCTTTTTTTTGTTTTTTTTGTTCGTTTGCTTAATTTCTTTTATACATCGTTCTAGCTTTATTATAGTATTTGAATAAGAACATGTGGCAACGATTAGATAATTCTTTAAAATGATATACAATTTTGTGCATTCTGAGTTATAATGAATTAAATATAATACTGTTAAGTGAACCTAGCGCCAGAGTGTCGCTATGGTAAACAAATAGAGTGAATTTTAAAGAATGCATTTATTCTATTGTGGTTTATGCGCTGTCGGCGAAGTAGATTTAATTCAATCCAATAAGTTTAAAAGAAATGCAAGAAACAAATGCGTATAATTTAATATTCCGTACAAGGAAGTCATGTGGTGTACACATCAGATTTTTTTTTAAGAGTTCGGATACAGAATTTTATTACATGTTGTTTCATGTTATCCATACTTACCATTTCAAAACTGATATGGTGGTGATGTAATATTTAAAAATATATTTGTGGTATTTTAAATTATAGAGTTTTAAAACTTGACTCCAAATAGGTTAAAAGTATTTATAAGCTTCTTTTTTCAATTTTTAAATTTCTTCAAGCATTTTTAGAAGTATGAAATATATTTTATGGTAAAACAATAGAAATCTTACATATGCATATAACATGTGAGATGGAAACAGGAATTTGGTGATGATCCTAACCTGGCGTTTAGAAAATGAGGCCATTATAATAAAGAAATTTCGTGATTATTTTTCTAATACTACAAATTCATTAAACATCATCTGCATAATGAATTCCATTTTTTAATTATGATTTTGAAGATTATTTGGACATGAGCAGTAGTTCTATTGTACTTACTGATATGTGAGGTTTTCTAGTTGTTAAATATCATTCTACATAAATAATTACTTTATTGCATTGTGGGAAAATTCTTTATTTAAAATTGAATTTGTAATGAAATAATTAAGCTGAATTTTTCATTTTTAGCATTTTAGTACAAAAGTCATTGAAAGCATACGTTTTTTAACCAGATGTAATCTTTTTATAAGACCTTTGTTTGAAAATTATGTTTTAGGCCTTGTCACCCCTTGACCCATTTGTACAGTCAAGATGTTTTCACATATCTCCTCTTGCATCTGTTGCACATAAGGTATGTTCATAATTTTTATTATAAAATATCTTAAAGTAATTGCTGTTATGTCTGTGCAACGTATTTGTCTATTAAGTTTTGGTTTATCAACACTGTGTTTAATCATTCATTTAAAAAAATATATATTTCAGTTTTAAAATGAGCATTATTTAGTAATGAGCTTGGTAATTATTGTATGTAAAATGAATGAATGAGAAACTTTATGAAAGAAATAAATGAAAACATGTAGGTTAATAAAATTTTAAACATGGACTGTGATTTTTTTTACTATTCTATTATTCTAATTAAATTTGGGAATTCCTTTGTTTTGATATAAGTGCATAAAGGTTAGTATCTGGTTGTAGCAAAAGTTTTGTGCCAAGAAACATTCTTAATAAATTTAGAAAGAAAAACATGAAAGCAGTAACTTCAGTGCAGCTAGTAATCACCACTGAAATCTATGATTTTCTGCCAAAATTTTGGTAGTTTTTGAAAGCCTTTGGGTCAGAAACTTGGTGGCCACTAATCCAAAAACAGATCATCCTCATTTTGGATGTTATGTGCAAAATGGAAGATAGCACTTGCAAGATGTGGTTGCAGATGTGAAAAAAAGGTAAGTCTGAAAGAGCGATGGTGACCTTTCAGGGCTATATTGTGGGTGTGGCAAAAGATTCTGTTCAAGTCCGTAGAGTCCACCCAGTGAATGCAGACACACATTATCTTGATGGGACATTATCTTTTTGTTTCTGAACTCAGTTCAACCTTTTTCCTTGATAGCAGCATCAACATGGGCTAGCATCTCGCTGTATACCTTTCTCTCAATGGTTTTACCTTTTTTCAGATACCCTTTGTGGATAATATCATGGGAATCCCACTTGATACAAAGCATGCTTTTTGTTAGTCAAATTGCACTTTGCGATGCTGCTGACAGGCTCAATGGTCACAGACCAATCCCCTTTTCGACCTGTATTGTTGATGTAAATCCACTTTTCGTCAGATCTGGCCAGAATTTTTTCCTTGCGTTGATAGAGCAAATAAGTGCAGGCTCAAACACATTTGTCTTTATCTGCTTGAGTCTACTCATGCACACCCAGTGATTGAACTGGTATGTCAAGTTTATGCGATGCATAATGCTACTAACGGACATAGCACTAATGGCTAACTGTTTAGAAAGGTCTCGAGTGGTTTCATACTGATCTTCTTTCGCAAGTTCTCGTAGGCGGATCTCATCAACATCAATAGGCCAACCTGAGTGCTCTGTTTCTTGAATCTCATAGTCCTTTTTGAACTTTTGGTACCAAACCTCCACAGTGTCATATGATACAACATTAAAGGTGTGCACATGATTTGTGGGACATTCTGTAGCCGATGTTTTGCATCACAACTGGAAGTAAATGATTTTTCTTATTTGGTAGCATGATAGTTCCATTTTAGATACCTTGTACTTAATAATGACAATATTTTTTATAAATTTCACAACAGAGTCCTCTAAAGCAAGTCTCTTTCAAATTCCAAAAATCATGACAAAATATGATTAAACATGCCAACACGAACTGTTCACACAGGCGATATTTGCGGTGGTGGAAAACTTTTGTTAAAACCCAATATATTATGCATTATAGATTTTTTTCAAGTGAAATATTTTAGGGAAGTTTCTGATTATGCAAGTACAGTACCAATAACAGTAAAGTCTTTAATCCGGAATGATCTATAATCCTTACCTCAAAGCTACAAACTTTCTGCGCATGTTTATAATATGTTTACGCATGCACATTTAATGTATAACAGATGGTATAAGCTAGGCTAAAATTATCTATTTCAGTTAATGCTACAGATTGCGTTGTTTCTTAATCTTCTAATTGAATCCAGCTTATTATTTTTTGCAGACTGTTAGAGCAATTTTATAAAAAGTAAGTTTGATCTTTCGATTATGTCAAAAAGAGTTTCCGATTCTGGAGCTGCCAAAGGATTACAAAGCGAAAGCATGTTTCGATGTACCGTTTCCGATAGTGAAGAAAGTGACAGAGAGGTTATTGGAAACGAAAAAATTTTGATTCCCAAGTTGGTCGGTATTCTCGACACAGCAATTACAGGACTTGAACAGTGGAACTGAACGAGAAATTATGTCTGTTTATAGAATTAAAGAGAAAGTATTAGCACAAAAAATGAAGCAACTTAAAACAACTTACATTAAAAGAAATGTTTAATAAAGTAAACTAATAAATATTAAGCTTTTTTTTTGTAAATTTGTGTAAAAATGTATTTACAGTGTGTGTGTGTGGGGGGGGTCATAAACTTTGTTTTACTTACTTTACATTTTTTATTTAAATATAACTCCTAAGTAACCTAATACTGGCAGAAAATTAAAAAGTATAAACTAAATTTTCATATATTTCCAGTCCATTTGAGCAGCAGTGTATTTCTGAAAAATATTTTTGCCAGGATTTTGATGAATTCAAAAACAATTTTCTGATATTTAGAAGGGTTTGCTCTGAGCATATTGTTCAAAAAAATTTCAAAATTGTATTTTTGATGAAACTTTGGCTATTTATTTACCTTGAAGAGAACTTTTCTTAGGTCTTGGAGTATCATTATATAAAGCTGGTGTTCTAAAATGTGATGAATTAAAGTATCCCAAATATGTTCATTTGGTTTCCATTTTTTAGCAATCCAGATTTTCCAAATATTTAGGAATAAGTATCATTTGATGATGATTGAATTGTCTAATGTTAAGATTACCAAAGGCTTAAGAGAATTTTGCTTGCAATTTCTTTGGATATGCTTGCAATTTTGGCCTTATTTTTTTTTTTAGACTAAATTTTTTAGACTTTTAGACTTAGGTTTAATTATTTTCAAGCATTGTGATTGCTGTTCAATTAACAGTTTCTGTCTCTCTTCAAAGAAATGTCTTCATGCAAAGAAAGTAATCAAGAGTGTTTGTTCCTTAAAACCTATTAAAACTAGATACACAAGTGATAATTCCTTGACTGTTTCTTTCTTTAATCAAAATATGCTTGATATTCACAATATTCTAAAAGTTGTTACATGTGTATTTTAAAAACTTTGTTTTATATTCATATTTCAGGTTGCTATGAGCAAGTTTGATAAGGATGCCCATGTCCCGTATGAGAAACTTACCAAAAATTTGGAAATTGTTCGAAATAGGTAATTATGGAATTTTTATTATAATGCAGTTTGTTTAGTATGCATTGATAATTAATAATGATCTGACTTGTAAACTTTATTTGGTAAATGGACTTTTTTTTTTTTGTAAACTGTGGAAATATTTTCTGAAGTGTTTTTTTGTTTATTTCATTTTAAATCTAATTATCTGTATATATAACATACACTGGTGTAAGAAATTAAGAGAATTTTCATATTTGATATACAATATTTAGAACTACTGGACAGATTTTAATAAAATTTGGTGTGAACACAGGTTAATATATTACAAACAAAATAAACATTTGACAGTTATAATAGACACATATATTCATGTGTAACACTCATAGGAGTGTCTTACAGTGTTCAGAGACACCAAGAAAGGGTTAATAGGGATGTCCCTCTTATGCAGCGTAAGTCATATGGATAAAGTCATGCGTGGCTTTAATATCCCCAAAAGTCCTGCTATGCTGCCTCAACGTGGCGGGGGGGGTGTCACTGGGCGGAACGGGCGAAGTACGTCGGGAGCATAGCTCCTGGTAGGGCCACCCTAGGCGTGAAGGCCGTTCCAACATGCCCAGCTAAAGCATAGCAGGTGAAGAACCCTCAGGGGATTGCCGTCTTGGTGATCGGGTATCACACTCCCGGGGCCCCAGTGACCTTTCCTCCTCTCTTTCCTCTCCTCTTGTCTAGCTCTCTCTCCTATTTTTCTCCCTTGTGGTTTCCTCTACTGGAGGTTGGGGCTCACTGTGAGATGCAGCTACTACTCTTGGTTTCTGTCTCACCATGGTGAGAATACCGCCTATGCGTTTGCCGTGCATGGTGACCCGTAGGGTGGGAAAGGAGGATCCTGGCAGTTGAGGGGCGAGGTACTGTCCCCAACACACTGCTTTGGCCTCTGCTTCTACTTAAAACGGGAGGCACTTAGCTGTCCCCGCTAGTGTCAATCGGCTGGCCACTAGTCCTATTGGTCAGTGGCTAGGGGATAAGCTCTCGGAAGTCTCCGCTTTTGGGAAAGCCGACTGTGGGGGCTTCAGTTTGCGTATAGGCCCGGCTAGCCCTAACACAGGGATCTGTGTTCCCTTGTTGGGCTCCATGGTGGGTGGGGCGGTCGGGCCCGAAACCTTCTCTCTTTTCAATATGAATACTTTAACTTCTTCTCCTAACCATATGGATACGAAAAATTCTGGAGCTGCTAAAAGAATTTGTACTTCGACCTTAATTAGCACAAACAAATGTCCAAAGTTCTTAGTTATCACTGGTGAGCTAGAAAATCTATCACCATTCTTCATCCATAAGCATATTGTGGCCTCAGTAGGCGAGCCAAAACACATAAAAAAGCTCCGTTCAGGATCTCTGCTCATCGAGACTACATCTGATGCACAATCTTCCTCTCTCCAAAAAAAAAATGACCAAAATGGGGGAACATTCTATTACTGTATCCCCACATAAGTCTTTGAACACGTCAAGAGGTGTCATTTCGGAAATAGACTTGATATCAGTCTCTGAGGATGAACTTTCAAAAGAACTCGCCGAGCAAAATGTATGTGGCGTCCGCCGAATAAAAGTCCGTAGAGACGGGCAACTCGTCAACACAAAACATCTTATTCTGTCTTTCTCCTCTCCAGAGCTACCGAAAGCCATTAAGGCAGGTTACCTGAATTGCCCCATCAGACCTTACGTGCCGAACCCACTGCGCTGCTTCAAGTGTCAACGGTTTGGCCATGCGAAGGCCGCATGCCGGGGAAACCTGGCATGTGCTCGCTGTTCTGCAGGAGGTCACGAAAGTCAGGATTGTGTAGCTGATCCAAAATGTGCAAACTGTCATGGCAATCATCCAGCATACTCACGAAACTGCCCTAAGTGGAAAGAAGAGAAAGAAATACAGCATATTAAGACTACAAGAAAAATCTCCTATCCTGAAGCTAAGAAACTTTTTAGCACGGGTCAGTCAAAAGCAAATGTCTCCTATGCACAAGCCACTAAATCATATCGGTCAATAAGTACACAAACATCGCATAGCACACAGAAGAAGATACCTGAACCAAAAACAAATGACAAAGAAAAAGTCTTTCTTCTACCTCCTCCCAAACAGACAATAGAAAGTCGAGAAATAAAAACACACAAGAAACAGAGAGTTCAAAAAAGAAAATCAAAAGCTCAGAAAAGAGAAGCTCAAGCCGAAGCTCTATTGAAGGGACCTTTTCAGACTTTATCGAATCTGAGATGGAAACAGATGGAGGCGGAGATCTCTCGAAAAATGTTCTACCTCACAAAACAAAGAAACAGCATCGAAGCAATAAACATTCCTAATGGCTACTCTCATTTCGTGGAACTGCCGGGGCTTCTATCAGGGTATTGATGGCATTAAGCAACTTATTAATAAATATCGACCTATTTGTATAGCGATACAAGAGACATTCCTCAAACCTGGTAATTTTGCAAAGCTACGTAGGTACTCGATGACAAGAAAGGATAAGACATTCAGTGAACGCGCAAGTGGTGGTGTCTGTCTACTCACCTCAATTAATTGCCCTTCGAGTGCTCTCCCTTTGGATACTCCTCTCCAAGCAGTTGCAGTACAGTTGAGCATTCGAACACTGACTACTGTCTGCAGTATTTACATCCCGCCTAATGAGAACATTAATTTAAGAGATTTAGAGGATCTAATTGCCCAACTACCAGCTCCGTTTATTCTAGTCGGTGATTTCAATGGACACAATCCCTTGTGGGGTAGTAAAGACACCAAACCCACGAGGAAAGCAAATTGAACAGCTACTCCACGACCACTGTCTCTGTATCCTTAACAACGCAGAAAGCACTTATTTTCATCAGCCAACAAGGACCTTCCATTCCATTGACCTTGCTATTGTTTCTCCACAGCTTTTGCCTTTTTGTTTCTTTAATGTCGAGAATTATCTATATAATAGCGATCATTTTCCTATTATCATAAGCATTACAGGAAATAGGAGTGTGTTTATACCTAGAACACCACGCTTTTTGTTGGACAAAGCCGACTGGGACTCTTTCTTACATTATGCTCTTTTTACTGAAGAAATAATAAAGAATGTGCACATTGATCAGGCTGTGAAGATCATTACAGATAAAATTATTCAAGCAGCTGATATATGTATACCAAAAACGTCGGTAAAACAGCCAAAATACCCAAAGCCCTGGTGGAATCCTGAATGCCAGGACGCCATCAGAAAACAAAGGAAAAGCTTGGAGCATTTTTCGGCGATATCCTTCAGAATCAAATCTCGTAATATTCAAAAGGGCTAAAGCAAAAGCTCGGCAGGTGCGAAGGAAAAGTCAGAAGAATTCTTGGATCTCGTATGTGTCTTCGATTAGCTCTTCAACTTCGAGTAAGAAGGTGTGGGAGAGAGTCCGGAAAGCGTCCGGTATCTACAAAGAGCACACACTTTCCATTTTAAAGACAAGTGGTGAAACAGTTACTAGTAGGGAAGAAATTGCCAACGCTATTGGACAGAGTTTCTCAGCCGTCTCACACAGTAGTAACTACCTCTTGAATTTCTTTCCGCAAAAAAAATGCATTGAAAAAAAAACAACTAATTAATTTCAACTCTCCCAATACTGAACCATATAATCAGGATTTTACTGTGCTTGAACTGAAAAGAGCTCTGCTTGCAGACAAAAAATTCATGTCCTGGTCCAGATGATATTGCCTATCCTATGCTGAAACATCTTCCTTCCAAGTCATTGGCAACCATCCTCTTTCTCTTTAATAGAGTATGGAAGGAACAAGTCTTTCCAAATGACCTGGAAAATAGCTTTTGTCATCCCCATTGTTAAACCAGGGAAAAGACCCTACTAATCCGTCGAATTACCGTCCCATCGCCCTTACTAGCTGCCTCTGCAAACTCTTTGAAAAGATGGTCAACACTCGTCTGGTTTATTATTTAGAGACAAATAATTGTATCTCCCCTTATCAGAACGGTTTTAGAAAAGGAAGAGCAACTATCGATAATATCCTACTCTTAGAAACAGGTATCCGTAGAGCGTTCGTTAGAAGAAATCATTATGTTTCCATTTTCTTTGATATAGAGAAAGCCTATGATACCACCTGGAGATACGGTATCCTTCGTGACCTATATAACAATGGTTTACGAGGAAACATGCCGATATTCATCAAACATTTCCTACAGGATCGGAAGTTTCATGTGAAGATAGGCGATACACTTTCTGACATGTTCCATCAAGAAGAGGGCGTTCCGCAAGGAAGTGTATTAAGTGTTACATTATTTAGTATAAAAATTAATTCTGTTTTAAAACAGTCCAGGGTATGCTCTATGTCGATGACCTGCAAGTCAGTTGCCAGGGAGAAGACCTGAAAGACATCGAATGTAAATTGCAGACATCTCTCAATAGAATTGTTAAATGGTCACAGGAAAATGGTTTTAGATTCTCTACTCAAAAGACTGTGTGTGTACATTTCTGTCGAAAGAAAATTCTTCACCCTGACCCCGAACTTTATCTGCAAGATGTGCTGATTCCTGTAGAAAAGGAAATAAAATTCCTAGGAATGATATTTGACCATAAGCTTACGTTCCTCCCCCATATTACCTATCTAAAAAAGAAATGTTTAAAAACTATGAATATTCTGAAAGTACTGTCAAATACTTCTTGGGGTGCTGATCGAAGCTCAATGCTTCTTATATATAGAGCTCTCATTCGTTCGAAACTAGATTATGGATCAATCATTTATGGGTCGGCAAGGCCTTCAGTATTAGCCAAACTTGATCCGATACATCACCATGCACTTCGGATATGCACTGGTGCCTTTAGAACTTCTCCAGTGGAAAGCTTATATGTGGAAAGTAACGAGACCTCCCTGCGGTTAAGACGTGAAAATCTTTGTTTTAAGCATTATTTCAAAGTCTTATCACAAACCGAAAATTCTACGCGGTCAAAATTGCTTAATGACCAATACTCCCGTTTATATCAGGCACGACCATCATGTGTCCCATCTTTCGGCTTGCGGATGAGTGCTTTGGTGGAGGAGTATAATTTGTCTAATATAGATATACAGATGGAGGATTTTTTTGGAATTCCTCCCTGGGAGGATTGGAGAATCCATTCTCTGGATACTTTTCGACACTGGAATAAATCACAAACTAATGAAATCATCTACAAGCAGATTTTTTTTCAACATAGAAACAAATATAGGAAATATATCCCTCTATATACAGACGGATCAAAATCCCAGGATCATGTTGGCGCTGCTTTCGTCACAGAAAAAACAATAGTAGGGGTTCGATTACATACAGTTTGCTCTGTGCTTACTTCTGAGCTTACTGCAATCCATCTGGCTTTGACTTACCTTTCAAAACAAAAGTACATAAAATTTATTATCTACACAGATTCCATGAGTGCCTTAATGTCATTGAAAAATCACGCTCAATGTACTCATCCAGTTGCAATCAGAATCCTAAAGTTGAATCATTCTTTAAAAATTCGGGGATACCAGATTCTATATTCGTGGATCCCTGGACACGTTGCCATTAAGGGGAATGAATTGGCAGATATTGCAGCTAAAACTGCAACCACAATGTACAATCTTCAGATTCCACTAGCAGACATCAAAGGGTTTGTCAAAAGCAAAATCCTCAGCAAATGGCAGAAGCAATGGGATGACAGAGTATGTAACAAGCTGAGAAATGTAAAACCCACCATTGGATACTGGCCATGTATGGCTAATAGAAAGGAAGATGTCCTCTTGACTCAACTGAGAATTGGCCATTGTCGCCTGACCCATGAGTATCTTCTGAAGGGAGAAGAGAATCCCAGCTGCCCAAACTGCAATGCAGATCTGACAGTCCATCATATCTTGGTGGAATGCCAGAGTTTTAATTATTTTCGCCAAAAACATTTTAATAGTTCAGAACTGGACTTAAAAATTTAATTGGAAAAGCACATCATCGTAATTTGTTTCTGTTTTTAAAAGATATTGGCTTTTATAATAGACTTTTAACCTGTTTTTTTTTAAAAGATATCAGCTCTTATCATAGACTGTAATCTGTCTCTTACCTAAGCTGGAAGTTTTTACAAATGACTAATTGCATTGTTACCATTTGTCTGGCGCAGATAACCTTGACAGGTTTTGTGCCAAATTACAATAATCCAATCCAATCCAATCCCATGCTCTTTTCGTTTGAGAGAAGGGGGGTTTGCCAAAGCAATATGGTAGGTTGAGCTGACCTGTAAAGTCCTGCGAATCATACAGAAGGATTGATGCTACGTTTTAATCCTCATTGGAATAGGTGAAAATTTGGCTCCAAGACCTCATCCCTATACCTCACACCAGTCACAGAGCCTCTGTCAAAGACGTGGAGAGGTGTACGGCCATCCAACATGATGCCTGCCCAGACCATTACACAGCCACCGCCATAATTGTTAATTTTGCGGACGTTGGAGGGTAGGTAGCGGGTTCCTGGTTCTCTCCATATGAAAGTACGGCCAGAACCTGTGTTTAGGCTAAAACGGGACTCGTTGGTGAACATAACGGTCGCCCATTGCTCTGTACTCCAGTCACCATGTTAATCGGACTCTCTTGTCCGTAGACATGAGCGGGACGGAAACAGCTGGTCTTCTGGCAAACAACCCTCTCTCATTCAGTCTTGGAAACGGTCACTCTTGTTACACGGGTTTCTGTGGCTGCATATAGGTCCCGAGAGAACTGAGAAGCTGTAGCCCAGCCCCTCTGTTACGCCTCGCTGAAATGGACAAACGGCTATCTTTTCTGGCCATTGTGGCTCTTGGACGACCTTGCCCAGGCTTTCTCTCGATAGATCCAATATCCTGGAACTGTTTCCATAGGTTACACAACGACGCTGTGCGATAAATTAAATTCTCTGCATATCTGGACTTGCGATTGGCCTGCCTCTAGCCTCCCCACAATTTGCCATCTCATTCCATCATCTAAACGTTGGTGGTTACTCATTTTTACTGTTCCGATGTAAATTTAACAGATTGCTGCAAGATAACACCAAGAAATTCTCAGAGGTGTGCTAGCAAACACAATTCGTGTTACCTTCCACGTGCTTATAAAGCCTGTTTTCTGCTGATTCCGTCTACGTACATGTGTATGCTTGCGTATTTGCTGTACAAGATTTGCATTTTTATTTAGAAGCAGTGGTTTTTTCCTTCACTTCAGTTCTTATTGTGCAATTCGAAAAAAAATATGCAAAATCTGTTAATTTATTTCACCAGTGTATAATTATCAAAGATTTTACACCAAATTGATTTATCAATCTGTGACATTTGTTTATTTTTAAAATTGCAGGCTAAAGAAACCTTTGACGTTAGCAGAAAAAATTCTGTACTCTCATTTAGATGAACCTGCTACACAAGAAATAGAAAGAGGTAAAAGTTATCTTCGTTTGAGGCCAGACAGAGTTGCTATGCAAGATGCAACTGCACAAGTAATTTAAAATTTGAATTTCGATATGTAAATATATTCATTGATTTTACATAAATTATATTGGCAATAATAACTTCAAAATGTTAAGTACATCTTGCCTCTAAATGCTACATAAGATTTATAAACATTTTTTGGTGCAAATATGTATAAAATATAAAAAAAAAGTAGAGAGTGAATATCCTTGAAAAAATAAAAAAATAGAATCGTCCAGTTACGTAAAAGGCAACTTTGTTCTCCTCAAAGTGTTGTTTGTGTCACAGTATAGAATAAATAATTTAGTCTTTATTATGCTTGATAATTATGGTACTTTCTGCTGCAGCTCCTGGTTTTATCATTCAGTAGAGCTGTTCTGTTTTTTCATGTTTTCAAATTTACTGATACAATGGCCAATCCATGCACACTCATCCTGCTTTTGTGGTTAAATACATGTTATTTTACATATTTTATTTGCTGAGCAGTAAGTGCAGCTGTGAAAATATAAGTATTGGAGGCACACAATTTTTTTCCCTTGAAGAAATTTCGGTACTTTTCCTTTTGGCCGGCGCAAATCTCGCCAAGCAGATTTTATTTTCGACAACACACAGTACACATATAAAAAATGTTATCAAATGTTAGATCTAAGAATTTTATATTTTGAAGGCATAAACATTTTAATATGTAAAATTTTGTAAAAAGGCAATAAATAAAGGCAATAAATTTGTAAAAAGACATTAATTAAAGAATTTACTATTATCTCACGATTCAGCATCCTGATTCATCGGTTCATATCACGTGACCCCAAGCGATCTCATCTCAGTAATTAGCTACATTAATTTGAAGTTAAATCTTATGGTTTAAATGCAAGCATTATTTTAATTCGTATGAATAGCTTATTCAGAAATTATGTAAAACCGCAGTGCTTAACTTCTCTAGAGCATTCTCATTAGAATTGATGAATTTAACCCCTGACCTTGCTCTTTCTATATTTTCGCCTTTGGGTGAGTGATATGATTGCATCCTAATTGACTTAATTACTGCGAATGGCCTCGGGGCATAAAATTGAACTATCTGGTAAAAATTCTATGTAATCAACTGTGCCGGCAAAATGGAAAAGTACCGAAATTTCTTATTTCTTACAAAATTCTTCTTTGTATTATTATCTATAAGTAGAACAGTATTATGAGCTGCTGTAATGATAGTCAAACATTTAGAGATGAGTTGGAGATATTTTGTGCAAGTCCAATAGTAAATATCAGTTATTTTAATACTTGGGCAATTCATTTGAGATGTACCCGTATTAAACAGCAATAATTTTCAGTTTTATAATAAATTCAATCAATCCTTTACATAATTGCCATTTTAGAATGCTACCTATCAATAGAAAAGGTTTTCAATTGACCAAGTGGTGGTTAAAAGTATGAAACACTTTTATCACGGATTTGATCCTTAATGTTTGAATGAGCTAGCAATTTTACGTTTTTGAGGTTTTATCTGCATGTAATGTAAATATCAGCCATGTTTGTCCATGGCTTCCCATTGATTTGTGTTCTAGTTTAAATTTTTTAAGGCTGATTTTAAATATACATGCTCATCCCAAAACACATTCCTTACATAAATCAAAGATTTCTGTCATTGAATATATAGTAATATATTTTATACATTCATAGGACAAATTGAAATTGTAAATCATAAAAGCTGCCCGAATCTTAAATGATGATAATCAGTTTTAGTATATGCAGTGCACAAATGTTCAGTTTATGTGTTTACTCAGTATTTTTGATTTGTATAGAACACTTTTAAGCTCTTTTATGTGATATTTTTGTGTTTTTACATTGTGTTTTGAGGTTCTGCCATTCATATGTATAACCCAAAAATATCATTTGTTATTTAATTAACAATTACTGATAAAATAAATATATGCAAAAGAATTAACCATGTCTTTATTGATAAAACAGAAGACTATCTTTTGATATTTTGTAAATGAACAATAAGTAAATAAATACAAAAGAATTAATTTTATCAGAGCAAATTCTTTGTGCTTCGATCACTGTATATTTTAATGCTTTAATTCATTTTTGTGAATAATTGATTTAAATTTTTAAAAATTTAGATGGCAATGTTGCAGTTCATATCAAGTGGACTTAAAAAGGTAATGTTTCTTTTATCCTTTTGCTATTTATAAACTGTAACAAAAGTGCTATTTTTATCTGAATACCTACAAGATACACTTTGTCTTTTGGGTAGTATTTATCGAAATGAATACAAATTAATTATGGTCTGAAAAAGGTTATGAAATGTAATATGTATTACAGATACAGTACATGACATTAGAGAACATTTATGGTATGTTAAATAATAATAATAATAATAATGGCTAAAATAACAATTTTTTCAGTGCTAGACTTTACTGTTTTCTTTTAATTGATAATATTATGTACTATGGTGTTCTAGATTTAATTGTATGGAAATTTAATGTAAATTTTTGTATTTTTTCTGTATAATAAACAGAACAATCAGATATGAAATTGCTCTGTGTAATTAGGTTTTAGTTTTTCTTGATAATTTGTGGAATATAATTGGTTGATAAAAAATTTGTGAATTAAGTTTGTGGAAGTTCGTAAGAAGGAGCTAAGAGATTTTAACGTCTTTAAAAGAGAGTTTTCTGAAAGCAGAGTTGGCAGTGAATCTTTCCTAAAAATTATTTTTAGGAGTACCTTCTGTTTGACTCCAGAAAATCACCATTTTATAATTCAAATAAAAAAATAGTAGACAAGGCTTTTTTTACAAAGAACAGGCATTGACCCTTATATTACACAAGTCATAATAACTTTCAGATTGTCACGAGGTTGTGTTTGCTAATATCTTTTCAATTCTTCTGCCTTCTTTTGGTATCTTTTAATCATTCCTTTTAAAAATCAGGAATTCATATACATTAAATGCTTAATTAAAATCAAAGGATGGCCTTCCAGTCTTAGAAACATCAAGCTGCTACAGTGCTTAAATGCAATGAAGCTTTTGTTATTATTAAATTGATCTGAGAGAAGACATATTCACTCACACTTGTTGATACTGGGATATTCTTTAATAAATTTGGTACTTATGTATTAATGCAACCACCTTGGGCACAGTTTGACGATTTTTTACAGATAAAAAGGTAAAAGTTACTTATTGGGTGCAAGTTATGTGTTTTTGCAACTTTTTTTAAAGATTCCCAAACCGATCATCAATATTTATCATAAGGCAGCAAGCATTATCAGCATATAAAATTCAACATACTTCTATAATTTAGAATACAAATTTTAATTGTTAAATAAGGATTACATGTTCTGTAATTTTTTTCGCTATTCTTCTGCCCAGGTGCATGGTGATCTGTTTTTGCTTTAAAAAACAAAGCTAAAATCAGACACTGGGCAAAACTCTGCAATACTGCCTATATATATATATCTACATCTAATAAAAGAAAGAATCTGTGTGTCTTTCATTCATGCTGCATATAAGCTAATAGATCCAGGGCTACGAAATTTGGTATATAGATGCAGAGTTGTCAACTCTCCTGATTTAGGCGGGAGACTCCCGATTTTCGACTGCTCTCCCGCCAACCCGATTTACAATTTATTTCTCCTGACTTACTTCTTCTTAATTTCTCGTGATTTTATGGAGCTTGCTTAAACTCGCAATATAAAAAAAACAAAAAAAAAAAAAAAAAAAAAAAATTTTGGCGTTGAAACATTGATTTTGAAATTCCCGTTTTCAGTCCCAATGGCATCGAGCTCCACTGCGGTCATCTGGCCTTATTAGCCAATGAGCATAAACTCAGGCTGTTATTTGGATGTCCTTTAGTTATTTCGTTCATCTGTCCCAGTAGTGTGAGTACACGTGCCAGCGGAAATAGTTTTAGAATTTATATCTTTTGTTTGTCTGAGAGAAAGGTGAAATACTCTGTACATTTAAAAAATTGTACACAGTTTACTTTCCTTCTATTATTCCTCAAGAATTGTATAATTTGGTGTGTACTGTCTGTCAGTGCGATTTTTCGATTTCCAGGGTGAAGGGCAGTGTTCAAAAACATATGGGTACCCAAAAACCACGGAAAATGAGTTGTTTAAAAAAAAAAAATATAATTAAATTTTTCTCTGGAAAACAAAGATCAAAAAGTTTTAATGCAGAATGTCTGTTCTCTGCCTTTTTCAACCTGCCACTGATGCTGGATCACGCTGCAGCTATTAGAAAAATGTTTCTTTGATAGTGAACGCTAGAAATATCAGTGCAAGGATCAAACAGTGCAGTGTTAAGAAATAGTTTGAAAAATATCTTCAGTTATTGTTGTATTAAACAGCTCCTTCTGCCTCTCTACGATGGAAGCATATACTGTTCAAAACTATCAATTGTTGTTTCTTTTTCATCAGAGTATTCAGAAATTGAGTGCATTGACTTTCGTCCCCACTTTAGAAGGCATTCGACAGCTTAAATAGCACAGCTAATTATTAAACTTAAAACTCGAAATGCATAATGAATAGAAACGGCAGCCCATCTGGATGATTGCTTAGCACTTGGTGCCGATATGCACCCGAATGGTAGCTGAGACTGGTGTTCATGCATCTAAGAAAGGAAATCAGATTGCAATATGGGTGCTCGCACCTCTACTTTAGCCGCTGAAAAAGAGGCAGCTTCTTTTACAATAAATGTGGATAAACACATTTTGATATTTATTGTTAGCTGAAAAATTCTAAAAGTAAGGAAATTGAAATGTTCCAACAGCTGCATAATACTGAATGAGAAAATTTGAAACATGTATGTACATGCTGGCTGTCTTTAAAGAAATGCTTTAAGAATGCAAAAGTAGTGAAAGACTTTCAGAAGAAGACAAAAGTTTCATCTTTATGTTAGAATTGCTTCTATCGAGTATGCGATTAATACTACTAATTTCCAATCGACGCTGAAGTATTTTTGTTTGCTAAAGTTCTGATGTTCTGCTCTGCTACATCTTTTTCTCATATAAGGGACTTTTGGAGAGATTTCCTGTTCTTCATCATATGAAGATATGATATTGATATGCCACTGATATATGCAGTCGCAATTTGCATTTAAAATTGAAATTGGACGAATTTAAAAATCAGCTAGGATTGACACAGTGGAGTTTAATTGGAAATTGAAGGGGCTGATGGATTTTAAAATAGAGTGAACTGTATAAATTATGTTGGCCATCTGACAGTTCCGCTAGTAATGAGAGTGTTAGGTATTTCATGTTGTGCGAAAACAGGAGAAATTTAGATCTATGTTGATGAAAATAGAAAAACTTTATTAGCGAAAGCAGCCTACGTGGCAATGCTCTGAACAAAATGACATCTTTTAAGCGTTCAATTTGTTTTGTTTTGTTTTTTGTTGCAATAATAAATGTTTTTTATGTGTAGGTATTTGTGTTGCTTGCATTAAGAATTAGCAGTTTTTAAGTTAATTCATTATTAAAAACTATATTTTTATCATTACAAAGTCTTTTAAACATTGTGAAAAATCTCCTGATTTTTGAGTGTCGTAGGTTGGCAAGTATGTAGATGCATTTAGACAAGAGCCAGTGCACACTCGAAGCGATTTTTTTTCAAAATTCAAAGTAGATTTCTTTAATGTTATCTTTTTGATTTCATCGCATCAATTTGAATAGTTTCATTCTTTTAGCAATGTAGTTTTGACAAGTTTTTCATTCAATTGTATACTGGACTGCTGACTATTGAAAATCAGCTCTGTTGCCACTTGGAACAATGTGGGCGATAATTCTGTGCAGTTTTTAAATTTAATGTTTCTCTTGGATATTGGACGTTTGTTGAGAGAAGGCAACGGGAAGTTGGTTAATTTATTTATTAGGATAATTAATATTTGCATTAAGGGATATTGCTTATTTCATTGTAATTTTGTTATTTGTAATAACTTTTTTTTTTTTTCATGAAGTTGTTCTGCAGAGTAAAATTCTGCGCAGTTTTTAAATTTAACGTTCGATGTTCCCGTGAAGCATTTTTTTCCCCGGTACATTTAAAAGCCAGACGAAGGCTTGCAGTGTAGCTGCTAGTGTATATATATCACACATCTCCTTGTTGCTTTTAAAGATTTTATGGCAAAATTCTGTATTCCTGAAGGAATTTTACATAAATTTCTTCCATTGATGGCAAATTCCATGAGCACATATTCAAAATTACACTTAAGACAAAAAATATCAGTTTGTTTATAAAAACTGTTGGAACTTAAAATGCAACAAAATGTGCATGAAAATGGTGATGTTGCTGGACTGAAGGATTGTTATGAGCATGATTTCCTGAAGAATGGTTAATGTGTACGTTTGCCAGACTTGGCAGATTCTGAAAGTTCAGTGACTTCTTGGAGGTTGGGATAATAATACGTACCATAAATCCATTTAAAGTATTCAAAAGGGGTGATAAATTTTCTTTGCTGAAAGATACTTCTGAAAATCCCTTAAGAATTTTTATATCAGAAAGTCTTAATCTTTCACACAAGGTCTTTATTTCTCTTTCACCAAATGTTAAAAGATGGTTATTTGTCCAAGTTTTAAATTCCAATGCCTTGACTTGTTTTAGATTTCAGAATCTTCTCTTAAATTTGGCTTTCCATAAAAATTCTGACTGTCATAAAATTTTAAGGAACAGATATAATTTTCCTGTCAGTGCCTAGTTTGTCCCATTTCCCATGGAAACTGCTTTTTTAAATCCATACTTTTCTGCATTTATATGGAACTTCCATATAATAAGATCCCGTATTTGTCTTTCTTTCACCAATAAATTTAAAGCAGTTTGACTATTTTTCTAGAAACAGAGTAAACTGTGGTGTTACTCGCCTGCAATCATGTTAAACTGTTAATTCTTGAAGAACATCAAACAAGCAGGCAAGATCTAAAATGAAATTGATGGAAATTGATTGATGTAAACTGAAATACTTTCATGGTCAAGAGGAAAATATATTAATATCCCTATGTCCAAGGATTACTGCAGTCTAATTTCCGACTATCAAGACTTTGGCAGAAAATCACCATGAAAACCACGTTGGTTTAAACAACCCATTAGTGGTTTGAATATTCCCTCAGAAATACCTTCAAATTCTGTAATACCATGGAACAATTTGGTAGGCTGATTTCATGCCTGGAAATATTATTTTTACATAAGTAATGAGGGAAGACAACCAATTTATTGTGATATTTTCATCTATATAAAGAATGATTTTATTATTCCGTTCATTATTAATGAAAGCAGTTCATTAGGTCAGTTGCAGTAAGCACAGTTATTCTTTATGACAGTACTTTTAATTTTCACTGCAGTATGGAATACTTATTGCTTATGAAGACCATGAAGCCAAACATGGCAATACGTAGGCACTATGCTAAATTCTGGTTTATACCAATTTTTGATATTATAAATACGTGGCACTTCCTTCAAATATCATGGCTTATACCGGTTGCTGATGTTAAGTGAAAGCAAGCCATCAGTATAATTTTGTAGATCCCAAAACTGTGGCTGTTATGGATACCGTAGAGAGACTTTGGGGATGGGTGAAATAGGAAACATAGAGGCACTGCAAGACAGTACTTTGACTCATATCTTACAGAATTTATGTGGAGTGTTGCTGGTAGTGATAAATTTAATGAAATTTTATCAAAAATAGTTATGGCAGCCATAAATTTCAATATTATACAGTATTTTTTGTCAAGTAAAGTTCATCAAACCCCATTGCAATTCAGATTTATATTCATTGTGTTTGTAGTGAAATTATTGTACCAGATAATATTGCCAATGTTCGTGTCGGCAACTCGGAAAAGCAGTCATTAACCTCCGGTGCCTATAACCAATGAGAATTTAATATGGTTCAGAATATTAATACATGCATTAGCTAATTACGGCGTATATTAATTCCATTCAGCTGTTGCACACTATTTTCTGACTTAAAATCACCAAATGTTTGATAATTATGTATGGTGTTCATAAATATACTGGTAATTACTTTGTTTCTATTCTGAAAAGCTTTGGTTCATGGAGTTTGCAAAGATTTATCTTTTATCTGTATGTTCTGTTCTGTTTATTGAGCTGAACATTCATGATGTCTAAAAACATTCTTTTCATTAGAATGTGTTTGATTTTACCTTGTTTGCTGTGTCATGGCTGAAACTTTTATTTATATTTAACATTTTATAATGTGCTACCAAAATTTCAAATTCTTCGCAAGTCCTGTACCCAAGTTTTTTTTAATCACTAACCAGTCATATTTATTGTTGAACTTATTTTTCTTATTAAAACTCCAGTATCAGAAAGTGGGACCTTATTTTCGCACTCCGCATGGTATACAGTGATTGCTGTATGTTTTATTAGTACAGCAATCGCTGTATACCATAAGTCTTTATTCAGTTTTAATTTTCTTTTTATGTTAAAAGTCCTGCTGCTTAGAGAGGGGAAAGTTGAAACTTTCATCATTAAGATAGCATGCTATTTCACATGTTAAACAGTTCATGAGACTTTGGGAATATGAAAGGAAATGGGATCAGAATATTGTTGTGACATGGTATATACAAACTCTTGGTAATCTTTTTGTGAAACATACACAGATTGGCTATTACCTATGGGAGTAAGAACAAGACTTACAAATCACTATGCTAGATTCCAACTACCAGTACTCCATATGGTTAAGAGAAGACTTAGATGGGTTTGTCTGCCTCTCTATGAATAATCAGATATGCTAGATGAACAATATTCCTTATGCGTTTAAATGCAACTAAGCATCTTTATTGTGAACATTTACTACATAAAGTTTCAGAAATTGCATAAATATCCATAATATATTGGAATTATTTTTGAGAAATTATAACATTTAAAAATATTGGTACTTTTCCGTTTCGCCGGCACAAATCTCGCCAAGCAGACTTTATTAGCGACAACACATAGTATGCACATAAAAAATGTTAACAAATGTTAGTTCTAAGAAATTTTTATTTTGAAGGCATAAAAATTTTAATATCGTTTAAAATTTTGTAAAAAGACAATAAATAAAGACCATAAATTCGCAAAAAGACATTAATTTAAGAATTTACTATGCTTTCATAGTACAACAACCTGATTCGCCGTTTCACATCCCGTGACCCCAAGTGATATCTCACGTAAACTACACTACAAAAATTTCACTCTCTCAGTAATTATCTACCTTAATTTCAAGTTAAATCTTACTTTGGAATACAAGTTTGAATGCAAAAATTATTTCAGTTCGTAAGAATAGCTTACTCAGAAATTATGAAAAACCCCAGTGCTTTACTTCGCTAGTGCATTCACATTAGAATAGATGAATTTAACATTTGACTTTGCCTTTTCTATATTTTCACCTTCGGGTAAGCAGTGTGATTACATCCTATTTGACTTAATTACCGCGAATGGCCTTGGGGTGTAAAATTGAACTATGTGGTAAAAATTCTATGTAGTAATTGTATGCCAGTATTGAAAGAAACAATCAATCTGATAAGAAATGGCTGCAATTTGTTTTGAAAATGAGGCGTGAAAGGTTACCAGCGAGGATATTCGTTTGGCATCAGTTGTACCATTTCTGGCGACTTTATCGCTTGCGCCGGCAAAATGGAAAAGTACCAAAAAATTTTGCCTTCTCAGTTATGTTTGTTAAACATTGAAATACATGTATCATTTATGAAAGTGAATCTTATGTAATATTTATAAGTTTTTCCTTTACTGCATTTTACCATATTAAAGTACTAAAATAAATATAATTTCCCCCCCCCCTGTATTGTTATTGGGTATAAAATATACTGTAAAGATCACCTCTGTTATTTATATATATTTTAAAATCTTTGTTTTGTTTAAAACTAATATGCTTAATGTTTGAATTTTTTTGAAAATAGATGGATTATGCTTTTATAGAAATGTGTATTTTATTTTGTTAAATAAAAAAAAAGATCTTTTATAAGTATCTGGATTTTATTCTGTAGTAAGACTGTTATTCAAAAGGTTTAGCTATTAAATTTTTCATATTTTTTATACTAGGTTGCAGTACCATCTACAATTCATTGTGATCATTTAATTGAAGCTCAGATTAGTGGAGATAAAGATTTAGCCAGAGCTAAGGTATGTAAGTCTTATAGTTTGTGTTCTGTCATTTCTTATTTGTTTCCTTCTGGTGTAAATATGTGCAGAAGATGTAAATAAATTTCTCTTAGGACATTAACAAAGAAGTGTATACCTTTTTGGAAACTGCCGGTGCTAAATATGGTGTTGGATTTTGGAAGCCTGGAAGTGGCATAATTCACCAGGTAAGAAATTTATAATTTATGGAGTTTTCCCCCCTTTGTGTATCCATGTTTCCCCCCCTTTGTGTATCCATTTATTAATTAGCTATGATATTTGAATGCTGCTAATATGTTTTTTCTCCACAAATTTGTGTTTTAACAATTGAACAAAGTTAAAGAAAAGCTGTTTTCTTAGGTATACTAAAAGCTATTAATTGAGGTAAGGAATAAGACGGCAAAGAAAGTAAATTTCTTTGTTATAATGTTACAGGCAGTGGTGGAAAAAAAAATTAAAGTGAAACTTTTTATAAAAAGTAGAGTAGTCAAGTTCAATTTAGAAACACGAAAAGTAAATCTAGCCCTTTTTGTGTGTGTGTGTGTGTGTGTGGGACTAGTACAGAATAATTCAAAATGTATACTAGTTATTTGAATACTTGCTGACATGCAATTTTACTTCAGTTAAAACAAACCAAAAAATAAATGAATATAACAAAGTTATCGTTTCATAACCAGATAAAAATATAATTACAAATTGGACAAAGAAATACTTTGGCAATACTTGTGTCAGTACAGAAAATTGTTGCCAAAGCATGCAATAAAAGAAAGTGTACTTATGGATTTTTCCTTCAGTCTTGAAAGTTAACAGAAGTCTTGCAAAACTTGCATCTGCTGAAGACTGAAGGAGCACATTGCTCCATATTTAGTTGGATAATCGATAGATACAAAAGGTAAATGGATCTGAGTGTGTTCACAAATGTAATTTTAGTATCCTAAATAACACTTCTTTTTCAATGGATATTTGCACAGTTTTTTATACGTTGGCATTCAAATTTCCTAATTCCTATGCATAAATAATAAGATATATGATAAAAAAAATATAAAGATGCAAGATAAAAATTGTGTAACTGTGTTCTTTAAATTAGCAAAAGCCGATTAATTCCTCTTTAATTTCCATACTTTCCCTTTTCTATTATAAAAATGTTGATTTTTTTGAAACTGCATCATATCTGAAAACTAGTTCCCCAGTAATGTCATTCTAATCTTCTGTATAGCTCTTAGCTAATCAGCTTAATGAAAAATTTTACTGTAAATACCAATGGAATCCAATTACATACTTTCTTTTGCTGCAGGAACTTCCTTGCTAGATGACATTTCTTCTGTTAATCCCGTTCTTCCGCTGTTCTAAGATGTAATTGCATATACAAAATTGTGGAGTTCATTTAGCATCCCCAATATTGTACCAATTAAGAAAAAATGGATTTTAAAGAATTGTTCGTTTTTGGAAATAAAAATGGTTTAACCATCAAGCCAGTTGTGATTTTCCCTTCAGTCATCATTTATGCAACAGTCTTCTCGGCCATGATTAAGAAGTGAATTGGTACATTCTTTAGTCAAACTTTCCTAATATTATTTGCAATTATATATTACTTAGTAATTAATTGGTATTAACTATTAAAATTAAAACCCTCTAAAGCATTATAGAAGGCAAAAGGAAAAGTAGAGTATTAAGGTTTTTCTTAATTCCTTTTCATATATATATATATATTTTGCATTTTTTTTCTTACCTGACACCAGTTGTTACTTTAATTTCTTCTTTCACGTTCGTATGGGGTGTTTTTTTGGAGTGAATAACGATGACAGCTTTTGATGTACCAAAACACACTTTATTTACCAATATTAATCAGGACAGCCTCCAAAACACTTTTAGAGTCGTCGAAGATCTATTATACACTCGCTGGAATAATCAGCGACACAGCCTTCAGGTTATTGAGCTAGAACGGTAGAGACAGCTTCACTGCAAAGCACCAGAGTACAGCTCCCGAGTCTGCTCGGTCGTTCTCGGAACTCCACATACTCTCAAGACTTCACGCTACAACTCGCGATGCACTTGACTACACACAGAGCACAGCTCCCAACTCTTTGGTTCAGTCTTTACCGGAGATCAACACTCTCGACGATGCACTAACCGTGATACACTAAAAGACTCTTTCGATGCACTCGACGACCCATTCAGACTCGCTGGACGGCTGTCGACTCGATCGTCTACGCACGGACTAACTAGATGAGACACACTATCTCGCACTCTAAGACAAGGCACTCTCCCTCACTGCCTGTGGACCAGCAGGGTTTATATAGCTTTCGGCTTGTGTTTGAGAACATTCTGGGTTAAACCTGTAAGAATTTGTTCCAGAAGGTTCTCCATTCGTCCATGGCATATCGCCAAATGTGGCAACCCTGCCTTCCTTGCTATTTATGGCAACCCTAAACCTTCTTTGCGGGGAAGCAACTTTTTCAGGAAAAAACAGAAAAATATCAGTTATATCTTTCTAAACTAAATTGGCTTATCAGGGATTAATTGATATTGCATAAAACCAAGAAGATTATGTTGCAGTGTCATGCTTTGTTAGGACTAACCACATTGTTTAACACTTTTCTTTGCCAAAAATGCTCAATGGGAAGCTATGTAAATATTAATAAAACTGTAAATAAGAGGTAAGTATTAACATGTGGAAAAGCAATACAAATAAGTAATATTTTATAGTTAAATCACACCTAGAAATTTTTATTGTGATTATTTGTTGCTAGTTAATATGTTTGCTTTTAAAATGTATATGCTATAATGTTGTTTCACCTACTGTTTATACAGCTCTGTGTTAATATATTCATTTTAATATTTCCAACTTTCTGATTTTGTATAGCTTTTATGCTAAAATTGTGCGCAAATAATGGTCTGAGTGGAATGAAAAATCCATTTATGGATTTTGAAATGCTTTTACTAGCTGGATGTTTTTAAATTCCACATAAATGCAGACCTAAAGTAAGATGCTGACATGCAGTTCAAGTGTGGCTAGTTTGAAGTATATACTTGCCTTGTATTCAACTGCATACAAATCTTGCATTTTGTATAGTTGAAAATTTGTTGCTTTAAATGAAAATATTTTATAGATAATACTTGAAAATTATGCATTCCCTGGTGTTTTATTGATTGGAACAGACAGCCATACTCCAAATGGAGGTAAATATATTTGGGATATTAAATGACCCATTTTAAATGTTTATTCATTTAAAAAATTTAATGTCAATCATATCATGTCTAATTGTGAATTTATAGATAATGAATCTTTCAGTGATTTAATATACATTATTTTAAGTAGCCTGTAATTTGGAAATAGTTTTGTGTGAATAATAAAAATTGAAACACTATCCATAAACTTCGGAAAAAGATTCTAAAGCAAAAAGAATAAAATATGTGCAAATTTAAGTTTATTTTAGGTATATTAAAATATTTTAAATATATATGTTTAATATATATATGTATATAAATTTATTTAGTCCCCTCTTTCTTAGATCCTGAGTTCAAACCTTTAATGTATTGCTATGCTTCATTATAACTGGTTTGTTTACAATCCATGCAAAAGTGAATGCAGATAGATTGTTAGTAAAAGTTTTTGTTGAGTTTTACTGGCATTAAAAATGGGAAAATAGTAAAGAAAAAAGGGCTAAACAGATGCAGAAATTTTTTTAAATAATCCAAAATCACAATTTTAGTAATTTTCATAACTGCTAATGCCATAAAGACAAGACGACTGTTAAAAAAGACACCGACTGTAGATGTTATGCACCATTCATCATACACTACTAGTGTCCTATCTTAATATATCACTTCTTACTGGGTTCCGATAAATGCGTTTTTTTGTTGAGTATTACCATTTGAGCAAGATCGGGCATAGGCTGCTCCTCAGGTTAGTGAAAAAGTAAAAATGGAGGATTGGAAGGAACAATGTATCTGTGCAAAATATTGCCCAAACTGGGTAAGACATTCCAAATGCTTAAACAAGCGCAGAAAAAATGGCTGCAAATGCCAAATCCTATCTTGTGACTGATTTAATTGTTTTAAAGAGGTCAGAAGTTTGGTTGACAAATGTGTAAGGACTTGACGGGCTTTCACATTAACAGATGACCAACATGTTTAGAGTTCACTATAAATTTATACCTCGTGGTTAGACAGGAAGCAAGGCAGTCTGCCAGAAAATTCTAACCGGATTGAGAGATGCTGTGCCTGAATCATGAAAGAAAATATCTAAATCAGTTCTGGATGTTCCATCGTGACCATGCTCAAGGTTACTTGTTGCTCCTTGTTACAATAATCTAATAAAACATCGCACTTCCATTGTGGCCAACCCACCCTATTCTTTGGACTGTGAACCAGGAGACTTTCTACTCTTCCCCAAACTTGAAACCAATTTGAAAGGATGTTTCCATTCTACAGAAGAAATTCAGGAAAATTTGAATACAATATCGCATGCCATCAAAAAATGTGATTTCCAGCGGGCATTCCAAAAGTGGAAGAAATGTTAGCATTTAGAGTCGCCAGAGGGTAGTGTTTTGAAGAGAATAGTAGTTGAAAATTTGTGTAATTAGAAGTAAAGCAAAAACAACAAAAGTTCAATCTTTTTTTGAGTGGTTCTTGTGTGCATGGCATATAACAACAGAAGGTGGCCCACCAGCGGCCGAGCGGTAAAGTCGTTGAACACTGGTAGTTCGGTCCGAGGCTCGAATCCCGCAAACGGGCTGGCTGCATGGGCGTTTTCGTGGTTTTCCGCATGTGTAACGTGTATGCGAGCCAGTTTCCCTTAGAAAGTCCTCCACGAAGGCATCCCTCCCCTTAGGCAGATAGCCCTCGTGTGCTTTACCATAATTAAATACACCAACAACAGGAGATAGCATAGAGATTCATTGTAAGGGAAATTCTTGATGAGATATTTTAAAAAAATATATTTATTATATTTTTGCATTAATTTAAGAGCAAAATTTATTTTAAAAGTAATTCTGCTGTTGTGCCGTTTTATTTGTCATATGTTTCAATATGTTTTTATAAGAGAATTCTGTTATTTCTTCAAAGAATTTACCTATCATTTATTTCTTTATCTTTACTGTATTTTTTCTGTGTTTATTATGAGTCATAATCATAGCAAATATAAGTTGTATAAAATGTGCCCATTACTTTTTATTTGGAACCTATATTTGTGTTTTGGATTTTTCATCTGCTTTTAGGTGGTCTGGGAGGTTTATGTATAGGTGTTGGTGGAGCTGATGCTGTTGATGTGATGGCTAATCTTCCTTGGGAATTAAAGTGTCCCAAAGTAATTGGTGTAAAACTCACTGGAAAACTTAGTGGCTGGACCTCTCCCAAAGGTAAAGCTAAAATTAACTTTAAAATTAGTGTGTATGAATGTTTGAATTTTATCACAAAATCACTTTTCTTTTAATTCTGGATTTTTTTAAAAAATTCTTTCTTAACATTTTTTATATAATATGCTAAGAAAGAATGTTATAATTAATTTTCTTAACATATATGTATATATTTTCTTAATGTATTCCATAATTACAAAACAATTCTTTTGAAATTTATTATCATATTATATTGGTAATATCAATATATTTACATTTTAATATACTTGTAGCGAGTGGTCTATTGAAATTCTCTTAAGGATGGAACTTAGTGATCTCATTAAGTGCCTGTTTGATATGGACCAAAATAAAATGTTTTGCAGTGTCAGGTGCAATGTGCTAAAAGTTATTCACATTGTGTATTTTCTGCATATAGTTTTTTTATTTGTGATAAATATTCTGTGTTAGTCTCTGATTTACAGTGCATTACTACATAATTTCCTTTATTCCAGATGTCATTTTAAAAGTTGCTGGCATATTAACTGTGAAAGGAGGCACTGGTGCCATTGTTGAATATACTGGGCCTGGTGTTGATTCTATATCTTGCACAGGTATGTGTTATTTCATATATGCATGTGCGTAGTTATACAGTGGTGATCAAAATTAAGAAACTGGTAATATTTTTTTTTTTTTTTTTTTTCCGAATTTGTCAAATTATACAGAATTTGAAGTGGAAAATAGAGTGGCTTATGTTTGATTTCGGACACTTTTCTTTTTCAATTTCATTTTCAAATATAAGTTACTAAATATTATTTCTCACAATTTCCATCATTTTAATACTTCTGAGGCTGGCGAAAATTTTGCATTTTTTTAATAATGATCTTTTAAAAAGAAATAATAGTTTTTAAATTTTGAACAGAATTTGGTGTTATTTAATACTGTCTTGACATGTTCACTTCAGATATGGGCCTATTAATATATTTTGCTAAACAAATAATAATTTCCAAATGCGATGATATTTCTTGTGGTGTATTTTTATTTAAAAGAAAAGGTGTGATAAGAAACACTTTTTTCAAAACTTTTTGAATGTTCAAATTATTATGTGAATTATTATTACTGATTAACTTCCACTTTACACTTTGGAATACTTATTACACTTTTGGAATAAATTCTTTTATTGCAAAGAGTGTTTGTTGTTGCCTTATGATCACTTGTCTGACGAAGTCAGCCCAACCCCATGAAAGTCTTCATGGCTAGAAGTACTAGTTTATGCCTGCTGTTGGCAACAGCCTTGAGCACCACTAAGGTGTAAGTGCGATTTTAGCTCAGTTCCATCCCTGATTCTGATGGAGGGGGATGGGTCCAAGGGTCTCTCACCTCTCTCCCCATCCACCAAACCACACAAGAAGACTTTCGGACACAAGGAGACCACATATTTAGAGTGCCGCCATGCCACACCATACACTATACATTTACAAACATCCATGCCTTCTCCGGGATTCGAACCCGGGCCTTTCGGCACGACAGTCAGTGACACTAATCGTTATACCGGTTGGGCGGCCTTAAGAGGGTTTTAAGCATAATTATTTTGTAAGAAGAAAGTCTTAAAATACAGAAAAAACAATATATTAGGAAAAAATTTTGAGTTTTGATATTAAGTACAAGATCTGTGCAAATAAGTTTAAAAAATAGTAGTGTGAGACAAATGTGAGACACTGTATGTGGTCAAATAATGGTGTAATTGCCCTGGTATTTAATACATAATTGCAATGATGTATAAAAATGGCACTCTGACAATGGTAGGTATAAAAAGTAGTTATTTGGTAATCTGCTCGTACTTCATTTGTATACACTGGTAATAATCATATTGTTTAATCTAAAATTCTGTTAAATTTTTTAAGCAGTTTGGTAGATTGGTTTCAAGTTCTGATTACAAGAGAGTTTAATACAACATGTAGTGTGTGTAGCATATGGAAACAGGAGACTGGATCATTATCTAGTTGACCTGAGAATGGCCTCAAAGAGCTATGACGCTCCAAAAAGATTAGTGTTTGGCACTTTCAGCCAAATGCCACTGTACTGTCATAGCTAGTTAGTGTTCTTGAGCTATTTGCTTCCTCTGGAACCTTAATTTCAAGAGTTGCTGTTTTCCAAAGGCTTTAGGACAAAAAGCTTTTGTCTAAAGATCTAATGTGTGTGTTCTGCATGCTCCTTCATACAAAAGAACATGCATGGCATAGTGCAGAGAACATCAACTTCAGTGGGCTTAAGCTCTCTTCAGTGTTATGTCTTATGCTCTATTCAGTGTTAGATTTAGTTCAGGCAATGATTCTTGAATCACCTTCAAGAAAAACCAATTTATTTCTTAAACATTAGGAAAAGTATGGCAGCTGAGGCATGATTTATGCTGGCTTTATGTTGGATGGTTGTATTTCATTTAACATGTTTGACAAAAGCTTTCTGCTTCCTGATAGGTTACGGAGGGCATCTTTAAGTGGTGTAGCTTTTGAAAAACACAATTGACTGTGTTCCATGTTATGGATGACAACACTTATCCACATTTAACTTAATTGATGAAGAATATCTGCATATTGAAGGTATTTGGTGTGTAGATTGGCTAGCCAGATTTCTCTATCTGAACTGAACTCTGATGCAAGAATGGCCAATAAGTCACTTGCAAAACAATTTTTGGCCTATCACAGCTGATAAAAGATGCAAATTCAACTTAGTTGAGACTCTTAATATCATGGTTCTCCTCCTGCACCAGCCACTGAGAAAGTAGGAGAGTAGTGTTCTGCATCACCTGTCATCTGCTTGCTGTCCAACATGCCAACTTGTTGTCTCCTTGCTTCCTCTTTCAGTTCACAATGTAATAATACATAAGGTGACATATCTGTGTTCCTTATTTAGTATTAACCATAGTGGTAACATTGTATTAGTGTTTCTAGAAAAAGTATCAAGTTTGTCATTTCTAAGAAGTGTCAGTTCTAGAAAAGATGTCGCATTACTGTTGTGCATGTAAGCACTTCTTTCTGAGTTTTAAATTACAATTACGTACTTACATATTTCTTCTGAATTTTAGTATTAAAATGAATAGACCTATGACTCCCTGTCAAAAATTGTAACATGCTTACTTGTGATGCTGTAATGCCTCCATAGTAGTTTACTAAACAGGGTAATCTGAAGAGGCAATTTTTAACTTTACATAATATCAAACTGACAAAAAATTATTTAAGAAAAAATAAAATTTGGCATGTCAATTGAGTTAAAAACCCAACATGTGATTAAAGACCCATGTTGAAACATATGCAATGATTCTTTCATCATTCAGAATGAGGCATATTTTAGCAAAAAAAAAAAAAAAAAAAAAAAAAAATAGTAAACTGCTTTCTGATGGGAAATTTGCAAAAGAAACATTTTTGGAAATGTCATTCTTTTTTTAATGATTTCTAAGAACAAGATTCAAATTTTTGCTGAAATCAAAGACCTGCAATTGTTTTGAAATACTGGGATGAGATAGGTAGAGAAAGTGAGTGAAAATGTAAGAGAAAAGATATATAATGGCATTAATAGATGTTTTTTCCATGATGATGATCATTAATAGATGTTATCAAACTGAAGGTTTGATAAATCATCAGATATAAGTAACATAGCGCATCCACATCTTTTTATTTGTATAATTTACAAAGACCATCTAAAGAAGAGTCATTGGGTATGATTTGTTTGAAAAAAAGATTAGAGGTGTGCAATTATTTAACTCTTTTTAAAACTTCTTCAGTAATTTTAAACAATTACTTTTTAAATTAATTTTTAGAGCTTCGTCAATTTAAGTCACCAACAAATATTTCAAATTAAATACAAAAGAAATAATGGACATAGCAGTTGAAATTTGTTAATTCCATTTAAAGAAGGTCCCTCAGGTGGCATCTTTTACAGTCTTAATTTAACAAAGGATAGCCAGAATTATTATTACATATTATAACATACCAGTGTAATGTGGCTAGGTAGAAAAAATTTTTGAAATGATTTATGTAATTTATTACCTAGGACGGATTTTTTTTCAAAGAGCAAGAGCGTGCAAATTTAAATGATGAGACTTGTTCAATTAAGTGATTCAATTTAGAATTGCGAAAAAGCAAGACAATAATTGAAATGATCAGTAGCATTAATGTATACAAAACAAAATTTATTATGCTAGTAGAAGATATTCATCAAAACAATTTGAATCACTATCCAGATATGTCTGATTGCCTACAAAATCCTCAAAATTGTAATTGCAACATTGAAAAATACATAACAGAAATTAAAAAGGTGATAGAAAACTTTGCGGTCAAATTTAATAATTTTGAAAATTTTTTTATGCGGTATCAGTCGTTTCCCTTTAAAAAGATTCAGATGTAAAATATACTGCTTCAAAAATTTCTGACATGTTTAATATTGGAAAAAGAATGTAGTTTGGAAATGAAATTATAATTCAACAAACTAATCTAACCAGAGAGCTTCAGAAAGATTTGAGATGCAGACTTATGTGAATTAGCTTTTTCATTTTTAAAGTTCACAAAGACTGTTTCCTACTTCCTGATTACCGGCTTTACTTGCGCAATACTTGCTCACGTATAATAGTCGCACCCCTGTTTTGAAGCAGGAAAAATTGTCAGAAGTGCACAATATTATGTGTTGCGATGTAATGTGACTGAACTCGATACACATCCTCGTTTTAAACACAAACTTATATTAAATAATTGCACAATACAAGTAAAAAAAAGAAAATGACATATAAAACGTATAAACACGAGAACACAACAAATATAGTGAAAAATAGACAGCATTCCAGCTGCCCTGCGAATGCGTTCGTCTGAGTCTGACTGTACAACTGAATTCAATGTTCGTTTGGCATAGTTCCGGAAGCGAAAGAGTCAGGTTGAGTTGTTCTGTTCCGGCGCACCGGACCATTATGCATTGGATTTCTCCACAATAATAATAGTCACACCTAGACATTTACATTGGAAAATTGGCAGAAATAACTGTGACTGTTACCTGAGTAAATACTAACGATTTCAGGTTTTGCTCTTTTGAAGACTGGGTTTGAAATGGCAAATATCCATCAAGGGGATCGTACAAAGTCACAATTTCATCCTTTTCGTAATTTTCTAAATTGTCATGAGGCCACATGAAAGCGTCAAAGACAACACTTACCCCATCCTAGAATGTTTTTTTAAGGTACTTTATTTCATGTGAATTTATTTTCTGCTTTTCTAAATGAAAAATTGATTAATATTTATAAGCTGAATGTTTCTAAACTTTCCACTATTAGTAGTTGAATTGATAAACTAATGTTCATATTTGATTGGTTTGTCATTAGAGTATTTTGAAACAGGAGATACGAAGAATGAGCAATGCTCTTGCCAGGATCTGCACTCAGTGTTCTACCGTTACACCATAAAGGCATGCAGAAAGGAGGGAGAAAGTACTAAAGTATGGCATAAGTATAATTGGATTTCATGATTCTCTCCCTCAGAAAAAAATCATGAAATCTAAAAGTATATTATGCATGCATTATGGCTGTCACATCCCACTTCCCAGCTGCAATTTCTTAATCATCAGTGGCAAGTTGCCGACCGTTATTTTAAGCCCTGAATTTGTGTACTATATTAGTGTAGGTAATTCAAGACATAAAAATAATACTTTGAGTTGTGAGATCTTTCTTTGAGTCTAGCAGTGTTTTCATAAAGAAAACAGCATTTCTGAATGGATATATATTTTTCAACTAGGATCAGACCCTTTTTTTTTTTTTTTTTTTTTTTTGTCTTTAAAGAACTTAGTTGGTATAGTTGCGAAGCATGCCAAAAAATATTTAAAAGTTGCCAAAAAGGGAGAAACCAATTTAATGTTGAAGGCCAGTTCATAAAAGATAATTCTGATACACAGTTTTTTCTTTTCTTCCCCCTTTTTTTCTTTTCTTTTCCCTTTTTTTTCCTTTTTCTTTATTGTTGTAATGCATCTACTGTTTTAAGGTGCATTTAAAAATTGATTCTTTCAAATAGTTAATTGTAGTCATCTTTCATCTGAAAATGAGTTTTTAACTAGTTTTTCAAAATTAAAATGACAAGAATTTTATTTGTAATTTCTGTTTTAAATATTTTTTTCTCATCACTGTTGTATTTTTCATTTCTCTCCCTTAGGAATGGGTACCATTTGTAACATGGGTGCTGAAATTGGTGCAACAACATCTGTCTTTCCATATAATAAGAGAATGAGAGATTATCTGTTTGCAACTCGTAGGCAAGGTAGGCTTTACCGAGAATATTAATAATCTGGTTAATGCAATAATTATTTTCACTGTCGATTTTAATTATTTTCTATATTTTAAATTGATAAATTTTTAAATGGGCATTTTTCTGTTCTGGGGCAAGGGTCTTGTCTTTGGAGGAGCAAGGACTGTTAAAAATTTTTTTTTTGTGAATAGTTTATCATTTTTTCCCCCAGCAATTGCTGAACTTGCAGATGGGTATCTGGATTTGCTTACTCCTGATTCTGGATGTGAATATGACAAAGTTATTGAAGTAAATCTGGATGAGGTAATTTTGTAGTTGAATTAAAAAACTCACTGTTGTTGAAAATACAATTTATTTATGTTCTTTTCGGTTACTGCTTTATTTTATTTTTGTTAATACAAGAAGTAGTATTTTGTGAAGGGGAAAAAAAAAGGTGGGTAATGAAAATTTTTATACAGGTTTCTTTGCTAGTATGTTTTTTAATAATGATAAGCTAATTGAACATGAATTTGAGAATACTGCATGTGTCAGCTGTATTTTGCTAGCAGTTTTGTAATTGCCTTTAATTGAATGTATTTTGAATATATCTCATTTATAACCTTTTGTATGCTTTTACTGAAATAATGTCTAAATCTCATTTTAAAAGTGGTTTTTACTTCATAGTTTGTCTGGCCATATATACTCCGTGTTCATAAAAATTTGACCTTTATTTTCACAACTGTTGTAAACATTTATTTCCAAGTGCAAAAATGTTTTGACATAAATATGCGATGCTTTGTCATTTTGAAATTTAAAGAAATCAATTTACAAAATCTTACTTTTTATGTATATATTCCTGTGGTCTCTATACTTATATATAGGACAGTTTTGTGTACTGTTATAAAAATAAAATACAAAAGGCATGACAGAAATTAATGAAGATATTTGATATTAAATTTTTCTGCCTAAAAACATTCTTAATAACGTTGGGGGGCCATGGAAACAGAATCTTTAGTGCAGGTAGTAATCATCACACAAATCTATGATTTTCTGCAAATGTTTTGGGTAGTTTTCAAAGCCTTTGGCAAAGAAACTTGGTAGCTGCGAGTCCAAAAACAGATCAACCTCATTTTGGATGTCCAGTGGAGAACGAAAGATGGCAGCGGCAAGATGTTGCTATTATATATATATAATAATGTAAATATTGCCATATTTCTTGATATATTTTTCTCTTTTACAAATTTTATCACCGGAAAATGGAAAGGGGAAAATTATGCAAATAATTTAATTTCTAAAGTATGCAATAAGAACATAACAAATAAAAAGTAGTCATGATTAAACGTTGAGTAACTATCATAATATTTCTTTAAAAGGAATATAATTCCAATGAAAATTCATAGTATATTTAGCATTACAATATAGCTAAGATATTTTCTTTTCTACTTCTTTGTAACTTGAATCTTGCTTGCTTCTATTGTTGTCTCTGCTACTCCTTAGGCCTCAAATAATCCATGAATAGGGAAAGAAGTTTAAATGTACACTTGAATCAGTAAAATCTTGTACTTTGCTGTGATGGGTTGCTTGCATTTGGCTGGTATAAAGTTTAAGAACTAGAAGGAAAAAGTTGGGTGTAACCTTCGCGACTAGTTTGCAAGGGTTTTCTCTATTAGTAAGACAAAAACACTATGTAAATTAATCCATTTTAAAATTTAAGGCTTATTCTCAACACTTTAAGAAAAAGGAAAATTACACAATTTTTTTTTTTTTCTTTTTTCGTTTTTAGAACCTGATACTAAAAAGCTAGGAAGAAGCACAAGAAAATAACAATAAATGTTTTAAAACTACATTTAAATTAAGAGACTGATGAAAATTTTTTTTGTGCTGACGACTTTTATAATATTTAGTAGAACTCCAAATATGTAGAATATTTGAGACCATAACTGATGCTGGTAAAATTCATGATTTAGTTGGATTACTTATTTCCTGTATTCATTTACTGAAATGCAAATGAAGAATTTTTGGTGTATCATATTTTATTTCAACTTTTGGTTTATCATATTTAATTATATTGGTTTATCATATTTTATTTCAGGTGCAAGATTTTGCACCTGAAAAAGTATTTTTACTTTCTTAAATCAAGAGTACTTATTTGTATTTTGCCTGGAATGGCTGAAATTAGATTTTGTTTTTACATAATGTATAAACTGTCTTATTTTAACTATGTTAAAATTAATTAAATAGATTAATTATAAACCTAGTTTTGTTTGGTCAAGGAAAAAAAGTAGTATTTGGAGTTATGCTGTATTCAGAAAAATCATCTAAATTTTAAAATTATCAAATGTTTAAGTTTTCTCTTATTTCAAAATATAGCTTGAACCTCATGTAAATGGCCCTTTCACTCCTGATCTTGCTCATCCAATTTCTGAGTTGGGAAAAAATGCTAAAGCTAATGGTTGGCCTCTTGAAGTTAAAGTGGGTATGTTTTTATTAAAATTGATAAATGATTTTTTTAATGTTGCATTGCTAATTATGCTGTCAGTCTTCAACTTTAAGCAAGCAATATTAAATATGCTAAGTTTTTAATCCTAAATTTTTAAATCTTTTATTTGTAGAAGTTTTATTTATTTATTTATTTTTTTCATTTTATTATCTTAACCCTCTGGCTGCTTATCCCGCAATTTTCACGGGCAACTCAAATGTAGCAAAATCTGTTCATCCCGCAATTTCCGCGGGCATACGTTTTTCTTCCTCATCCAGTTTTTTTCCTCGTTTAAGCACTTAAATAAATTATATACAGTATAAGATGTTTAGTTTATGTTTTGGCCAACACATATTGTTTACTAAATTACGGCATTTGAAGGCACGTGGTATTTACTGCTGAAACTCCACTTTTTGCACTTTTTTCTCACAGAAATGGCTGCTAGAAAAATTCAGTGATTATCTTGATTATTTAATTAAATTATTGAATTATTAATAAGATTTATTGATTAGATTAATAATTAGATTTATTGAATCTGGTGTGCAAAGACTGAGAAGTTGGACTTTGCCTGGAACTCTGTTTTGAACTTTAAACTTTGAACTTTTTAAACTGCATGTCTTAGGTATTTTTTCCTCAGTGCTTTATATTTTCTTAAATTTTATATATTTAAATTTTTTATATTATGCAATAAATAGAAATTAACTAAGTCGACTGAAATTTATTTTAAAAACATTTTTTGGTGATGACATCTGAAATTGTTTTTCTGGCAACTTAGTTTCTCAATAAAAATCTATATAAAAAATATTTTCTAGAAAGGAAAATGCATTTTTTAATTCTTCAAATATATATAGATTAAAATTGAAAAAAAAATTGCACAATTTTTGAAGCGATTTCGGTCTACAAATTGAGCAGTCGGAGGATTTTGAAGAAACAAATTTTATTTAATAAAATTTATATAGTACACTTTTAAATCATTTATTATGCTTCTTTTCTGAGTTTTTTGTTCATTTATATAGCTTTAAATTGCCCAGTCCAATTCAAGGATTCCATTTCTTGTGTCAAAAGATTTCGAACTTATTTTTTCCCCTTCATTTAATATATATATATAGTGTATTTGGAAACTAAGTACCGTTTCATTCTAGCGCCGTCGCAGCGCTGTGGTAGGCGTCCCGCGCATGCGCGCTAGTCTTTCTTGTTCACTGACTTTCAGTTGTCGCCATTTTGGTTGCTCTATGTTGTGTTTTCAGTTTGCTGTGCACATTCAAAATGTTTAAGACAATTAGTTCTCCCGCTGACTGTAAGATTCGTGCCGTGATTAAATTTTTGAATGTTAAACTGGCCGAAATTTATCGTCAAGTGACAGAAGTTTACGGTGAATACGCGATGAGTGATGGAATGGTGAGAAAGTAGGTAAGAATGTTTAATGCAGGTTGAACAAATGTCCATGGCGAGGCTCGGAGTGGTCGGCCTTCTGTTGTCACCGATGATTTAGTAAGGAAAGTTGATGAAGCAATTCATGAGAACAGACCTTTACAATGACAACTTCAGAGGCATTTCCACAAATTTCACATATGTTTTGTTCAAAACTGTGTCTGACCGCTTGAATTAATCGCAAACTGTGTTCCGATGGGTTCCAAAAATGCTCGCTGATGTTCACAAAAACAAGCAACTTGGTAGGCCCTGACATTTCTCACGCGTACAGTGATGAGGGAGAAAACTTTTTAAACCAATTGTGACAAGTTGATGGAACTTGGGTGTGTCATTTCACACCAGAATCGAAACACAATCGATGGAGTGGAGACACACTCATTCTCCGAAAAAAACAAAAGTTCAAAGTGACAATGTCATCACAAAATCATGTGCACTGTCTTCTGGGATAGAAAGAAGACTTTTGCTTACTGAATTTCTTCCCAGAGGTGAAACCATTAATGCGGCACGATATTGTGAGACTTTAACAAAACTAAGGCGTGCCATTCAAAACAAACGAAGAGGAATTGCTCAGTAAAGGAATTGCGTTGCTCCATGACAATGCTCGGCCCCATACTGTTGGTGTTACTCAATCGTTAAGAAATTATGTCTTTTCATAGAATTAAAGAGAAAGTATTATCACATAAAATGAATCAACTTAAACAACTTACATTGAGGAAAATGTTTAATAAAGTAAACAAATAAATATTAAGCTTTTTTGCAAATTTTGATACCCTTTAGATCATAATTGTTCTTTATTTCATAAATTACGGTTTCATATTTTTAATTTTAGAATTTCTGCATGCCATCTTACCAGATTTAAACTGATGATCTATAATCCGGAATCGCCGAAGTCCCGACGAGTTCGGATTAACGACTTTTGATTGTATAAAGTTGTTTCTTATGAATGAAATTTGTGAATTAATTCTCACAAATGCAAATAAATATGCCGAATTCTCTGCAAGAAAGTGTGGCACTGTTGATTGTCAGTGGGAAAAAATTTCGTCTATGAAAGAAATATGGTCATTCATTACAGTCCTTCTCATAACGAGTATTGTGAAGTTACCAAGAATAAGTGATTAATAGTCAAATAATGCAATGCTTGGAAATGAAATGGTGAAGAAAATGATGAGCAAAAAGAGATTTTTGGAAATCAAGCATTATTCTCATTTGTCTGATAGGGAAACTGAAGTTAAAAATAGCGAAGAGAACTTTACATATGCACAAAAATTAGAGCCCGTCATTTCATATTTCAGAAAGAAATTTTAGCAACATTTTGCGCCTTATGCTGAAGTATCAATTGACAAAGCGCTAATTAAATTTAAAGGTAGATTAGGGATCGTGCAATATATGCCTATGAAACCAGCTAAGCGTGGATTAAAGATATGGATGCTCTGCCCATCTCGCTTAGGATATACTTACAACTTTGAATTTTATTGTGGCAAAAACGATCAGATACCAAGGTCAGGAAAGAGTTTAGGATATGACGTAGTTATGTACTTAATAAAAGCACTTAAAAACAAAGGCCATGAAATCTATTTTGACAGATTTTTCACCAGCGTAGACTTGATGTCTGAGTTATATAAATCTGGAGAATTATGTGAAACTGTGATGACAAATCGGAAAAACATGCCCGAGAATGTCAAGCAAATGAAGCTGGAGAATCAGTGCGACAGCGTAGTTATGCAATGCAAAAGCCTGCCGAATTTACTTTATTCATCCTGGCTTGATAAAAAATTGATACATATCATTTCCATAAACTGTGAAAATGAACCATATTTTACAACAGGAAGAAAAGGCTCCGAAAAATATAGTACCTTGTCCACCTGCATTTGACAAGTACAATAAAAATATAGGAGGTGTAGATCTAGCAGATCAGTGTCGAAAATATTACTCAGCTTTTAGAAAATCCTCGAAATGGTAGATGTACATATTTTGGTTCCTTTTAGGCACAACAGTGAATAACACCTTTATAATTCATAGTCACTAACTATTCAATCCTAAAGCGACCAAAGCAGCTATATGACTTCAAATTAGAACTGATTGAAGAATCCGCATCACAAAATTCGTTTCGAAAATGAACCTCAGGCATATTTTCGCCTAGTGCATTTCATGATCACAAACGTCGAAAAAGTAATGGTCGTAAGCGCACTTGTGTTCAATGTAAAGAATTAAAGAAAAAGACAAACTCGGAGAGGTATATTGAAAGTTCTTGGGAGTGTGAAATATGTGATATATGCAGAATGTGCTTGTGCAAAACATGCTTTTAGGCTTTGAATTTCAGTTGCTAAAATACGAAAAAGGCGCTCTTCAGGGCCACAAAAGGCCCTTTTCAGGGCTATACAATTTCAGGTACAGTTCTCTTATCAGGACCGGATTCAGAAATTTATGTATGGATGTATGTGTGTGTTCATGTATGCATGTATATACTGTAAGTACGTATGTATATAGACACTTATATGCATATACATACACACGTGCATATACTCGTATATTTCTAATCCGGTTCCGATTACAGAACAGTATCCAACTTCAAAAAAGTGAAAAAGTTATTGCACCATCACGAAAACACGTATAAATCTGGAATGAACAGCAGTATGTATATAAACATAGACCCATTTATGTATGCATGTACTACAAATTTATATGACTGTTAATATGCATATTTACCTATAATTTATGAAGAAATAATAATATACATATATAACTAAGTTAATGAAAACATGGAAAACTAATGACATTTATAAACGCGCTTTGAAACTCGTACAATAAATAAAATCATAAAAGTGTCTATAAATTAAGGTTTATTCCTCATAAAGATGGGATCAACAAATGGAAAGACCCTCATTATTTTTGCAAAAGGAAAAACAAAGTGAAATAAACTAAAATGAAATAATAATGCACCACATTAACTAAAAAATAGCAACTTAACGGGAAAAGAAAGTACATAAAGTGAAATCTTAATCCTCTATTCAATAAAAGAAAAAACAAGAAATTCCTGTAAAAATGAAATTTTAAAAAAGAAAATTATATTTATTCATCATGGGGTGTTAAAGTAGCCAGTATATGGTAAAGTACAAGGGGATTGGCGAAGGCATGGGAGTGATTTTCCGAATGAAAATTAGCTTGTATTTACGTTAATGTGATAATAAATATATGTATTTTGCTTAGCGGGGTCCATTTTATATCCTTTATAAAAACCCAGGAATATTTCGGTACTTAACAGAATTATAACAAAATTTCTACTCTTTAAACCAGAGCTATTTTATCATAATTTAAACAGCATAAAGTGCAGTTTTAGAAATTAAGGATTATATTTGGTTTTAATCAATTTATTCATTCCTATAAAAATAAGGGAAGTAAACAAAATTTCAGTCGTGGTCATAACAAAGCCAGAAAGGCTTGTTGGCCTGACCTTCAGAATAGGTTTATAAAGAACGGGGTTAAAGGCTAATGGAATCTTTGTTAGAAAGTACAAAGGATGTCATTCAAAAACTTCACACCTATTTTCTGCATTATTGGGCGGGGAGGGGAGGAAATTGCTGTGAAACTGGAAAAATATATTGGGCGGTTCGCTATTTTGAGGATACAGGTTAGCGAAGGGTCTGGATTTCAAAGAGTTAATACACAAATTCAACTTTTTGAAAGTAATGTTATGCCACTACTTCAAATACATAGTTAGATTTATTTGATTATACTAAAGAACTGCAAGGGCCAACTGCCTAAAAAGTGATGCCACACTGGGTAGGACTCTCTAAGGAAAACTGACTCTCATACATGTTACACGTGGGGAAAATGCTCATGCAGTCAGCTCATTTGCCAGATTCAAACCCTGGACCGATATACCATTATTTAGCAACTTTACTGCTCGGCTGCTGATGGGCCTGCCTCAGATAGAATACTTATTGTCTCCACATACCAGTGTGTTACTATTCAGTAAAGTGTAAGACATATTTCTTTCAAAAATAGTTCTGTTACTGAGTAGCAAGCCAACTGATTGAAATGCGATAAACACAGTTTTTAGAAATATTTTTCTACTTTTTAATAGGATCAGTTTAAATAAAAATGTATTTAGATCATGAGATGTCTAATTAGAAATATTAAATGTTTTTATGAAATGGCACTAGCTGGACTTGTGTATATTTATTCTTATTATATATTTTCTTTCTTATGACAACTCTTTTAAGTGGCTGGCCCCTTGAATGGCTAGTCTTCTAAGAAATAATGTAGTAAATATATATATATATGGCAACTCCTAACACTTTAACGAAGTTTTAACTTTTAAGAATTATTGCAGGAGCAGTCTACATTTCAAAGATTTAATAAAATTTCTGAAATTTTGTTCATGGCTTGTTTACGGTATTGATGAAGTCAAGTGCCAATAAAAGTCTGAAGTTTTCTTGGAGTAAAATATTTAGCATTAAAAGTGTTTTTGTTTGCTGTAGAGAATTTGCTAAAAGTCTCTTGCAAATCTGAAAAATTCAAATAAGTAACATGTAAATATTGACAGACATTTATGCGTGCTTTTAGTTTTTTAATTTTGTTTTATATCTAGTAATCCTGATATCCATAAATCTTTTAATCCTGAATATTCAGAAAAAGGTCTTTAAAGATGGGATTTTATAATTATAATCCGTTTTAAAATGAAAAATGGTCATATAGCATCGTTATCAGGGTTTTAGCAATTATAAAATGCATAACTTCAATTTCTATAAATGAGTGTTTGCTTCAGGGTTTGATTTTACATAGCTATAAACTTCTAGAAATTTAGGATTTCTAAGTACATATTTAAAAGATCTCTAATGAAGACTTTTTGTAATGGTTTCTTTTATGCTTTGCAGACCTGTTGTTTGGATGACTTATTCAGTTTTTTCCCTAATATTTAAGTTTTAAATATATAGGGTTGATTGGGAGTTGCACAAACAGCAGTTATGAAGATATGGCGAGAGCTGCTTCTTTGGCGAGACAAGTCCTTAGTCATGGTTTGAAATCAAAGTCCAAATTTACTGTTACTCCTGGATCAGAGCAGATTCGAGCAACCATTGAAAGAGATGGCCAAGTAAGTAAATGACTAAAATTTAATAACGAAACATTTACAATTATGTATGTTTTCATGCTGTTTATCATTAAACAGGATTTTTGTAATTTTGTTTTAAAGTGTTTAAAATATTTAGCACTATTAGTATAGGTATCAAATTTTTTATAGATTTGAATTTTTTGTGGTCTAATTGCCTTTAAATTATTTCTTTTAAATTTGATTAAATTTCAAATTTAATTTTAACTTTTCCAAATTAAATGATAATGAATAAAGTGAAATTAAAACTGTTGTGGTGTACATTATATGATCAAAAGTATTCCGCTGTCTTGGCATGTAGCTCTGTAAATTAGACAATACTGTGGTAAAGATTCACTGTTTACTGTTTTGAAAACTATCACCCTATCAGGAAGATTATCCACTTTTTTGAAATGCTGCAGTTGAAATTCATTGTCATTTTTTGGAAAAGAGTAATGGTCAGATCTGTTACTAATCGGAGGCAGTTTGGCCTAGATCATAGTTAATGTTCCCATTCATCCCATAAATGACTGTATAGGACTGAGGTTAGGCTGTGAGCAGAGTAGTCTAATTTTATTGACAGAAGCTCAGTCATGTTGAAGTGAGAATAAGTCCATATCAAACTATTGCCAGTATCTTGACAGTATGGAATTCTCTAAACTATTCAAATAAGCCTTTGCATACCTGCCAACTCTCCTGGTTTTACGTCACTTCTCCCTTAAAAAAAAAAAAAAAAAAAAAAAAAAAAAAAAAAAAAAAAAAAAATTAGCCGTTAAATAAGGAAAATTTTTCCAAGCAATGAATGAAATTTTTTGAATGAATAAAATTTCATTTCCACACTAATGATTTTCAGAATAATCTTTCTTATTAAACTGTACTTTTATTGCATCTGAATTGTATTTTTTCCTTATTAAATTTTATTTGGTCTGAGTTATTAATCTGCTGTAGACATTTTAAAAATTTTATATAAAGATTCAAGCAATATTTAATCAGTTAATATTCATAGTTTGTTTATGTTGTTTGTACATTGAGTTTATTCACACAAGTACATGAGTTATTAATTTTATTTTCATCATATTTAAAAATGCTTTGATAAACAACTACTCAGGATTTTCTCAGTATAAAAGTGTAAGAAAATTAAAAAAATGCAATTAGGCAGAAAAACATAAAAATTAGAATATCCAATTCAGTGCTAATATATTTTACATCAGAATTAAATTACAAATATTTTGGTAATCTGAACCATACATTATAAAGTGATTTAAAGTCAGTCTGAAGTTTCTTTGAAATGCTGTAGCCCTTGTAACCCCCTTTTTTTTTAGATTTCAAGGTTGGCTGCTATGCCTTTGTAGTGTCATACTTTCATCAATAGAAATTAGGAAGTCAAATTTAAAATTTAAGAAACAACCTGAAGCCATTTTGCATTTCCACCATCAAGCTTCATTTCAGACAAACTACTAGCAAGCAAATTATTTCTGTGCATTCTCCACACATACACAGATTTGTTTCTCTGTAGTATGTGGTATCATTGCTGAAGGTTGCAGTGCTGCTAACTATCATATAACTTCAAGTGACGCTTGTCTTTAATTGCCCTATGTTGATTTATATGTGGGTTTTCAGCCATGAAAATATAAGTAACAAAATTGTCATTGTACAGTGAATGACTGTGTAAATTGTTAAACAGTGAATAACACCTTTATAATTCATAGTCACTAACTATTCAATCCTAAAGCGACCAAAGCAGCTATATGACTTCAAATTAGAACTGATTGAAGAATCCCCATCACAAAATTCGTTTCGAAAATGACTTGTTTGACATCCAGAATTATCTTGAAATTCAGTGCATAGTTCTTGTGGTTCTGTTCACAACTCTCTTCAACGTTGTGTAATCTACCCTACAGGTGGCATAGTTGTGACCAGGTTGTGCATGATGTCAAGCCCCTGCAAGTTTCTATTTCACTGCACTGTTTATGGTAGAAAAAAGGAACTATGTAACATGATGTAAATTTTGCAAATAGATTTTTGGCAGTGTTCGCAGCTAATACCTCTTTCATTTGGCAGATTTTTATGTTCCCCCCTCCCCCTCTGCGATGACTATTGATATTTATTCATCTCTTTTTATGGCTATTTGAACATGTCTTTGTCTCTTCTTTTTTAATCTGTCAGAACTTGCATTGTAACATGCGTGGAAGAGTAAATCCTTTTGAAGGTATCCAGATGCTTTGATGGTAGAGTTTACTATGCATGAAATATCTTTCTTGTTACAGATTTAGCTAAACACCAATTAATTCTTGCATTTTTATTTTTCTTCCTTTTAATTTATTTAACCATAAAGCTAAAAGTATTTATTATATATTTATTATCATAAATAGTATTGTGATTGGAATTCGACTTCCCAAACTGTTGTATTAAAAGTTAAAATATTCTAAAACTAGAGATTTTCAAGTTCTAAAATCATAAGTTGGCATACTTTATTGAAACTGAGCAATAAAGCATGACACTGTATTGTTTATTAGGGTTCGTATGCTCCTTAAGAATCCTAAGTTTTTTTTAATCAATTTTTGGTCCCTAAAAGTCCTTAATTTTGGACAAAATTGGCAGAATGTCCTTAATTTTTTTTCCCCTCCAATGGCGAACACTTGCCTATAATGGCATTGACCACTCCTAAGGCCAGAAATGGTGGTATCCGTTCTAATCAGTAGCCACCATTCTCTTCCTATGCAGGGACAGAAAATTTTACATCCATTCCTTCTCTGGGATTCGAACTCGGGCCCTTTGGTACCGCAATCAGGCTCCCCTAACCACTATACTGTCTGGGCAGCAAATGTCCTTTATTTTAATCACATGAAATTTCCTTCCATTTTTGCAACTGTCTTTTTAAGTGTAAATTACCATTTTGAAGGAATAGTTTTGGTGTTTCACTGACAGATATGACTATCTGTTGAATGGGTTCATGGGTCATAACTTGTTTTTATTGCTAATATAAATGATGCAATACTTGAGTTTCTGGGCAAGAAGTGAAACATAGTCGTTCAAAATTATTTAATTTCTTTCTAATGAAGAAAGAGCTCTTAAACAATTTTTTTTTGCTTTTGGAGATATTAATTCTTTTATTAAGCAGTTCTAATTTTGATGACATATCAACAGTTTAGTGATTTTAAGATCAGTTTCTATAGAAAATTTTTAATTCAGAGATCTTGGAAGTTTTCGCCTTTTTTTTTTAAACTTTATAACATTGATAAATTTCATTTAAATAATCTATATTGAAATTATACTTAAGACACAACGTTAAAACATTTTCCCGCCAGTTATATTATAATGTGACATTACTTTCCATTTTGCCGACTCATATAATGTTTTGAATCTGAAAAATAAGACAATAAATGCTGTAAAGCACATTTTACGAAACAATTCTTAGCAAAAGCAAAATAGCTATGTAATTAACTAAAAATGTGTTCTTTTTATTTTTTTCGTGGTAAGAGTTCCCTCACCCCCATGTAATTGTCTCAAAATATTTAGAATTCTCATAATATGCATTAGTTTTCTCTATAAAATTAGTTTTATACTTTTCCTTCCAATTTTTTTTTCAAAATATATTTGTCTTTTTTTTTTTTTTTGCTGTTATGAAAGTGGTAGGGGAAAGATAATTTTTAATTATAAGATAACTTTTGTTTGTTAAAGCTGAATATATTGAAATGGTTGACATTGCATTTTGAATAGTGAAATGGGAATTTTACTTATTTACTGCGTTTATTACTAGGCTCAAACACTGAGGGAATTCGGAGGTGTTGTTTTAGCCAATGCTTGTGGACCCTGCATTGGACAGTGGGATCGGTAAGAGTTTATTTCTTGAAGTTTTGCATATGACTACTTAGTTTCTTTCATATTCTTAATATTTTTTCATATTTTGCAGAAAAGATATTAAAAAGGGAGAAAAAAATACAATTGTATCATCATACAATCGCAATTTCACTGGTCGAAACGATGCCAATCCCGCTACGCATGCATTTGTTACATCTCCAGAACTTGTTGTAGCACTTTCTACTGCAGGATCATTAGACTTTAATCCTTTGACTGATGAACTGACCGGTGCTAAAGGTAAAGTAATGATATATTGATTGACAGTTAATGTATTATTTAGAAATTTAGTGAACTTAATTGTGAAATTTTGCTAGAAAAAAGTATGTAATATCCAAAATATTTATTCATTTTAATAACTCATATTTAGGTATGCACACACACACACACACACACACATATATAGTAAGAAAAAATTTAAAAGTTAACACTGGACCTGAATACTAACACAGCTAAGGTTGTAAATGTAAATTTTAATTACTAATGTTGATTATTCGCTTGAAAATGAAAACTAAAAACTGATGTAATTTGGATTCTTATTAAAAGATAATGCCCTAGGATAACGAGTTTAAATTATGGAAATAAACTAAAATTAATTATTGTTTATTTCGTGGAAAAAAAAGGCTGTCTTTTCAAGGGAAATTGAATCAGATTTCCTAATTATTGGTGAATTTATCACAAAGGACTAATTCTAATTCCTCTTGAAAAGCCAACTTTTCCCCAAGGAATCAACAAAATTTATTTTATTTCTTTTTGTCTTTATAATTCTTTATAGTTCAAATACTCTGTTACAAAGTTTTATTTCCACAGTTTAAACTCGTTATCATAGGGAATTAACTTTTAATAAGTATCCAAATTTTCAAATTTACGTAGGTTGATCCAAAAAAAAGTTTACAAGCAGAAGCATTTGAAACGTAATAATTGCGGAGCGAATATTTCCACCCAGGGTGGTTGACAGATGGCGCTAGTTGTTCTACAGCAGTTCTACGAGTCAGTACGCAGACACTTAAGAGCGACAGTAATGACACGACGTCTAGAAAAGTGGTCTCGCATAGAGGTGCGAGCTGTAATTGATTCTTATGGGCCAAGAATGTGGCCGCATCCGAAATTCACAGGGCAAATCGTTGAGATATACGGGGGCAAAGCAATGAGTAGACAACAGGTAGCGAAATGGTGTCGTTCTTATCAAGCGGGCAGGTAGCATGTGGAAAACTGCAATATGGAAGCGAGCGGCCGTCCAAGTTCTTCAAGGATGGATATCAACACGGCATGTATTGAAGAAATCATCCAAAGGGATCGACAAGTAACCATGCGTGAGATTGCCTCAGAGTTGGACCTGAGTTATGGTAACATTCAGCGTATCGTAACCGATGAGTTGCGATATTCCAAAGTTTGTGCTCGCTGGATTCCACGTGCGTTGTCCGCGGAGCATAAGGCCACTCGAATGATGTTCAGCCTTACATATCTTCAGCGATACCGTTCAGACGGCCAACACTTCATTGATCGCATCGTTACCGGTGATGAAACATGGCTTCATCACTTCACCCCCACATCCAAAAGAGCCATGATGGAGTGGAAACACGCTGGATCACTGAAGAGGAAGAAGTTTAAGGTCACACCCTCTGCCGGTAAAGTGATGGCAACCGTTTTCTGGGATACGACTGGTGTTATCCTAATCTAGTATTTGGAGCGTAGCCATACTATTAAGGCCGATCGTTATTGTGACACCTTCCGACGCAGAAGGCCTGGATTAGTGAGCAAAGGCGTCGTTCTCAAAGGTTCAAGTGGGAGGTCTGGAATCACCTCCCCCCATACATCCCCGATTTGGCTACAAGTGACTATTTCATTTTTCCTGCGTTGAAGCGATACTTATCCTGAACATGGTTCACCTCAGACGATGCAATGAAAACAGCTGCCGAGAAATGGCTCAATGAGCAGGTCCCTGATAACTACCAAGACGGGATAAACAAGTTGGTCGAACGTTCTGATTAATGCCTAAACAGGTTTGGCGACTATGTGGAAAAGTGAAGGCCAGATGTGTTTCTTGATTCCCATTTGTATCTTGCTTCTGTTGTTAATAAATACTTTTTCATTTACCTTGTAAACTTTCTTTTGGATTACCCCTCGTATATATATATATATATATATAATTAGATAACCTTTTATATATCATCTCCAAGGAACAGAACTTCAATTAAAACTGCAAATTATTAAAACTCATTATCGTAGGGAATTGACTTTTAATAAGTATCCAAAATTTCAAATTCATATATATATAATTAGAGAACTTTTTATATATCATCTTCAAGGAACAAAAATTCAATTAAAACAGTGAATTATTAAAAATGTTTTAGTCAGTATTTTAATTAGTATTTTAAAATTGGTAGTTTCTAGACATCTGTTGCTTTAAAAATATTAAAATGTGAAGAATCCTTAATCACCAAAGTCAAAAATAAAAATTTTAAGTATTGAAAAAGTAGCTATTGTCATTGATCGCAGATTAATCGACTTACCAAGGCGATCAATGACAATAGCTACTTTTTCAATACTTTAAATTTTTACTTTTTTTTTTTTTTTTTTTCGCGATTAAGGATTTTTCTTTACATTTTTCTATTTTTTAAGCAATAGGGGTCTAGAAATTACTAATTTTAATATACTAATTAAAATACTGACTAAAAATTTTTAATAATTTGTGGTTTTAATTGAATTTCTTTTCCTTGGAGATGGTATATAAAAAGTTTTCGAATTATAAATTATTGGTGTACTACTTTGCAGCTTTAGTGTAGGTCATAGGCGTTTTACTTTTATTTAGAATATATATATATTGAAGCCAGAGGAAGTATTTAATTTTTTCAGTCTCTTTAATAGCTACATAGATGGCCATGCTGTTAGAATCATCTAATAGCTGTAGCAAAGTTAATATGTATTGCTTCCCCTTGTTTGCATGTGGTTTTCAAACCTTCTCGAAAAATCTGAATTACTTATATTGTCTTTGTCTAAAACCGAATGTTTGAAGTCCAGGAGTGAGGTTTCGTATAGTGGTGTTCATTGTCGCTCAGGCTAGATACCTTTTTTTTTTTTTTTCAGAGCCTGAGTTTGAGTGGTTTTTTTTAAACTTGTATACATATATGTATTCATAATGAAGCAGATTTTGTAAAAAATAAAATGAAGCGTATTGCTGAAAATGTTTACTATTTTGTTGCGCCAACTTTTTGTAATTTTCATTTTTACATTTAGAACCATGGGCATTTTCGCATTTTACAGATAAATTCACATATTCATACTCTAGAAATTGAATATTTTGGGAAAGCTGTAAAATAAATGTTGCAGAATTATGTGCTTTTTATGTTAGATTTTAAATGTTTAAGGTAAATATCCACACCATATGCATGTTACCAGATGTACTTTTATCTAACAATGGATGCAAATTGAATATCAAAAGGCAGTTGCAAATTTACTTTTAATTTTCCACTTAAAAGCATTATTTTACTAAGCTTAAGATTTTTCAAGCCAGAAAAAAATCAAAGCAATATGTAGGGATTGTCTTGTGCCTTTTCATAAAAAAAGGGGGGGGAATTCGTGGAAGAAATTTGCACAATTTTTTGGATAGAAAATAAAAGGACTGTTTCTAGGTGATGTGTTGAAATGCTATCAGGAATGTGATGTTTCCAAAAAATTTTCAGCTGCAAAATTAAAAAATGAGGGCGAGAATTATTATATTAGTTCACCTAAATGAGGGAAGGGAAGCCAGGTTATTTACTTGAAGGAAATTCTTCATTGCTATCATAATATGAAGTATACTGAAATAAATTCACTTTATCTTGGGGGTGGGGAACACTTTTATATGATCCACTAGTGGCCAAGTGGATAAGAATGCTCAACATTGCTGGTAGTTCGCCCCTAGATATGAGCTTACCACAGCTTAACAATGCAATTTCTGAATGATGGTAATTTGACACAGATGAAATCTCAGTGAACAAGCTGGCTGCATGGGAGTTTTCATAGATATAGGATGAATATGAGCCCCAATTCTTGTAAGTTTAAAGTTTTTCTTGTATATTGTTTGAATCTGAGGCTGTTTCTTGTAAGAACTTCTTCATGAAGGCATGCTTTTCCATAGCCTGTGCTTGCTGTAATTCAAATAATTCAGTCTGGTGCAATCCTTCTGGATTTGAACTGTTATAGACTAGTCTGGCTGCATAGGTGTTTTCGTGGTTTCCTCGTGTGTAACATGAACTATACTTTTGAACATAATTACCATCACTGTCAATCATTACATTCACTGTTCATAATTACTTGCGAAAACTGTTGTTAGATCATCTAGCTATTTCTGGACTGCCCTAGAAACATCACCTAAGTCCTTCATAGCTTTTCTACGTGTAATAAATCATGATTTTTTAGAAAAGAATTCTTGCTTCCAGATTAGAAAAGTATAATTGGACTTAAACCTAGTGTATCATAATTAAATTTTCAATGAAAATGTTGACTGCGACATCTTTTATCTGGGATGAAAATTATCTTAAATTATTTCTATGAAACTAAACATATTGCTTAAACAATGTGTTTATTGTTTTAAAAAAATATGGAAACCTGTATTCTGAAAATGCAAATCTAGGTGAAAAATTTAAGTTTAAAGAACCATATGGTGAAGAATTACCTCCTCGTGGTTTCGATCCTGGTGAAGATACATACCAAGCTCCTCCTGCTGATGGCTCTTCGGTCGCTGTTGATGTTGATCCAAAAAGTCAAAGGTTGCAACTTTTGGCTCCTTTTGACAAGTGGGATGGTAAAGATTTAACAGATATGCAAATTCTTATTAAGGTAATTTTGATTGTAATTATCTGAATGTGAAATATAAAACTTTTGTTATTAGAATTATAAATTTAAAAATACTCAACCATTTTGCTAAACAAGCATATTTTCAAAAGAAATTAAATGGAAAAAAAAATTATATTAAAAACTAAACTTTTAAACTGAAAGCATTTTTTTGGGGTATTCTTTTCATATGTTACATAAAAAAGAAATAAGAGTGTTTTTTTCCACACTTGTGATTCAAGTTGATTATTTTTATTGTTATTTCAATTCTTAATTTTTTAATTTTATATAATTTTGAAAATTAAAGTAATTGAAAAATGCCATTTAAAATGTGATTGAAATTATAATGCTAGAATGTTTTTTATGATTAGAAATTTAGATAAACTACTTTTTAATTAGGTGAAAGGAAAATGTACTACTGATCACATCAGTGCTGCTGGGCCATGGTTGAAATACAGAGGACATTTGGACAACATATCTAATAATATGTTCATAGGGTAAATAAAATTATTTTGAAACCTAATTTCTACATGTTAGGTAATCTCTTTTTAATTAGTAATTTATCATAATATAACTGTACTTGTAAGGCTTATAATTGTTTTCCTCGTGGAAATAAATAATACTTTGGTGTGTAATACAAGGTGTGTTCGAAAAGTTTGGTGAATTTTACCATACAAAAAAAAAAAAAAAAAAAAAAAGGAAACAAGAGAAGTAAGTAAAATGGCCTTACTGGCCTTCAAAGTATTTGCCATTAGCAACAATACACTTTTGACATCGGGTGTACAATTGTTGGAAACTGTCTGCAAACACTTCTTTCGGTATGGCTCGAAGCATCGTTGTCACACGTTGTTGGATCTCAGTAATGTCGGAAAATTGTTGGCCTTTCAGAACTCTTTTGAGGCAGGGAAACAGGAAAAAGCCCGCGGGAGCCAGATTTGGAGAATATGGAGAGTGATCCAAAACTGGAACCTGGTGCCTGTTGAGGAATTGGGTTACACGGATTGCAGTGTGTGGCCGGGCGTTGTCATGGAGAAGATTCCACTGTCCATTCCGTTACTGTGGCCGAATCCGGCATATACATAGCAGCCACCGTTTCAAAACCCCCTCGTAGTATTCCGCATTGACGATAGTAGCCGCGGGTACAAATTCACGATGGATCAAACCCTTACTGTCGAAAAAGACGATCAACAAAGTCTTGATCCTGGATTGTGTCAAATGACTTTTTTTGGGAGGGGGTGACGACGTTGAACACCATGCCATGGATTGCCGCTTGGTCTCTGGATCGTATTGATAGCACCACGACTCATTCCCTGTAATTATTGTTTCCAAGAATTGTGGATTCCAGTCACACATGTTGATAAAATCTTCAGAGGTTTCCGTCCGGTATTGCTTTTGCTCGTCTGACAGCGAGTGCGGTACAAACCGGGCACATATCTTACGTTTATGCAAAAGGTTGTGCACAATGGTGCTCACACTGTCTAGGCTTATCTGCAATTCACCAGCTATCATTCTTAAAGATATCGTCGATCTGGCCGCAAAGCATCCGTCGAACTCATTCCACATTGTCTGGAGTTGTGCTTGTTGTAGGGTGCCCCGACCTCAGCTCATCTTTGACACCCTCCTTTCCATCTGTAAAGCGTTTAAACCACTCATAAACACACTTTTACTCACTGCTTCTTGACTGTAAACTTTCACTAACATGTCATGTGTCTTCATCGCCGTTTTGCCTAATTTGAAGCAAAACTTTATGCATTGCTCCATGTCACACTAACAATCTTTCTCACATTGACTGTGTTAAACTGCTCATAGCATGCGCTTCCTCTTATCTGTCGTAAAATGGCCATTAGATGGCTCTAGATGACATTTCTCTCACTGCGTCTGCACGAGTGCAAGATCCTAACCAGCGCGATTTTTTAATTATGAGACCAGTCACCGAACTTTTCGAACACACCTTGTATAAAGTAAAAAGACAGAGATGAAGAAGTGACTAAAATTAGATTATAATCATTCATCTTTTTGAGTAGACATAGGTCCATACCTATGTTTAAACCATTATATATTGCTTTGACAAGCAAGCATATGCTTAAACCATTATATATTGCTTTGACATATACCTGCATATGGTGGTATGCTCCTTAAAAATTCCTCCATGTGGCCTTCTCCCTTGTCATGTAGTGCCTAACAATGGAGCACATAATAAATCAATAATAATAAAGGTGTTCTGTTGATCTGGATTTACGAATATCAAAAGCCTTCTTGCAAAAATTCCTTCAGGTATCTACTCCTCAGTTAGTTTAAACATATACTGCCCGGACAGGAAAGTGGTTAGTGAGTGTGACTCGTACTTAAAAGACCCAGGTTTGAATTGTAGAGAAGGTATGGATGTAAATTGTCTGTACCTTCATGGGAAGCACTGGTGGCCTACCTATTAGGTGCTTCCATAATAAACTCCAGTTTTAGCAGCGGCCAATGCCTGTAATGGTTAGTGCCTGCCATTGGAGGGGGGAGCAAGTTATTATAAGATGGCTGTAACTAGCATACTAACATGTCTAATATGTTTTCAGCAGGGAAAAAAAGTTTGAAGATCAGGCAGGCCAAGGAGAATTATACACTGCTCAAAACAATTAAAGGTTATTGAGGTTTTAGGTGGATCTTGTGGCTGGGAAACGTTTTAGCTGATTGATACATGGTCGACAGACGTAGTAGGTTATATGAGAATAAATTACACATGTTTGGCAGAAAAAAATGCATTTTATTGCGCATTTGTGTACAAAAGGAAAAAAACACAATTTGTGCATATGAGAAAAAAAGAATAAGAAAAGGTGTTTTCTTCAAAGGAAATCATTTTCAGTAGGGGGTATGGTTTCCACGGACGGCCAGCAACGTTGAACACCTTTGAGGCATGGAGTCAATGAGGCTATTAATCACGAGTTGGGGTATTCTGTCCCACTCTTCCAGAAGAGCTCTTTCCAGTTCTTGGAGAGTTTGTGGGGGGGGTGGTTGGCGGCCAGCAACTCGTCTTCCTAGAGCGTCCCAAACGTGCTCTATTGGATTCATGTCTGGAGAACACGCTGGCCATTCCATTCGTACGATTCCTTCCTCGAAAAGGAAATCCTCCACCAGGTTAGCACGATGTGGCCTGCAGTTATCGTCCATTAAAATGAAGTCATCTCCGATTGCTGCAGCGTAAGGGACTACAATAGGTCTGAGGATCTCATCCCTATATCGGCGACCAGTCAGAGGTCCATCTCGAATGATGTAGAGGTCTGTGCGCCCGTCAATGGAGATGCCACCATACACCAACACTCCCCCACCGCCAAATCTGACACTTTCGTGCACGAACGCAGGATTATTCCTACTGCCACGGTCCCTCCAGATGAAAATACGCCTATTATCAGGATGAACAGAAAAACGGGACTCGTCAGAAAAAAGAACATTGCTCCATTCATTTCTCCTCCAGTTTACATGCTCTGTTGCCCACTCCCTGCGGTGACGACGATGCCTTGATGTTAGTCTAACACATACCATCGACCATACAGACCTACACCATGGCCGAGTTTCGGACAGTCTGAGTTGAAACCGTGGTGCCAGTAGCCGAGCGAAGGTGTTGTTGGAGAAGAGTAGCATTCATATTTCGGTGTCTCCGAGCCGTTAACACTAAAACAAATAAAAACGATCTTCATTGGGCGTTGTTGCCCGTCTACGACCTTGCCCTGGTCTTCGGCCTGCACTTCCAGTTTCCAAAAAACGGTTCCAGATCCTGGAAATCACACTTTGTGACACTCCAATGGCTTGCGCTACTTCGGCTTGAGTTTGGCCCCCCTTCTAACCTACCAACAACTCTCCAAGCTTCTGAATCGGTTAAATGACTTCGCTGAGACATCGTACTCATCGAAACAAAGCAGTCACTGAATGCCGATCATCCTTGTCTTCATTGTCTTTTATTCAGTTGAAAGTCAAATTTCATTCGCTGCCGCTGAAGCGACGTTTTTGACGTCGAACTCAAAATTAGCATACTCCACAGTTTGAAAATCAGAAAAATTTGCATTTGTGATTCTCTTCTTCCATTTTCGGCAAAAAAAAAAAAAAAAAAAATTTCGCTTATATCTTTATTTTATATAAAACTTACAATATTCTTTAATTGTTTTGAGCAGTTTATTACCTGCAGACTTTCACTATATGAATGAATACCTTTGACATTAGCTCCTGAAAGGTTGCTCTTCGTGGATGCACTGTATTGGCAATAGAGCAGGTCACAGAATAGTGTTGATGTATCATTCAAGGTACTTATTTGCTGAGAAAATAGCCAAAGGTGAACCGGTATAGTGGTTAGCTTCGCTGCCTGCAGCGCTGAAGGGCCCGGGTTCGAATCCTGGAAAAGGCATGGATTTTTGTGTACTGTTGGTGCAGCATGGCAGCACTCTAAATATGGGGTAAGCCGAAAATCTTCTTGTGTAGTTTGGTGGAAGAGGAGAGGGGTGGAAGGCCCTTGGATCCATTCCCCCAGGTGCTCTCCATCAAAATTGGGGGTGGAACTGAGCTAAATCGCACTATCACCTGAATGATGCTCAAGACTGTTGCCTACAGCAGGCGTAAGCTAGCCCTGCTTGCCACGAGGAATTTCGTGGGCTTGGCTTGACGTAGACAGACAAGTGAGCATAAAACAATAGCAGCATAGGTAATGGTTGCCTAAACTGTAACACCAGATGTGATACAATGTAAACCATTCCACAAAGATATAGAACGAGCAACTTCAGGTCAGGCTACAGTTAGTCGTGAATCTTTCTGTTATCCATGAAAAGCAAAAACCATGGTTCATCACTGGATGCAGTACATGTCATTAGGTTTATTTCAACCTGTTACTATTGTTATTTTCATGATAATTATGGATGCCATGATGGGAACATCACAATTTGATCATCATTGGTTTAGTTTTCAGAGAGTAGTAAGGCTAGTTTACTTTATTGAAGGCAGTGGTGCAAATTCTGTTTAATTTGCTTGATTGATTAAGTGATGAGGTAGGTTTCAACTAGCAATAGTAACGCTTTGGTAGTACCTCATCGGCTATGACACTGCCTCATGGTATTCAGTGAGTATTTTACTATATCAGAAACAATACTGTCCAATAAAGTAGGCTGAATTGATGCATTGGCTGATACCGTATATATGTTTTCGGAAAGGATATATTTCCTATGCCCTTTTGACCCACACTGTGTATTTTCTATCTACACTAAATGTAGATGTTGTTGGATGATTTTTTTTGGGGGGGGAGAGGATACAAACTATATTTTTAATGATCTAATATTATAATGGAAAGCTAAATATGAATTGTAATGAGATTTTTAAATTTAGTGTTTAAGTATTTTTTGCCATTTAGCATAATTTTATTTAATAAATGTCATTTCACGTATATTTTTATAGAGCTATCAATGCTGAAAATGGTGAAGCAAATAAAGTTAAAAATCGTGTAACTGGAGAATGGGGAACAGTACCCGACACTGCTAGGCATTACAAGGTATAGTATTAAGAAACTTTTGAGAATTATATAATTTTCAGTTATTATTTTAGCAGGTGTGGTGAATGTAGTGGTGCTTCACATATTAAATAACCCATTCCAAAAGGCCTATGAACGGGCTGGCTGCATGAGCGTGGTTTTCTCCATGTGTAACGTGTATACTAGTCAGTTCCCTTAGACAATACTCCACGAAGGCATCCCTTCCCTTAAGCAGATAGCCCTCGAGAGCTTTGCCATAATCAAATAAACCAAACCATTCCAGGACTGTGTTATGTGAATCAATTTTTTTTTTTTTCATATAGGTGCTGTTTCCTTTTATGGAGGGGATAATAATTTTTAATTTAATTACCCATGGGAATAATTTTTAATCAATTCTCAAACCTGCTGCAAACATCATAAAACAGTATCAGAAACTATTAAAAAAACTTTTAAATTTTATATTATGTCCATAGGGGTATTTTTTTAATGTTTTGTGTGTTACCTTTATTTATTAAATATCATGTTCTTTGCACTTAAACCCTAAAATTCAATTCAACAGCAGTATCACAAAATATTTAAAAGAGCATATCTTTAGAATTTCTGATGCACAGTTTCGCATATGCTGGAGATAAATATGTCCCCCCCCCCCATACAGTGTAGCCACTGCTCGCTTTGAAATCATTGAGTTTCTTAATCAAAAACTCATGAATGCTTTACAAAATATGAAATAGATAATAAAACAAATTCCAAATTTGGGCTTCCAGATGCCGTTATTCGGGTGGAGACATACGTTATTCAAAATTTGATGGGTCTAGATACCTTTGTTTTATCACAGTACAAGAAACATGCATACATTTATGCAGATTCTTCATTATTTAATTTCCTTAAATATAATGCAGGGTTCGAATGTTTGGTGGCAGCAATTAAAAAGTGATTTGCTATTTAGTGAATCAACGCAAAATGCCAAAATGAAATTAATAGCCCCTTTGGGCTAAAAGTGCCATCAGGGGCTAAAATCATTGCCTAAAACTGCCATCATTGGGCTAAAATTTGCCATTTATAGTGAATCAATGCAAAATGCCAAAATGAAATCAATAGCCCCTTTGGGTTAAAAGTGCCATCAGTGGTAGGAACGTTAAGACCTTATAATCTTTACTAATGAGGAGATTATTTACATAATGTAATATATATTAATTTACATCATGTATATAGTCGTACAGTTTTTTTGTGTGTGTCATTCTTTCTCGGGAATTATATTTAATGCTCAATTATTTTAGATCCTTCTGTGGATGTCTCTAATGCTTGTAAAAATTGTTTAAAAAAAGTGTCTCCCTGCATTTATATATATATATATATATATATATATAACTCTTCAATAATAAATTTAAATCCTCAAATGTACTTTTACTTCCTGTTTTGCTCAAAGAGCAATTTACTACAGCGTAATACGTATAAAAAGTGTTTAAAGTGTTAAGCCATTCTCATTCTTTTAATAGGAAATATTCTTTTTTTTTCTTTTCTTTGTGCTAGTCTAAAGGAGTGAAGTGGGTTGCTATTGGAGATGAAAATTATGGTGAAGGCAGTAGTCGAGAACATGCAGCTCTTGAACCTAGGCATCTTGGTGGCAGAGCTATTATTGTTAAAAGTTTTGCAAGAATTCATGGTAATTATTTTTTTAATGTATTTAAATACAGTCAAAAGTCGTTAATCCGGACTCGTCGGGACTTCGGTGATTCCGGATTATAGATCATCAGTTTAAATCTGGTAAGATGGCATGCAGAAATTATAAAATTAAAAATATGAAAGCGTAATTTATGAAATAAAGAACAATTATGATCTAAAGGGTATCAAACGTTACAAAAAAAAAAGCTTAATGTTTATTTGTTTACTTTATTAAACATTTCTTTCAATGTAAGTTGTTTAAGTTGCTTCATTTTATGTGATAATACTTTCTCTTTAATTCTATAAACAGAGATAATTTCTTGTTTAGTTACAAAGTTCCGCTGTTCAAGTTCTATAATTGCTGTGTCAAGAATACCGACTAATTTGTCAATCGAAATTTTCGTTTTCAATAACCTCTGTGTCACTTTCTTCACTATCGGAAGCAAATTATAATGACGAGGAATTTGATTTAAATCATATCAAAAACGGAATACATCGAGATGAAATACTACATTTAGTAAGGAATTATAACCCAAATAGAATGAAAACATCTGCCCTGAAGATAAGGATAGTGCTGACAGATCAACTTCCAATTCATTGCCCCCCTCCGCAGAGCAATGTGAAATTGATAAACAGATTTCGGAATAGTTAGGTAATTTTTTTGCAGCAATTCCACTTTTGTTTAATGGACTTCGAAACATACTTTCGCTTTGTAGATCCTTTACATATCAGTAAATGTATATCGGAAATTCTATTTGACATAATCGAAAGTTCAAGCTTACTTTTATAAAATTGCTCTAACAGTCTGCAAAAAATAATTCGAAGATTAAGGAACAACGCAATCTGCAACATTAACTGAATTAGATAATTTTAGCTTAGCTTATACCGTCCGTTATACATTGCACGCGCATGCATAAACGTATTTTGCACATGCACACACGCATATTCGCTGCCGTAAAGGTCTTACGCGCATGCACAAAAAGTTTGTAGCTTTGAGGTCCTTATTATAGATCATTCGGATTATGGGTGTCCGAATAACCGACTTTTGACTGTAGTTATAAAAGCTAAGGAGTTGCAGTTTCTTTATTCATTTGAATTTACATTTCTAAATCATATATTTTGAATTTTTATGTATGTGTGTTTATGTAATATGATTCTTGCATTAATAATGCAGTGTTAAAAGGGTTAATTAATTATGATTGAAATATATGTGCCTTGTTGTTTCATGAAATAAACATATATGTATTAAATTTAATTTAATAATTACATCTCTCTCTATTTTAAATTGCTGACTGCAAAAGGAAACAAGTTCTAGTAATATTTAGTTTTATCCAGATTTGCTTAATTCCAAATAAATGGAAGGAAATTAAAAAAATTATTGCACCTTTTTGGTGAATCCATTAAATATTGTATGTACTGCTGTTAAGATCTTTGCGGACAGTGATATATGTGAAAGGCTATAAACTTGTACATCTTTCTTGGTAAATGGACAACAGATCATTTATAGCTTCCTAAATGTTTATCTTTGCCATTTTATTGCAGCTTTGTTTAGCCTGCCATTCATACGTCACAATTTCAGAGTAGCACAGAGAACTGGGAAAAAACTCTATATTAAATGTCATTTTTACAAGACAGTTTCTCACTGATATTGTTCAAGCAACATGTCCGATTAAATCTTCCTTAATTAAGATACTCGTTTTGAAAATTTGAAGTTTGGCTGTTGTATGTCAAAAATTGGTCGAGATATTTAATTTCAAAATTTGCGGTTTTTTATGCCGTCTTCAGCTTACCATGAGGGATCGGTTAATTTAGAAGAATAATTGTAGGAAATAAGTTTAAATGATATGCACAAAAAGTGTGTAGAATTTAATAGGCAGTACAAGGAGGTCAAGTGATATCCACATCAGAATTTTTCCTTAGTAGAACTAAAATTATCTGGTAGTTAAAACCTTATTCAGTTTATTTAAATTGAAATGTTAATGGTCGACACTCTTAGAGCAGCATTTGTATCTGTTCCAAATGTAGAAGTACAGAATATGATGCAATCCTGCAGATTAGTTTTAGCCAGTTGTTGAAAAGTGATACAAACATTGTGATATTAACTGGGGCAGATGTATTTTGGCAGATCATGGAAGCTTCTTCTTTCAAAAAATAGACCAAGCAATTACTTGCATCAAAATTGTAAAAACAACCTTGTGTTTAGCGTAGGTATAATGAAACACTCAAAAAACAAAAAACAAAAAAAAAAAAAAAAAATCTAGTTATAACCACGTGCAGTGCTGATAAGGACCACATGTTTCTGTGACTCCTTTATTTTCTTCTTTCTAAGTATTTCTTTCTTCTGATGAGGAGGGACCTTTAGCTGCCCTCGAAATCGATTGAGTGTTTCATTATACCTACGCTAAATACAAGGTTGTTTTTACGATTTTGATTGTCACATTAGCATGTTTCTCTTCTAGTCTAATTATTTGCATGCCAAAGAACTTTCGGGTTTGCTTTACATGGAAGTCGAGATGTTTATAAGCCTAATGAGGAAACACTTCCCTCATTAGGCTGGTGTCATTGAATTTTTGTATAACTGCTTCAGATGTTCAAGTATTGTGGAAGCTTGGTGCTTTAAGAATTAAAGAAAACATGTACTTGATATACTGTTGTAGTGATTGTACTTGATATACATGTACTTCATGCACTGTTGTACTGATTGTAGAACATGTACTTGATAAAGCATTGATAGATGAATTTGAGAAAAATTTAAAATTCATGAATGAGAGAGATGAAACTTGATTTATGGAAGTTTAGTTACAATGAATTAGGAAACTATTTTCTGGATAAAAAGTGGTTTGATGAATTAGGAAAGTGTTTTCTAAAAATTATTTGGTTTCTAATCAGTATAGGGAAATAATAAATGACCAAAAACAAAATGGTGTTAGTGAGGAATACGAGAGAGATGAGTATTTTATGCCTCATAGAGTAGTTGTTAGGAATGATAAAGAAACAACTAATGTTCAGATAGTCTTTAACTGTAGTCCAAAATGTAAAGGTATCTTTCTCTGAATGATTGTTCGGAATCTGGCCCAAATTTAAAGCCATGTATTCTTAATGTAATTCATAATTTTCATAATTGCAAAATGGTGATAGAGAGAAGGCTTTTTTAATGATAAGAATATCTGAAAAGAGATAGTTTTTAGTTTCTTTGGTATTCAGCTAATCCTAGTGAAGAATACAAATTTATGAGAATGAAAAGACTGCTATTTGGCTATAAAAGTTCCCCTTTCATTTTGATTGCCATAATAAAGCTTCATTTAAAAACAATTTGAGAAGTAAATTAAACAGGGTTCGTAGCGGTCCTTACAAGTGCTTATAAGTCCTTATATTTGAAAATAAAATATAAAGGCCCTTATAGGTGCTTACTTTTCCTTTAAAGCCCTTATTTTTTGCTTTTAGTGCTTTTTTTTAATCTTTTGTTTTTAATGAACGCGCATTTTTTCCCGGTACCAAAGCCGAAACTAAATAAACAACTTTTCTTTCTTATATGCAACGTCAGATGGTGAATCATACTTCCGAAAATTGCTTCCTCCCCCTCCTCTGCATTAACATAACCTATGGTGCACGCGAGAGTACAGACAGGTGCACGTCGTTCTATTGGCCAAAGAATTGCGAAAACGTAGAAAATTCCGGTACATTCGGTATTCTTTTTCTCCCACCCAAATACTACACACGTTTGAATTTCTATCAAGATTTTAATAATTTGCATTCTCATTCCGCGTGGTCACTTCATATTCGTGTTATTATGATCGTTATGCTTATATTATGAGCATATGTATTAATATTTATAATAGTATAGTTGCAGTAACTGCTGAAGTATAGATAAACTTCCAAAAATGGGTGTGTTTTTACACAGATCAGCTTTCTAAGGAATAATATTCGGAATGGCTTAAATAAAAGGAAAGTAATCGAATAGTCAAAATAATTTCATTTTCTTTGCCAATACATTATACAGTACGGAGGTTGGGAGTTTCTCCGCAAAATCTGTAATATTGAAGCAGCGGACTTTTTTTTTGTCACTGTCCAATCTGGATTGAATAGGACTAAAAGTTTTTGCTGTCTACCCAACCCATGCGACGATTGATTTTGATTGATTTTATTCCGGAAATTTAATACAGTCTGTTGAAAATTAGAATCAGAAACACCCCAGATTAGTAAGTCTTTCTTTTCCTTTATTTAGTTCTTTTTTCTCTGAATACCGGCAGGTGTTGATTCCGATTGCGTAATATCACATATGGAAGAATTACGCTGTGCGTATTGCGCAATAACGTTTGTGGTATTTTGCAGAGATAATTAATTTTGATGTTCAGTCTGAGATTTATTTATGAACACTTAAAAGAATTTTACTGTGCTTTCTAAGCAGAATATTTCTCAATTCCATTGGTCTATTTTTATATGATGCACATATTGAAATGTCAAAATCATTTATTTAGCCGAGAAATCTAAAGAACAGCTAAAATCTCCCCCCTCCTCTTTTTCCAGTTACGCTCGACTGTACGGAATATTTGGCAATTTCCAAGTATGTGGGTTAGTTAAGCTTTTACTGTTAAAGGATGACAGCATGAAGCAATTTTCCCTCTCCTGATTTCAGAAATGTTCCTTTTTTTTTATTTTTTACTTAAATTACTTTGCTTGGAATATATGTTAAGGGAAAACTGTTATGCAATGAAAATTTAGAAAATGTTCAGAACTTTGATTTAAGTTAAATTATTTAAATATTAATACGAGTGGAAAAATAAATTGTATTTATTATTAGGTGCCAAACGAATATAATAAATATGGCTTATTATTATTTATTTTCTATATTTTCAACTGAAATATCATCATTAAATTTTGTAATATAGTTTAGTTCTGCATAGTTTTTTTTTCTCTCATTGTAAACTAATTCTGTAAATTGAACTGAACTGTCATTTAAAATTAAAAAAAAAAAAGTTAATTGTTTTCCATTATTGAGGAAATGCTCATTCTCTTAATAAATATTGCATTGCTCATATTTTAAATTACAAGTCTAATTTTTCTTTTAAGGTTATGCAGTTGTGTATAATGTAATTAGACAGGTGCTTATTTTTTCCTTAAAATGTGCTTGAAAAGTGCTTATAGGTGCTTATTTTTTTAACTAAAATGTGGCTATGAACCCTGTTAAATCATTTGAAATAATGAATTCTGCATGTTATGTAGACAATTTATATTATGGTGGCAATAGTGTGCAACTCATTTGAGTTTTTTGGTGTTGTATCAAGTGGTGGGGTTGAGGAAATTGAGGTCGAACAGTAGAGAGTTAGAAAAAGGACAGCAACGGTGAGATAATGGGAGTTAAGCAGCAAGGATCCTAAGGTTGAACTGCAATCCTGAAAATGAGTTTCTGTTGAAAGTGAAGGGTTTGGTAGATTCCTGGAAAATATTGCAAAACAGTAAGAGATGTGTTTTTCAGACAGTGGCAAAAATCAGTTTCATTGCATCATTTATGATACATTCATTGTTACAGGACATTTGGCAGATACTGTGTGACTTATGCGCTTATGGAACAGTTTCCCCCCCCCCCCAAGGTATTGTGAAAATGGGAATTATGGTGTGTTCTTTATAATGTTGAAGAATAGAGTGTCACTGTTACAGAAACTGACACGGCTGTTCTTGGAACTAATGGCCAAGGTGATGGGAGATAGTGGGAAATTACCTTAAGAGTGTTTGGGGAATGATTCTTGCATTACACTGCATGGGTGAAGTGAAGAGATGCAAAGAGTTTCTTGCCAACCGGCTTGTAGAAATTCAGAAAAGGTAATCCAAGTGATTGGCACTATTGTCCATTTAAAGGTATTCCTATAGATTTGTCTACTAAACAAATCTTGGCTAAGAAGTTGGTACTGAATGAAAAATGGTGGTCAGGTTCAATTTGTATTCAGAAAAGTTGCGAGAGTTGGCCTAAACAACGGATTAAAGGGTTAACAGATGTAGACAACGCAGAAATATTATGAGCAAAGGAAAAATTTGGTTAAAAGTTTTATATTCAGTTGGAGTTAGTTGAGCAACTTTGGAACAAGTTGCAGATAGTTGTCGTGTGGTTTATAAGGTTTATCAGAAATGTGAGGGGGGATAGGATTTTGACTCTTTTCTTTGAAACAAGTGAATTAAAAGAAGCACATTATATTATAATCAAACGAGTGTAAAGAACTGACTAAAAAGGAAGTAGCTACTTTAGGGAAAGTGATAATATTATAGAACAGTCCTTTTAATTTCTTAAATCTGTTGTTGGACAATAGTGGATTACTACGTGTAGGAGGATATTTAAGAAATGCCAGCTTACCAGAGTCTGTGAAACATCAGCTAATACTGCCTAAAAATCATTCATGTTACAAAATTATAAGCAAACTTTTAACTCAATTACATGTATGGAGGAGTAAAATTAGTTAACTCTGCAATGAAATAAAAGTATAAATATTGTATTATAGGTGCAAAAACTGCAATATGCAGAGAAGTGAGAAAATGCATTATCCATGCCAGATATTGCTCTGCGTTTTTGAAACAAATGATGGCGGACTTCTGCGGGGGTGAAATCAGATAAGCATTTCTTAGATGTCATAGTTGATTTTTCCAGATCATTTTTTTATCAGTCTTCAAAGAGGTATAGGAGTGAAGCCACTGAAATTGCACATTTATGTGCTTTGCAAAAGTTGTCCATTTAGAGCAGCAGTTCTCAACTTTTTGACTAACACGTACCATCTAAACAAAAATTGAAAACCTTTAGTACCACCACTACAAAGTACTATTACTACCACCACCTCTTGAACAAAGCTCAAATCGCATAAATTTACGAATGTTAGAGAAAAAAACTCAATCAGGATGTTGGGGTTTTAATTTTTGAATTTAATAGTTAAAAATACTTTACTTCTTTGTGTACCACCAGTGGCATGCATACTACCTATTTTTTTCTTGTGTGCCACCAGTGGCATGCGTACTACCGGTTGAGAACCCCTGATTTAGAGCATGTCAGCGATCTTGGGCATATGTTGCAGCATTAAGACGATACATCAGTCAACAAGGGAAGCCAACTGAAATATTCGGCAATTGTGAAATAAATTCATCAGTGCAAAGAATTCATTAAAAACCGGTACGATAGAGACAGTTGATGCTTAACTTGACAAATGAAAGCTGTAATGGATAATGAGTCTTATGGGAGGTAGTAGTTGAATCCATAAAGTTTCACATGAAACATAAGATTGCAGATCCCTCCACTAGAAGAGTTTTCTACATGTCTGATCGAGATTGAAAGCAGTACATAACTCTCGTCCTTTAGTGGTTGTTTTCTAAGGTCTGTGTTTTTTTTTTTTTTTTTTTTTTTTTTTTTGTCATTACACTGGGTCACTTCAGATCATAGCTAAAAAGTGTTCCTGAACCTGATTTTACGAATGAGAAAATTCCCATCCATGAATGGTGGAAATCAGTTACACAGATTTCCTACTTGTTTTGGAAATTATAGTCGAAAGATTACTCGATTCAGTCACAAGTGTGCAACAGGTGTTAAAAAAAAAAAAAAAAAAAAAAAAAAAAAAAAAAAAAAAAAAACTTGTCGCAATTTATGTACGAATTTTGTCCTAATTAAGGATGATTGCTGCCACTTTAGTGGAAAATGGCAAAAGTAATTCACACCTGTAAACAGACAGACAATAGAATAAGAGCAGTAAACGTTAAAACTGGTTTAAGGGAAAAGAGACCAATCCATAAACTGGTCAGACTTCTCGTGGATGAGTGACTGATTTATTTCATGTTTTATACTTGATCCAGCATGTTATGACATCCAAATGTGTTGCAGCCTGCTGAGAAAGGGCACTATAGCTTCCCCCCTTTTTAATTCTCTCTGTGTGTATATAGTTGGAATAAGCAATAAACATCTGCAATTATGCTCTTAATTTGTTTTAAGTGTAGAGCTTGGTTTCCATTCACCTGTACAAAGAGGTGAATAAATAATTTAATGTGAATATTGTTTTATTCCCTATGGGAGTTGTTATTTTAGTTAGCCTAATTGTAATTATTTTTCAGAAACAAATTTGAAGAAACAAGGTTTATTACCACTGACTTTCCAAGACCCGAGTGATTACGATAAAATTCAACCATCTGACAAGATATCTCTTATAGGCTTGAAAGATTTAGCACCTGGGAAGGTATGTATTATGAGGTTAATATGCTTGAAGGTAACTTGTTTCATAACAAAATTAAATTGTGACAACATTTGCATATTTAATATCTTTTTTATTTTTTAACAGCCCGTAAAATGTGAAATCAAACATGAAGATGGCACAGTAGAGACAATAGTTCTAAACCATACAATGAATGAATCACAAATTGAATGGTTCAAAGCCGGTAGCGCCTTAAACCGTATGGCCGAGCTGAAAGCATCGTAAAATGTTCAATGTAAAGCATAAGAGGAAACTTAGTAGCGTAACTTTGTGATATTTGAACATTTCTGCTGTTATTTGTTCTGTATAAATATTTGTACAGATATTTAGTTCATTAACGACTCAGAAAATGAAAGTCTAGTCGTATTTTAATTTAGATTGACTGCAGCTTTATATCACGAATGTTCTGTTTTCCATCTTAGTGCAGCTCGTCTGTTCCCTAAAACTAGCCAGATCATTTTTTACATGTTAATGCAACATAAATTAAAATCTTATACTTAAAATTATGCTTTAGACTCAATTTATTTTACATGGTTTATATGCATATACATGAATTTGTAAAATTAAGCAAAGAAAAAAAAAATTTTCCATACTAATATTGTAAATTACGTCAAGTTTGGTAAATCATGACTTCTTTGTGGCATGTTTCTCTTAAAATCGATTTTTTTTAACATTTTGTTTCCTTGAAACTAGAATAACCTATTACAAAGTTAAACCCATGTCAAAGTTAATGGAAAGGAAATATCTATCTAAATTAAGCTCTGTGATATTTTAGGTGGGTCAGTTTGAAGAAAGTATAAACCAGAGTAAAATGAGATTCATAAAAGGCATTTCATATGTTTTGCTGTAATCAGCAAAAATTTAGACTTAAAAAAATGTGGTTTATCCCATTATATTTAGCTATAATCATTTGTTTATTTAAATATGTAAATAAATAAAAAAAAAACTTGGTGTGATATTGATTTTTAAAAACATAAAACCACAAAAACATTTTTATTTCAAAAGAATAAGTTACAGATTTAAAAAAAAAAAGTCTTACAAGTATATAGTTTAAAGAAGTTTATAATTATTTTAAATGCTTCAATTGAATTAAAAAGACAAGGCTTGATTGAAAAAGAGATTGAAAATTACTAACATATGAACATTTGGTATACTGTTAACTTGAATTTGAACGTATTTCTTCCGGTGGTGAATGAAAAATAATTTGTTGATCAGCATCTCGGACAAGTTTCCGCAGCTTCTCTAGGAAAGGGTTGATATTGACTGCTAAAAATTCTTCCACTGTACTTGTGTAGAATATTTTTCCTAATTCTCCTTCAAGTTGTGCATTAATAGCTTCTAAATTCATCAAGAGTCTAAATATGGGGAAACAATATTTTACTAAACATTTAAAAATATACTTTTACTTATCTCAAAATCAATCAACAACATGAATATACTAATTCAGAAGTCAAACCCTGTCTTAATTAACATGAATATACTTCGGTGCCTATTTATAACTTTACGTAAGTTGAGTGCAGTAGACTCTCAACCTGTGGGACAGTGTCCACAATTAACTTAAAATCAAGGTTAATCTGCCACCAGTTAAAAGAACACATTGAAAGGAATAATTTATGTTATAATTAATAAAAAAACGCTATTTACAATTTACTTATATTTTTAGGCAGTTTAATTTGGAGAACAAGTCTATTTGATATGTAAATTGTCATTCAAAACAAAAATACACTTTAAAACACACACACACACATACAAAAAAAAAAAAAAAAAAAAAAAAAAAAAATGTTATATTACTTGACTTTTGTATATCCATACTTTTGATAGGAGTGGGTGGGGAAACAGAACGATTAGCTGTATATTTATGATTTAGCAATTGTAGATGAATGATTTAACAATACATATATATGCCATATTATGTACAATTAAATTATACTTTTATGAATAAAAATAATTTCTAAATATTGTGACTTCTATATCATACATTTCCTGTCCTATTTCACTGGATTATAATTTTGCAATGGACCTTTTTTTAGACATGCCCAGTTAAGTTAATCAATATGGTTTGTTTTGAAAAACAAAACATGAAAAGATGTTTTGGATTCAATTAAGGTCTTTAGTTAGAAAATCTGCCAGTTGCTTCTTTGTAAGAAGGTATTATAATCAAAATCATGCTAAAAAATGAATAATGGTATGAATTACAGTTCAGAATTTGATTTAGCATTTAATAATAAGGCTTTGGAATGTCAAACACTCGCAACAAGCAGATGAAACCCATGCACGGATGACTTCAGTTTAAAAATATTAAATTATTATTATGCTTAACTATCACAATGTTTAAGGAAAAGGTCTGATGCTAGGAGAATAGATTAAACAATTTTGATAAGTTCAGTTATTTCAAAACATGAAATAAAGCGTATCTTATTAAATTTTTTTAACATAAATGAAGGTCTTCACTTTTAACACATCATATTTTCTACATGAACCTTATATAAGGAAATGAATGTAAACTAATTATGGTCTAAAAGCAAATATAAATATGTTTTACAAGCATATGACATGAGAGTAGAAAACATTTATGTTAATCAAAAAATACAATAGCAGCCAAAAACTTTTTTTAAAAAAATCATCTAGGACTACTGAAAAATTTTAACTATCTCATAATTTTGTGACTAAAGTGAAATATTTGTCCTTCCTGCATACATGTTCCTCAGTATGACTCTTCCCAACTATAAGTGAAGATGCTCTTAAGATTAATAATGTTGCTTCAATGTGAAGAAAGAGCATAATCAAATTTAAATTCGCATGAAAGAAACATGCTCAAATTTGCAATTGAGTAGCCAATTAGTGGTGATTTCAATCGCTTTTATAATTTTAAGGCATAAGAACAGCCTCAGAATTAGAGAAGCAATTTAAATCACCATCAAGCCCTGTTGCTAGAGATCTTCCTTGCAATTTTCTGTACATCTGGATCACAATTCTGAATACACCAACCTCCAGAAACCAAAGAAAGATAACTAAACTGGTAAGTCATCCATTCCAAGTTATGAAGCAGATAGGTCATCTATGAAAGCTCCTGCACTTTGGTGTGTTGAACTAGAGTTTGTATCTCGTTTTTACTGCAAATAATTAGCATTTCTCAGCATGCACACAATCTTGAAGCAGAGTGTAATGTTGACTTTTCACCACATTTACTAATTTTTTTTGTGTTGGGCGTCGTTTTATGCCTGGTATAAATTCTTAAGTTTTAGGTAATACAGTCAAAAGTCGTTAATCCGGACTCGTCGGGACTTCGGCGATTCCGGATTATCGATTTTTCCGGATTATAGATCATCAGTTTAAATCTGGTAAGATGGCATGCAGAAATTCTAAAATTAAAAATATGAAACCGTAATTTATGAAATAAAGAACAATTATGATCTAAAGGGTATCAAAATTTGCAAAAAGAAAAAGCTTAATATTTATTTGTTTACTTTATTAAACATTTCTTTCAATGTAAGTTGTTTAAGTTTTGCTTCGTTTCATGTGATAATACTTTCTCTTTAATTCTATTAAACAGACATAATTTCTTGTTCAGTTACAAAGTTCCGCTGTTCAAGTCCTATAATTGCTGTGTCTAGTCAATCGAAATGTTTTCGTTTTCACTAACCTCTGTCACTTTCTTCGCTATCGGAAGCGAATTATAATGACGAGGAACTTGTTTTAAATCATATCAAAGACGGATCACATCAAGATGAAATACTAATTTGGTAAGGAATTATAAGCCAAATAAAATAAAAACTTCTGCCCTGAAGATAAGGATAGTACTGACAGTTCAACTTCCAATTCATTATGCGCCGCGCCGAGCAGCGTGAAATTGATAAACAGATTTCGGATTTCAAAACATACTTTCGCTTTAGATCCTTTACATATTAACAAATATATATCGGAAATTCTATTTGATATAATCGAAAGTTTAAGCTTACTTTTATAAAATTGCTCTTACTGTCTGCAAAAAATAATAAGCCAGATCCAATTTGAAAATTAAGGAACAACGCAATCATCAACATTAACTGAAATAGATAATTAGATAATTTTAGCTTATACGTCCATTATACATAAAACGCGCACGTGAAAACGTATTCTGCACTTGCGCACACTCATATGCGCAGTCGTAAAAGGTCTTACGCGCATGTGTCAACGCGGCGCATGCGCAGAAAGTTTTTAGTTTTGAGGTCCGGATTATAGATCATTCCGAATTATGGGTGTCCGAATTAACGACTTTTGACTGTATACAGAAAGTTAGCTATGGAAGAATTCTTGTCTGAGAATTTTATCTTGAATGAATCATTGTCTGTAGGAACTACAGATTAATGTACCATGCAGTTATTGTATGGATGGAAATCCAGTGACAGTTATGAGAATTTGTAACTGATGGGTCTTGAAGGTCCACATAGAGCATCGCGTGAAATCTCCATCGTCCCTGCTCATTGGATGGACTCTGGAAGCTTGTGAAAGAGGAGCGGAATAAAATCAACCCTGATGTTCTAAGAAAAGGACTTATAAATCAAGATGTAATCAAGATGTAATATGATAGTTCAACAAAATGGCTATGAGAATGAACATACTAGAAAGTAAAATTCTAACGTTTGTTTATATATAAATCTTTGCAAAATCGTTACAAAAATGTGAGCACACTGTGTATATCATTTCTTCTGAAACCGGTCGCAGAAAATCTTAACAACATTGATGGATTCCATTTAAAGCAATTGAAATTTCAGATTTGGAAGTTTTAGATTTATTAAAAATATAGGTAGGAGTTTTCCTAATATTTCAATTTAATAATAGTTTCCACAAACCATTAAGAATATATCCATTTTTAAAAGGAAAATAAAATGCGACATATACTTACATTCTAGCTCTTGGTAGGAACTGGTCGATATGTAATGTGTTGACTCTATTGTGCATTATTTGGAAACTGCTGAAAGCTCCTTCAATGCTGGAAGTATAATAATGAGCAGCTTAGTTAAATACTGATAAAAATATGCTTAATTAAAAAAATAATTTTTTAAATTAAGCATACAGTTGGTAGCGAACTTGAAATAAAAGAATTTTTGTATATTTTTCCCTTTGTGTTAATATATTGGTTACAAATCTGATAAATGTGCTACATTCTAAACTATAAATATTTAGAACTTGCAAATAAATTCGTGACAATAAATACACATCTGAAATATTATTGTCATGATATTAAATTAATGGAACTTCTAAATTCGCAGTAGTTTTGTTGTTAGCACATTTCAGCTTCATTTACTATTATTTTAAATGCAGCAGTTCTCGTTGTAATTCTAACAAACCTGAAACTCGCAAGTTAATTTTAGCTTGAAAATCTTTTATTTATTTTTTTGGGGAGGGGGAAAGCAATGATGTAATTAAGATACAAATTATAAAAGTTAACATCGTCTTCTCTCTAAAGAATTGCAAAACATTTATATTGGAAGCTTCCTTAGTTTGATTCATGCATGAAGTGCTTCAAAAATATTTAGGAAAAAAAAAAAAAAAAAAAAAAAAAGAACCTATTTTCAACAACTTATATCCTTCAAAAGTTTTTATATATGATATAAAAAGTAAAGTTATTATGGGGAAATTAAGGTCACTTACGGGAAAAAAAATAAGCTTTAAAATGATTGCATTAAAAGCCGCACTTGTCTACGCACTGGAAAATAACTATTCCAGCATATATTCAGACTCAGCCTCTAGCCTCCAGGCAATCCAAGGCACATGTAGTAAAAATCCACTTGTCAGGGCCATACAAAAACTCTTACTAAGAACACCTATGTACTATAGGCCTGAACTCCAGTGGGTACCTGCCCACACTGGAATACTGGGCAATGAAATTGCAGATGCAATAGCCGAAAGATCAGCAACTGACCCCCACGTTCGCACATTTGACGTGCCTCTCCCGGGTTCGTTCTTAAAAGCTGAGCTTGAGAGAGAATTACTCAAACGTTGGCAACATCTGTGGGAGACAGAGACCACCGGCAGAAGCGTTTACAGATTTTTTCCAAAAGTCTGCTGGCTTCTAAAATCTGGCTCATCTCACTTCACTCAGTATCTAACAGGACATGGTCCCTTCGCGACTTACCTGCATCGCTGCAAACCACATCCATGCATGAGCCGAAGCTACTTCAAAAAATCTCAATGCATTGAAATGCATATGCGATTGCATAAACATTGCACACAAAATCTCAGACAGGCTGGAGTAATTCTCAGCCACCATCCTCGTCACCAGCACAGCCCCTGTATGCTCTGTACCTATAGTGAACTAATTTTATCTTAAGTTAGCTTATTCGGCTTTTCTTATTCCCTGTATATATTTATCTCCTTGAACTGTAAACCTTGAATTATGATCCTTGAACTATGTATTTTGTCTTATTTTATGTATTGTTTTCACTGTTTTGCCTTTTTTTAATTTTATGTATTATTTTACTTTCTAGTATTTTACTTCTTATTACTTTTAGTATTTGTAACCACCTATCCATAACTCTGTAAATATGTAACTGAAATTGTTCTCACCGGCAATGCACCCTTCTTCCATCATGCACTATCATCTTCATCCAGCATTTGTTTGCATTGCCCCCAGCAGTCGTCTTGAGCACAATATGTATTTATAAGTGTGTTATTTTGTTCACGTTATTTCCGTCAGTGGGGCTACCTGGCCGATATGCTAACTACCCAGTGGACCGGCTGCCTCGCTGTCGGTGGAAAGAAAGAAAGATCTGGATAGCCGAAAAACATTTATAACATACGCAATACTATGTATACCATAAATTTCACCTAGAGCATTTGTATTTTAATATTAAACAATGTTATGATAATAACAAAAGAACAGATGAATTACCTTTTTTCTTAATTTCTTATTGGAAATCTTTGCTCAACAAATGTCCAAAGAATCCGGAATGGATTAATGACATATACCAAGATATTACCGTGTATAAAAACTTACTAAGTACTTAAATTACTTCCCATCATGAAAAAAAAATTTTTTACACAACATATTAAGGACTTTGTTACACAATTATTAGCAGCCATAAATTATGTATGACAGAGGAAGAAATCTGTAAAATCAAGACTTAAGTGCAAGCTAAAGAGCGAAAATATAATCTTGTGTTATACAAGGCAGTTTTGCATAAAACTTGATTAAAATGGTAGGTTTGCAATCTTTTTCTGAATTTCAATTTTAAAAAAGTTCCTGAATGCATAAAAATATGTAAACTGGCAACACATTAGCCAAAAGTGCAGAAGAGAAATTAAAAACGAATAACTTCCAGCAAATTGCTCAGTGAGAGTTTTGGCTATTGCATGTTTGAAAACACTAGTCCATTAAGAGGTATCAGAAGTACTTACTATGTGCTGCAAAATATTTTTTCTAAGTAGTATAAAGGTTTAGAAAGACAGTTATCTTATTGTCCAGGATTGGCAACAAATGCATCAAAGGATTATTTCGTAAATATGTATCATACATATTATTCATAACACATGGTACTTTATCCACAGTGGTACACTTTGCACCAAAAAAAAAAAAAAAAAAAAAAAAAAGGGACCACTCTTTATCTCCCGTTCAACTGCACCGATTGTCGAAATTTAACTTGCGTTTTCCATGTCTCAAAAGCATGACTTGGTATTCACAGGATGTGATTTAAAAGTTTCAAGACTTACCTCAGAACTAGAAATTTATTGGATGTACAGTGGACTAAAATTCTTCAAAATATGATCCTTCAGCATCAAACACAGCACTGGCAGCGTGTCTTCCACTGTTTGTAGGCCTTCTGGAAGGCCTCGGGCATCATGCTGTCAAGGGCTGTCGTCGAAGCCTGCTGGATGGCATCGATGGAGTTGAATCGCTTCCCTTCTAGGCCTGTCTTGATTCGGGGAAAGAGGAAAAAGTCACTTGGAGCTAAGTTGCTGCTGTAGGGTGGCTGCGGCAGTGTTGTCACGTTGAACTTGACCAAAACTTCTGCAGCTGTGCATGACATGTGAGCGGTCGTGTTGTCGTTGTGGAGAATCCAATCGCCCTTGATTGACAGGCGGAAGCGGCGGAGCACTCTAGCGTAAAATACTGTCCACGAGCAACAAACTCCTTGTGAATCACTCCCATATCGATTAGATTCTCCACCAGAACAACGTTGCCGCCGAAGTTTTGGTCAAGTTCAACGTGAAAACACTGTCGCAGCCACCCTACAGTCCCGACTTGGCTCCAAGTGACTTTTTCCTCTTCTCCCGAATCAAGACAAGCCTAAAAGGGAAGCAATTTGACTCTATCGATGCCATCATGCAGCCTTCGACGAGAGCCCTTGACAGCATGATGCCCGAGGCCTTCCAGAAGGGCTATGAACAGTGGAAGTTGCTAAATTTCTAGTTCTGAGGTAAGTCTTGAAACTTTTGAATCACATCCTGTATAATAGATTTATACATAGCATTGTTCTAACATAAGTATTTTGACACAAATCAGATCTTTTCTGAAATAACATAACTTTTTTCCATATTTTGGTTCTACGACTCAAATTATGCCAAAATGCTACGTTTTGTAAAAAATCGCACGAGTAGTTTTTAACAGTTTATTTCTCAAAATTTTAGCTCCTCCATGTTAATTGAATTTTGTATATATTTATTAATATATCTTTTTGTATTAAACTTATTTAATTCTTCCTTTCACATTTCAAAATTTAGGTTCATTCTGAATAAAATTTGCCCATTTTTTATGATTTATTTTTAAATAATTTTTATAAATTTTTTGAAACAAATTTTTAATTACAACCTACAAAATTTTTACCATCATCTTAAAGTAGATATATTTCAAAGCATGCCTGCAAAAAATGAGTGTTTTTTATTTAAAATTTCCTAAGATATACATGAATTTACATACTGGCACGTTTTGAAATTTGGCATATTTGTTATAAGAGATAATTGTAGGGTTTTCCGTATTTTGCATAACAAATTTATTTTTAGTTGATACCTTTATCTAAACTTCTCAACTTCCCCTCACATTCTCTCACCAAGATGTAAATGTAATGTTAAGTGGAGTGCATATTTAGATGGGTGAATCTCTGAGTTTATTCAGAGCCTGTTTTGCTAGCCAAGTGCACATTTCGTTGTTGTCTCGCTGTTATGCTAGTAAGCCTCTTGCCATATCGGATTTATCATCTTGCCAGTTAAGTTTTTGCGAGTCGACCTGTTAGGCGTGCTATCTAACTTAACTTAAGTGCTATCTAGCACTATTTATTTTAGGTTTGACTTAAATTATATTGTACATTTTAGTTTTCACCGCAAGTTTGACAGTGCCTTTGTAATGCACAAAGACCATGCCTTCCTGTTAACTGTTTTGAATTAATAAAGAGTATTTTCACCCTTCTTCTGAGTCGGCAATTTTCTTCACGCCTGTGGGAGAATTCGCAATGTCATTTTAGGATCTAATATAGTTTATGTGTAACAAGAGAGAAAGACCCTATGTCTCTCTACCAAATGTGGTTTAAGCACTTTGTTAAAATTATTTGAAAGTATGAATGATGACCTTTTTTTCTGCTCGTGACAATGAAAAAAAGGAAAGGAAAATAGGTTGCTATAAAATTAAGAAGTCTGCCTTATATTCTTGGCGCGAACTGAAAAAAATGTGCCAAGATAAATTTTTAAATATTTCACCAAAAATTACAGAATTTAATATCTATTGAGTCATGGAATTGAAATATGGAAAAAATGGCATGTTATTTCAGAAAAAAGTCTGATTTTGTGTCAAGATGTCTATGTTAGAACAATGCTATATATAAATCTAATATATATCCTAAGTCGCACGCATTTTTGAGACATTGAAAACGTAAGTTAAATTTCGACAATCGATCCAGTAAAAACGGGAAATATAGAACTGTCCCCCCTTTTTTTGTTTTGTAAATTTTCCAAGAGCATTAAATTACACAAAAGAGGCCATATAGAACATGTTCATGTCACTTCAGATCCATGCAATGACGTAGAAAATGTAAAGTATGATAAAGTATCATATGAAGTTCCATGGACTATAGCCTTTATTTGGAGAGTGATTCCAGACGTATATCTATTGACAGACCTCAAAACGAGAAATTTATAGAAGATTAGGTTAGTGTGCAATAAGATCAAAAACTGCACAAACTTTAATCTTTCGAGGTGGTTCTTGAATTCCACATAGATTTAGAAATGAAATCTTGGATTAAAATAAAACATTTTAAAGCTGTCAGTGACAAATTCCTGACAATGACTTCACTAAGCAATACTCGCAGGATATTCAGAAAATGGATTTAGTCTACCTGCTTCTTGGATTTAAAGCCAAATGAACATGCCTGATTTATTTTACATCACAATTTTGGAATTCCAGCTTGTGCTGAGTTCTGAAACTTTTAAACTTAAAATTAATAATAATCAAAATTCAGAGTTCAAAATTAATGTAGTAGTCAAAACACCAATCTGCTTTAAAAAAATGCTGACCTTTTTTAATTAAAAGAAAATAAATGCAAAATCATAGGGCTTCTCATATGTTCTGAAACATAATTTCATTACTTGATGGCTCAAAAATGAAAAATTTTTCAAATTAAATTTAAGACAAATACTACTGCAATTGAAAATGTATTTAAAAATTTGCTTACCTGGGATGATGCATAAGAATATGATATTCAGTAATGCAGTTAGCAAGAAGTAGACAGCTGTTATGTATATTTCCTCCTGGAAATAATGGTGGTGGACCAACAGGTTGAGGCCTGAGATAAAATTAACATTTTAAGTATATTATTATCAGAATCCAAAATGAGTACTTTGGGGTGAAAAATACTTTTATGACATTGAATAATTTGACTGAATCAATTATAACAATCCTGAAACTTTTTCTTAAATATGCTTAAAAGAATACCAAGGCATGTAAAAGCCGTTGTTATGCATTTGTTGCTCTAGTACATTACACAATTTATTTTTAAGCATACTCTAAAAAAAAAAAGTTTTATCTACTAGAAGCACATTAATTTATGAGTTTATCGTATTTTACAAATTATTGCAAATGAAAATTTTTAGCATCCATACAGTCTAAAAATTTCTAAAACATTTTACTTCTAATTAAACCTTGAAAAAATAAAGGGATTGATCTAATGAACAAAGAGCATCAAAAACTAAATGAAAGTACCTTAGAATTTAAGGATAAGCTGTAATTACCTCAAAAAAGTTTCTCTCATAAACATTCTGTTACCTTACTGTTAAGGATATTTAAGAAGTACCATTATATAATTAAGGTTTTTATACCTTTATGACAATCTTATTCCAGTGTTAAATCAAATTTATAATAACAAAATTGATAACATTTTTTAATTTTAATATTAATATAAATATTGTAAGTACTGAAATAATAATATACAGTACAAAGTCCATAATCCGGACCTCAAAGCTACAAACTTTCTGCGCATGCGTAGCGTTTACGCATGTGCGTTTAACGTATAATGGACAGTATAAGCTAGGCTAAAATTATCTAATTATCTATTTCAGTTAATGTTGCAGATTGCATTGTTCCTTAATCTTCTAATTGGATCCGGCTCTATTATTTTTTGCAGACTGTTAGAGCAATTTTATAAAAAGTAAGCTTGAACTTTCAATTATGTCAAAAAGAGTTTCCGATTCTGGAGCTGCCATAGGATCTACAAAGCGAAAGCACGTTTCAATGTCCATCAAACAAAAAGTGGAATTGCTGCAAAAAATGGATAAAGGCATGAAGAAAGTGACAGAGTGGTTAGTGAAAACGAAAAAATTTCGATTGACAAGTTAGACGGTATCCTCGGCATAGCAATTACAAGACTTGAACAGCGGAACTTTGTAACTGAACAAGAAATTATGTCTGTTTATAGAATTAAAGAGAAAATGTTAGCACATAAAACGAAGCAACTTAAACAACTTACATTGAAAGAAATGTTTAATAAAGTAAACAAATAAATATTAAGCTTTTTTTTTTTTTTTTTTTGTAAATTTTGATACTCTAGATCATAATTGCTCTTTATTTCATAAATTACGGTTTCATATTTTTAATTTTATAATTTCTGCATGCCATCTTACCAGATTTAAATTGATGATCTATAATCCGTAAAAAACCCTAATGCGGAATCGCCGAAGTCCCGACAAGTCTGGATTGAAGACTTTGTACTGTATTATTTTTGGTAATTTTATTGCATTAGACTCATTTACTTTTTTCATTTCCTTTAATATACAATCTAAAGTGCCAAATGTTCATGTTGATTATTTATCCATAACAATCTTGTTAGAACAAATTATTGTAGCATATTATGATGTATAGTATTTCTTATATTATGAAAAAAGGTAATAATGGAGTATTCATTTTAATAATAAAGAAGTTGTATTATTACTTAAGAAGATTCTTATTAAAGAAGCTTTATTATTTATTTAATGAATTCCAAAAAATATATATTTGCAACACTTTGAATTCTCTACATTTTGAAACTTTGCAAGAATTCTAATATGATTAAAATCAGAGATATATTTCAATTTATGCTTTGGGAATTTATTTAAATTTATACTATGTAAAAAAATTTTAATAATAAACTTGACTGGTTTCCCCCAAATTTTACTTTCATCAATAAACCAATACATTGAAAAACATTATACAATCTGCATATCAGAGTGGTTGATAAGACACAGTATCTAAATATATTTCAGCCAAGGGATTAAAAACAAAACATTGAGTTTCAGTACTTTGAATTTTATTTCTTGATAATTCAACAAAAATAAATTTATATCATCTCAAAATAAAGGTTATGCATGCAGTGCAAATTCTAATCCATGGATTTTATTGTGAAACTTATAGTTATTAATTTAGAAGTCAAAAAACAAAAATCAGCATTATATTTTCAAATTTCACTGGATTTGAAAATATAATGCCGGTTTTTGTTGTTTGACTTCTAAATTAATATTTGTTCGGCGTGTTATTGTATCTTAACTTACAGTTGTCATTCACAGATATATATATATAAGTAAAGACACAAAGCAGAAAATTTAGAACCAATTTTTCTCAAATACCAAAAATTGAAATTCATAAGTAATTAATTTAAAATAATCCTATAAAAGCAAAAAAGAATTTTAGGAGGAACATTGAAATCTCTCTTCCATAAAAATCCTTGCAGGAAATGGGCATGTCTGCAGCATGCCCAGTGCGTTGACATTTGCAGCAGCATGGACTACCAGTACGGCGGCCATTACTTCAGCCACCCTTGACAATGCAGCATAGAGTGGTGACTCTGGTGCATTGAATGACAAAGCTGGATACAAGAGTGGCACAATGTCGTCTCATCAGATGAGTTCCAGTTCTGTGTGCAATATTCTGATGGTCGTATACATGTCTGCAAGCTCCGAGCAGACCACACATCAAGCTGCTTCCATTCGATATTGGCACAGGGGCCCTGCACCTGGTGTGATAGTTTGGGCAGCCATTGGGTATGCAACATGCACACATCCTAGTTTGGATCGATGGTAATTTGAACGCAGATCGATTGTACATTTCTGACACCTTACGTCCAGAGGTTGTGCTCTATCTTTGAGGCCTGCCAAATGCTATCTTTCAATAAGATAATGCAAGACCATATGTTACACGTCCTGTTCTGAACTCCTTCGATACTCAGGGTATTCATTTCTGCCCTGGCCTGCACGGTCTCCAGATCTGTCACCCACTGAAAACATCTCGTCGTGGTTTGCTGAGAGACTGGCCCACCACCCCTCTCCAGCTAATAGGGTTGATGAAGTGTAACATAGACTTGAAGCAGTATGGAATGAGTTGCTCATTTCTGTCATTCAATCACAGTTTGACTCCATGCCTAACTGGGTAAAAGCCATTTTAACTGTCAGGGGTGGTAGCTGTTTCTACTAATTTCGCACCCCTGTAAATCCCCAAACTGCTTAAAAATTTAATCATTTTGTCTTCATGCCGTACTGTTTATGTACAATTATTATCTTTTTTTATATTTGCTTTTGTTTTGGTGTTGCAATTTTAATGGCCAGCACTGCATATTTAATTTTGTAGCAAAGCTTTTCCAATATTCAAAAACTTCAAGCACTATTTGGCCCTTTCCTTGCAATCTTTAGTTCATTGAGATGTTTCGTTATATCAGTCAGAAACATTAATTTGCATAACCATTCTTTATCATTCAATTCAGGGAAATATTGATTCTTCTCATTAAGAAAAACTTTAATGTATTCCATGTGTGACATAAACTTATTCAAGACATTACCTCGACTAAGTCAATGGGGGACATTGGCTGTATAAGGGGAGATCTACATATTTGCTTTCCATTTCTTCTAAAAGAGGTTTAAATTGTTTTGTGTACCAATGAAGAAAAAGACACCATGAAATTAACTATTTTAATAACAGTGTTCATTACAGAAATTAAGTACTCTGATGAAGTTTTGACAGCTAAACTTTTCTGACAGTGCAGAGGGGAGAGACAATATGATTTATCTTTGCCTGATAACTTTGTAGAAGTGCCATCAAGAATTCTTTTGTGTGCCATAGATTTCCGAAACCTGCACTAGATTATGATTTGTTTCCCTGATAAAATATATCAAACTTTTCTCCAAATGTATGCATGAGGGAGGAACTTAAAAGATTGTAAGACTTTCACTGTGTAAATCTCAGTTACTGTAGAAAGTGACGAGTCTTAAAAACTAGATAGCGAATGATAGTATAAGTTCATGTGACAAGAAACAACAAGATAGAAGGGTAACTAACCCTTTATTATTCCAATAAGATTTAACAAAACTCCACGTGGGAGTGTACAAGCATAGCCGACACTCGGGCTTGAACTTAAGAGACTAAGAATTAAACTAAAACTAAGATTAACTAAAGAAATATAGCCGAAGCTATCAAGATTCAAATCGAGTTGGCCCCTTAACTTATTTGACTACGAAGCTTAGCAAGGGCTTGAGTATGGCCGAGCGTAATGTAATAACAGTTTTGAGAGAGAGAGAGCGGCCCAAAAAGGCAGACGCATGTAAATCAGAAACTCTGATTCTCTCCGACTCTGTAAGTAACTTCGTGGTTTAAATACCGCTCCTCCTCATTAAATATTCAGCAAGATTCCAAAACTACGTTCTGGCCGGAATTAGTTAGTTGAAGTTAAGAATTTGACAGGAAAGGAACTTTAACTTAAAATTTAACTGTTATTAAAATTAACATAATCCTTACAAGATGAAAATGATAGCTTACCTAAATTTTGTTGTTAGATTCATACATAAATAAACCACTGAAATAAATCAATCGAATAACTTTTTGCATTATGTCAAATTTACTATTACATTGCTAACATTTGAAATGCAGTATTTAATTTACATTTAAACTTTTTAAAAGTACTTACCTAGGAAATGCATCCATTTCTATCAAATTTTGAAAACCTAGAAGTGAAGATGCTGTCTTGTGAACATTTTCTCCAAAATCTCCTAAATATTAGTGTATTAATTAATCAGACATTTTTAATTGTACATAAATATATAACATTATATTACTAATTGATAAAAGTGGTATAAGCAAGAAACTTAAGATTTTAAATTCAGCTTTGCCTTGTGCTGGGTAAATCGAAATTAGGCTATTATAGTACACTATCAAGTTACATAGTCAGATATATAGCACCTCTTGCTAAACTAAATGATACATATTTGGCACCAAAAGCAGAGCAATTCTGTTAAGCTTGTCTGGTTCCAAGACGATTGCTCTGTGATTTTGTAAGAAGCTTTATCATGGTGCATGGTATTTTGGAGAGGTCGACCAGAATGTCCTTCCCAATCATGCACTGCGTACCCAAAGGGGCATTAGACACAAAGGGCTATTAGTCTCAAAAAAGCATTTTGCATTGTTTCACTTTCTGCACTGATTCACTTTTTAAACTGTTGCCACCAAATATTATCACCATGTATTCTATTTAAAGAAACTAAATAATGAAGAATTTGCATGAATGTTCCTCACATTGTGAAAAAAGAACGGTACCTAGAGGCATCAAATTTTGAATAATGTAGTCCTTCAAACGAATATGGGCATTTGGAAGCTTGAATTTCAAATTTGTTTTATTACCTATTTCAAATTTTATAAGACTTTACCAAATTTTTATTAACAAACTCAATTATTTCAAAGCGAGCAATGGCAACACTGTAAAGAAAAAAGAATATTTTTATCACCAGCACGTTAAGACACGGCATATTTTTATCACCAGATATTTTGTGATACTGCTGTTGAGCTGGATTTTATGTGGTTTAAATGAACCTGATATTTAATAAATAAAGGTAATACATAAAACATTAAAAAAACGCCCTTTTGGGTATAATATAAAATATGAAAGCCTTCGGATTTTCTTTTTCTTTATTTTTTCTTGTTACTTCCACTTCAAAGTTTCTCTTATAGTATCTTCTGGAGGTTAACTATATATTTAAAAATTTCAAACAGTTATTGAAATATTATATATAGTACTATATCAGATATGAATTAACATTCTTTATTTGTCAATAATTCCATTAATTTTCTTGAAATGGCAATTCTTATTCATCAGCATTTGAAACTGGTCTAAAAGGATTGCATTTCAGCATGAATATACATAGATCTTCTAATTATTAAGAACTTACTTTAATTTTATAGTAAATTAAAATATATCGAGAAAAACCTAAATCTGAGTATAAAAACAGTCCATTACAAAGCTCAGCTAGTAAATAATTTTTTTCAGTAATATTTGCACTGCAGTATGATGGATGTTTTCTTGAGCATTCATAACCGTAAACTATTTTCACAGCTCGTGCAAAACTCAAGCTTTAAAAATTTTTTGGTGAGGAATACCACCTAGACATACACATGAGGTGAATATATTTACTTATGCAATTATTATTACAGGCCACCCAGATGGTATAGTGGTTAGCCGACTACGATACGGAAGGGGCCAGGGTCAAATTCCGGAGAAGGCATGGTTGTAACTTCCCTCCCTTCATAGGAGGTAACGGAGGCCGCCTATTGTGTGCCTTCACAATAAGATGGCGACCAATTCTGGCCTTAGGAGTGGCCAGTGTCAAGAAAAGACAAAATATTCCTTGCTGTTTAAGGAAAAAAAAAAAAAAAAAAAAAAGCACATTAAATTAAAATCTAAAAGCTTTCAGATTTTATATTATGCCCAAAAGGGACCTTTTTTTTAACATTTTGTGTGTTACCTTTGCTTATTAAATATCATGTTCTTTGCACCTAAACCATAAAATTCAATTCAACAGCAATATGATAAAATATTTAAAAGAGCATATCTTTAGAATTTCCGATACACAGTCTCACGTGCTTGAGATAAAAATGTAGTTTTCCATACAATGTTGCCATTGCTCGATTTGAAATCGTTGAGTTAATCAATCCAAAATTCATTAAAAGTTTTACAAAATATGAAATAGATAATAAAACAAATTCCAAATTCGGGCTTGCAGATGCCCATATTCAGGTGGAGGATTACACTGTTCAAAATTTGATGTCTCTAGGTACCGTTGTTTTTTCACAGTGCAAGAAACACATACAGATTCATACAGATTCTTCATTATTCAATTTCTGTAAATCTGGTGTGCAAAAATTAAGGACGAAGTCGAAAAATTAGCATATCAGCAACGAAGAGGCAGAGCGGACAGAAAGACCAATCAGGAGATTAAGTAAGGTGATGTACGGTAGAACATGCGCAGATATGCAGGTAGACGTAATGGGGGAGTGTCTGAGTAGTATAAAGCATGTTGTCGGTGTAAGATCAGTATTTCTGGCAAAGAGATTGCACGCCATATAGCAGTTAAAATCACACCGAGTTGCTGCCTCAGCGAGAAATGGCGAATAATCAATCTGTTAGACGACATCTGGATGCTTTTACCCGAGGTCGAATCATTGGGAAGTTGGAGGAAGGCAGCAGTGTGACAAGTGTGGCTGCAGAGTTCGGAATTGCTCACAGCATCGTTTCACGACTTTGGAGACAATTTCAAACTACAGGAACAGCTATTCGGGGGTTTAGTAGTGGTCGTCCACGAGGAACCACACCCGCAGATGACCGGTATATTGCCTTAAAGGCCAGAAGAAACAGGCGGCAGACAGCGGGAGAAATCGCTAGACACACGACACAGGTGACTGGACGACCGATATCACGTTTTACCGTGGCCAGAAGACTGCATGGTGGTGGTCTGTTTGCACGACGCCCTGTACGGTGTGTACTTCTAACACCTGCCCATCGGAGAAGGCGTTTTCTGTGGTGGCGGGAACACCGGAATTGGAGAGACAATGAATAGGGACGAGTACTCTTTATGGATGAGAGCAGATTCAGTCTGAGTAGCGATTCTCATCGCATACTCATCTGGAGAGAGCGGGAGAGCTGCAATCATCCCTCGAACATCATTGAAAGGGACAGGTATGGAGGTGGCAGTGTTCTCGTTTGGGGAGGTATCATGCTTGGTAGTCGTACAGACCTTCACATCTTTGACGTAGGTTCAGTCAACGGGACCCGTTATTGTAACGAGATTCTTCTTCCATATGTGCGTCCTTTTAGAGGCACTATGAGTCCGCAGTTCCTTTTCATGGACGACAACGCACCATGTCATCGCAAAGTAGCTGCCGAACAGCTCTTAGAGAGTGAGGATATTGAACGTATGGATTGGCCGGCATGATCTCCGGATCTCAATCCCATCGAGCATGTATGGGATTTTCTAGGCAGACGCTTGGCAGCTCGTACCTTATCACCAGTAACGATTCCGGAGCTTCGATTGGCGCTGCAAGACGAATGGGCAGCAATGCCTCAACAACTCATTGACACCCTCATTCTCAGCATGGGCAGACGCTGTGAAACCTGCCTAGCAGTCAGGGGAGATCATATCCCCTATTAAAGACCGTATGTTTCTTGCTGGACACCCATCACAGGGATGTTTCGGTCTTCAGTCGCATTGCGTTCCATGCTACTTTTTCAATAAAGCTTCTTTTTATCCCTCTGATTTCTCTTTTAGTAAGTGTTGCTTACATTACTCATGTCCTTACGTATTGGGGATCTTACAGTATTAAATGTGTTGATTTGGAAAGCTTTTGTACATTGAAAAAACCATCTCATCCTTAATTTTTGCACACCAGTGTAATGCAGGGCTCTAATATTTGGTGGCAACAATTTGAAAAATGAACTGATATTGAGTGAACCAATGCAAAATGCCAAAACAAAATTAATAGCCCTTCTAGGCAAATTGCCCCTTTGGGCTAAATTTATGGTTATAAAAATTCTTCTGCGAAAACTAATAATTATTGCAATAATATTATATAAGATATTTTTTCATTGTTACCAGTAAAAACTGAATGAATATGCAGTGAGATATTTAGAGATCTATTTATAATATTAAATCAAATTATTAATTAAAACTTGACCCAAAAAATAAAAACAGATTAGCAATCTTTAAAAACTTTTCACATATTTATAACTATATTAATATACCTTACAAAATGAACTTGGATTGTTCTATTGCATATTTGCTGAAATTCTCAGAACCAAAACTGAAAAGAAAACTACTTACACCCACTGGATATCACAGTAATTATAGATATATAATCTTATTTTTAAAATTTTACAGTGACAAGTTGCAATCTTGTGTTTTGTACATTGTCTTACGACAAACACTGAGGCTGTAATACATATAGATTAGGCCACAATGTATGAAAAGTTGGATGATACGATTTTTGCAAAGATTCAAGACTGTGATGTTTCCAGGGTTGGATTCAGACTTGATAAGACCCTAAGCTATCTGAGATAGCGGGCCCTTTATAAGTCCACATATTATATGTCAGTTCCAAATATGATTTTCAGATACCTAGAGGGCTTTTCTTGGGAAGGCCCCTCGGAGAAAGCGGGGGTTCTAATTTATAGCTTGTGCTTATACATAAAACCTGCACTGGATGTTTCTATAACAGAGTAAATGTGTTAGCTTAGAAAAAATTCTTAGTTGGCCAATTTTTTTTTTCAATATAATCTTATTTCCCATTGCTCCTCAATATTCACTGCTGTACCAAGAAGCTTCCCAGATTGCTTTGGAACTCATGGATGAGTGATAGCTTCCACGTTGGGAAACTATGACCTACATCTTTTCATGTTCATCTTGATGTGGTTGTTTTATAATGCCATAATAGGATATTCTTATCCTAGTATGATCTAAAGAACTCATATTGAAATTTAAATTCAGTGGGCTTCTAGAATTTCAATAGTCTAGTCTTAGTGCATTATATATTGCTTTGCCACGCTTTAAGTACATTAAGTAAAAAAGTACATATAAAGCAAGCCTAAAGAACCTTTACTCATATGTAGGTTATTCTGTAAAACAATTTTAAAAATAAATTATTTGCGTAAATATGTATGGACAAATAAATTTTTATATTAATCAGATAATTAAAACATTCACTTGACAATAAATGCCACAAAAGTGGTTAGGCGTACAACATGTATGGAGGTTGGACTAGCATAATGGAGATATAACTTCCTCCTCTATCATGCTCATTTAACTATAAGATTGGTTTCAATGTCTATCATTCTAGTCTAGCCTCCACCATTTGTCCCCCCCTTCCAATCTATCCTTGCATCTAGCAATAAGGACAACATTTTCAACACTTTTTTGCACAATGTCATACTAATGGATGACTCAGGACACAGTATGATCATATGTAATAAATTTTGCTGCTTGATATATGGATAATGTATATAGTTAGTGTTTAGAAAATGAATATAATAAAATGAACTTTTTATGTTTTCAAAAAATACCTCTTTATATAATAATGCAAGTTATTACAATGCTTGAAAATCTTTCCAACAGCCATTAACAAAAACTTCATTGTCATCTGGTCTTGTTACATATTATATCTTTTTGCACCAAACAGACCACACTTTTATTTTACATCTACAATGGAATAACATGTACTTTAAAATATAAATTGATGCAGAAAAAGAAAAAAAAAAAACTTACCATGCATCAAAGTAAGTAGGCAAACTGCTAATGTAGGCAAGGCCACAGGAAACAATTCACACAAAACAGTATAGTGATCAAAACTAAAAAGGAAAAATTTCATTTACACAAAGAAAATTTACAAGATTTATTACAGCATTATACATGTACATAGAAAAATTATATTCACAACTGCATTTAAAAAATAATTATTCCCAAGTGCCTCTTATCTTTAATGTTTATATAACATACAGATATATTAGATATTTTTGAAACAATCAGAAAATCACCACAAATTACCTTCCAGTAGTAGAAGGCCTGTTTTGCCATAAACACACATATCCATATTTGTTTCTAAAATGACTTCAAGTCACAAATATTATGACAAACTGGGAAATTTGATTTTAATGAAATTTACGTAAGCACTACATTTAAAGAATGCAAAATGCACAAAATCATTCTTTCTTTTAAAGAGTGTTCTTTCCTGACTAACATTTCATATTTTAAATACACAGATTTTTTTCATGTAAGTTGAAAACTTATCAAACTGAAAAAAAAGGAGAGAGAGAAAGAAAACCTGAAAGCTTTTAGATTTTATATTACGCCCAAAAGAGCATTTTTTTAACGTTTTGTGTGTTACCTTTATTTATTAAATATCAGGTTCTTCGTACTTAAACCACATAAAATTCAATTCAACAGCAATATCAAAATATTTAAAAACAGCATATCTTTAGACTTTCCAATAGACAGTCTTGTGCACTGGAGATAATGATGTTTTTCGTACAGTGTTGCCATTGCTCGCTTTGAAATCGTTTGCATTTCTCATTCAATTAATTCATTTCTCACTTTGCAGTAAGGCAAAAATACATACAAAAATATCTTCATTAAAAATTGAAAAATATAGAAAAACATAAAACACCAAATACAGTTAAAACAATTTTTACAATTAAAATTACGAGTTTCTATGCAATTTGACCAGCAGGCAAGAAGGCAGATTTTTCGGTGCACAAAACTGAAAGTTTACTTTTGGTCCAACTCAGCAAAAAGACACTGAAGTTGGTGCAGAAACTGACTTAATTCACTATTCTGCTAAGTTTCAAATGTAAACACATATGGCTGCTATGGTAGAAAAAATTATGCTTAGCCACACTTAAACAACTTTTAAAATTTCGATAATTCTATAATTATTGCATGCAGATTAAGTAAAGGCATACAAATTTTAACTGGAAGATAACAACAACATAATTCAATCATTTTGAAAGCAGAAAATGCACAACAAAAGTAAAAAATACTGGGCTCATGGAGCCGAGTAACAGAGCGAGTATATATATATTTATATACTTTTGGTGCGGCCAATTGCAAACAAAAAGGGAAGTGCACAACTACATGTTATAGCAGTCTTATATAAAAAATTTCAAGGTTCTGAGGCTACTCATTTTTGAGCTGAGATACATACTTTACATATATACAGATGTCAAGAGAAAATCTCTTTTGAATCCATTTTAAAGCAATTTTATAATCCGTTTGGGAAAAGAGAGTTCTTTATTCTGTCCTTATGTACAGATGTCATGCAAAAACATCGTTCAATCGCATTCGATAGCGGTCAAAATCAATATATTTTCGTTGAAATACGATACCCAGAATTTTTTGTGATTACAATACTTCCTTTACTTTTTATAAGGAAGTAAAAACAAGATTTGGGTTGTATTGCTGAAATTAAGCAATGCAAGCGAATTCATTTAAGCTCCATTCAAATTTTCACATTAACAGCATGCCAAAGGATGGAATTTTAAGAATTTGAGGCCCTTTAACAGAAAGTGATAAATAACCTTAAAAGTGCTCTAATAAAAAAGTGCTAAAATTACAAACACTCATATCTTCTCCAAGATTTTAATTTATGTCCAATAGTGTGTGCAGTGCCTCTGTTAACTACCACATTGTTTAATGTAGGAAAACAATACTTGGAAAATAGATGCTGGAATTAAAAGTATTCGCAATATGAAAATTGCTTCAGTTTTTTTATTCTATAACCCTGCTTTTAATAACTGATCTAGTAAACTTAGTATCTTCAATACTTAACAATTCAAAAGTGATACTCAAATTTTACTTACCGCTGCCATCCTGTAACTGCAATTCCATGTACTTTTTTAAACAAGTTTCCGAATGTTTTAAGCGTTTTTAACCAAGCTTGCTGATTAGCTACATGGTACCTTGTTGGAGTGACCAATTGTGTCATTTCTGTAGCACCTTTGAATGCACTAGCAATCCATATGCTTGGGAAAACTTTAGAATATTTCTCCCAAAGAGCTGTAACAAATGTTTAATGTAATTAGGTCGTCTGTTGCAATGTATATTTATTTATAATGTACAGATTAAACAGTACGAATTATAGTACAAAGTCCAAGATTCAAGGGAATCAAGACTTGAAAAAGTTCAAATTTTGTTTGTTTCATTACGCATTTGTGTCAATGTAAGTTATGGATGCCACTCTTCAGTGCGGTGGAACCACTCCTACTTTGCCGAAGCTTTCGTTCTTAACATTACAAAATCTTTGAAGAAGTAGACCAAGTCACTAACACACGTTTGGGCATAAACTGACCGAACTTCTGATCACACTGTCAGATTAGAATTTGAAAAGAATAGTTTTGGGGTTGGGGCATTTGTGTAGAACAAAAAATTTGTGTAAGTATTTGTTCTTACTGGTGAACTGTGTTATTTCAAAATTATGTAAGAAAAGACCGTGTAAAAAAAAGAGTTGGATGTACTGTGAAATTTTCCAAATCCCAAACAGTGAAAGCATTGCTATAAAAAAATACAGGAACTATGATTAGATGATAAAGAAGCCAAACGAAACTGGTTATACTTGGAAACTGAGGAAATATGTCAAGTGGTATTCTTTAACAGAAAAGAACTTTATTTATGATTGTATATAAATATATTCTTTTATTATTTATTTACAACAGTATTAATACAAGTAAAAAAAAAAAAAAAAAATCTTTCTTTTTGCTCTTAATGCTCTAATAATAATCTGAAATGTAAGTATGATTATTTTTGTTGCTACACAAAGTACTTTTAACCCTTTCAGGGCGGGTGTCCCATATACGGGTGATGCGTATATGCATTTTAAGCTGGAACGTTTTTCTGAAGGCCACTAGATGGCATCCAATGTCTATTACTTTTGAAATGAATACAGTTTTAGGTTCCTGACTTTGAGTTTGATATATTCTGCCTGACTTTGGTATTTTACTCATCAAATGTTGCGAGGGTTGGGGGGGGGAAAGCGTAAGCAGAGGTGGGATCTTTAAATCACTGTGTGCTAATTAATATACACATTCGCATGTCTGATTTGCATCCAATTCCTTTTTTTATTCTATTTTTTTCCTCTACCGTGTACGGTCTTTTAGGGTTACTATGTGGAGTTCTGTTACGTTTTGCATTGCCTTCAGATATATCGGAAAGCCTCACCACCAATCTGTTATGGCAGGAAGATGCAATTTATCAGAGGAAGAATATCCTTGTATGGTTAATGAACCAATTACTAATGCAGATGGGAGTGACGATTCATTTTCTAAAGAGTTAGAAAGTGATACTTTTTCTAAGAGTTAGAAATTGATACTTCTCTGTGCTACAAAATTCATTTTAAACTTTGTTACTTCTTACTGTAAATAGTCTTTATTGTGTTGTTTCATTAATAATTAAAACTTTGGAATAATTTGAATAGTGCTTCCGAAAATTATTTTATAAGATAAGCAATTTTTCAAGTATATTTTCATGTAAAATAAAGAAAAAAACATTATTAAGAGCTAATTTTAACATATATAAAGGCTCAAGTAATAATCTAAAATGATACTAAAAATTACGATGCTAGAAGTGAAACTTTTTTTTTCTGATTTTTTTTTATAAAATTAGGCTTAGTGATGCAAAACCTCTGTCCTGTAAGGTGATTCTCTTCTGTCCCGCACGAGCGTGTTAAACAAAGATGCACCATCGCGAAAGGGTTAAAAATTAATATACGATATGAGGTTATTTGTCTAAAGATACTACATGTATAAATTACCAAAATATACAGCATTACATACAATTCTTGAGTTTAAATTCTTCTGTAGGAAGATAATGCCATACCATCGGAATTACAAGGCCTCCAATTTCAGAAACTGAAAGTATAAAACAGAAACTGCAAAATACTGCCTTTTAATTTTATGCATAAAAAGAATTTAAAAAATTCAAACATACAAATTAAGATATTAACATCTATATCTCTCATCATATCATCCCAAATAATTATTTCAATATGTGGATACTTCTCACGAATTTTCTTAATAATTCGACAAATATGGTCTAGGAAGAGATGCTCTTTTTTCCAGTTTTCAGCTTTCATTTTTTCTTTACAACTGACACACTGCCCTAGATGCCACACCTTTAAAAAATATAATGTAAGCAAGCTACAAATGCAATGTCAAAAAAGTATTATGAAACATCAACAATAATTTTTTTTAAATAAACATAAAGACTGTAATTTTAAACACAGCAAGCAGAATATTCAATAAATAAGTACATTAAAAATACATAAAAATAACCACAAAAAATTAACTAAAATCTAGTTAGAAACAAATCCTATTAATAGGAAAGGTTTTGATACAAAGTGCTTACAATGTTTTTTGCTGGTGAACTTTTTACATAAAATTTTTGTGCAAACTATATGCTTAAAGACTACATTTTATTAAAAAAAAGAAAAGTCATGCTATTTAAAGATTCAAACAAATTTTTTTAAAATCTTAAATATAAAAATTTATTAACCAACCATCTAAAAACTTGTAGAATATTTAAAACAATTTAAATACATATATCAGTATTTTGTTATTGAAATTTTTAAAATGGTACCTATTTTTCTAATTAAACTTCTGATATCAAATAATAAACTAATTTATTTATTTAAGTAAGTGTACAACTATTCTAAACTGTAACCAATCCTTTAACATAAACTGTTGGACTAACTGTGACAACAAGGGTGAGTAGATACTGGTAACTTTAGTAAAAGCCAAGTGTCTAACCTGATAGGTTGTATCAGACTATTGCTCTGTAATTTTCTTAAATGTAATGTCCGTGTGTAACTTAAACCTGTTAATAAATACTTGTTACACTATACACGACTCTTCTATGAACCTATTTAAAACGACCCGCTCACAAAGTGACACCCAACGTTAATGTTTAGCTTTAAGAATTTTCCTTGGCTTTTGCTCACTTTTTTTTTCAGAAACAGTACTTGCATCCATACCTGCTGGATCCAACTCCTAAAACTTTATGAAAAGAAATACCTCGCCCATCAGGTATTAATGTTTTGTGTGTGAGCCACTCCGATGGCTTATCAGCAATAAATAGTTGTTGTCAATGATATACATATATGTGCGGAGCCCTACGGAAGACTGCGAGGAATGAAAGAAAAAATAAATAAAATAGCTAAAAATTAAAATAATTAAATTTTAATTAGGAGAAATGTAAACGGAAATCTAATAAATTATCAAATTAATTTTAAATAATTAAATAAAAAAATAACGGACCTGGTCTTAAGAGTTCAAGACTTTCCAATCGCGGTGCCCTGCCAATATTAATTCTAGCCGAAAATTTTCTCTGGGCGAAAAAATATAAACCCAGAAATTTTCTCTGAATGCAATCCGATAACAATGTGAGAATAAACGTAAGACCTCTGTACAAGTGACAGCAATGGTGCCCCCCATTTGGTTACATCATTCATAAAGTCTACAGAAGTTCTACAATAGGAAGTCACTAGCGTGGAATGTGCACGAACAGGCTATGACTTTTAGAACTTTGAGGAACACAATATTTGCCCGCTGTTATAAATTCATTCCACATCCTAGAGAATAAGCCTTAGACATATGATTGGGGGCTTTTCCTTCCTTAAAAGTCTTAACCACTGCACAAGGTTTGAATCCGAAGGAAAGACAGGCCTGCATTCAGAAGTTAGAATTTATTTTTAAGGCACGCTTACCATTAAAATAAAATTTATCTGCTAAAATTGTGATTCACTTACATAAAAGAAGTGCCATAGCTCTTTTATTTAGGACTCCAATGAGCTCTAGCTGAAATTATAATTTATCTCGAAAACTGAGAAGTACCGGAACCGGGCTCCAGTGGGCTGTGGCGCAATTTAAGCTCTGTATATACATATGTATATGCCCTGTATATATGTATGTATATGTTTTATGAATATTGTATCATTTTGAAGTGATTAAGAAATTCTTTCATTTTGTTTACACATAATGAGTTCACGAGAACTGCATAATCATAATATTCAGTTTTGTTTCTAAATGGTAAATGTTGGTAAAACATAAAAAGGTGTAATATATTCAACGCGAGGCATTTTAAGAGTAAAATTCTGCATTAGGAATTGTTATTATAATATGCTGAATGTATTCAATCTTTTAAACGTAGTTTCGACTTGAGCTTAACTTGACAAACCAGTGGCTCAATGACATGTTTATTACCCTGTTGCCTCCATAACTGTTTTATTTATTGATATTTTTTTCTTGCATTTCTGGTTACATTGTTGGAAAATTGTTTATATTTGATGATTTAAAGAAAGGTAAGATTCTTCTTGGCAAAATGCTATTTTTTTATACTGACTGAGAGTGTTTTTTATATATTATTTTGACACTGTGTTACTTTTGATAAACTAACTTTAGTATAGTGCTATTCTGTGGTAAAATGACTACAAATCTTTTCTAGGTAAGGTGACCTCATTACAACCTTCTAGTTAGTATCATAAAAAGGTGTTTTTTTTTAATCAAAGAATTTATCTTATATGAAACACGTCACCATGTTTTTAAAGGACGTAAACAAGATATGTGTGTTCTAGCAAACGAACTTGGTGTGAATGTTACGGAACAAATGACAGTAGTTGATATTAAAGAGGCCATTTTAATGAGTACGGGATATAATGAAGAATTCACTAAAGATACTTTTTTAGCATTATTGCAGAAGGAAAAGAAATACAGGAATGTGAATTTAACAAAAGAAAATAGCGTGAAGATCACGAATATAATGAAAGGACAGAGATAGAAAAAAGCAAGCATGAGCTTGAAAAATTGAAAATACAAGTAGCTAGTTCAGGTGCTAGTCATGATTCTGTACCTGCTTTAAACTCACTGACATGGATATCCCTAAGTTACAGTTACAAACTTTAATACCTCACTTTAATCCAAAACATGATGACATGAGCCTTTTTCTCACTGTATTTGAAAGGTAACTAACAATTTTGAACATACCTCTGGGAAAATGGGTAGTGTATCTCTTAGGTTTGTTACTTAATGACGTTGCAAAACTAATTGCAAAGGAATCTGAGTATAGAAAACATTTTGTGGATCACTGGCCCGATCCTCTTCAACTGGCTGCATAAATTAGATTTTAGATGAAGAAGCTAAAAACATCAGGAGTAGAAACGTCAGTAATAACACTCCAAAGCCATCTCAACGTAGTGGTCCTAAAAATAATAAAAATAACTCTCAAATCGTTAAAAACTCAATCAAGAAATTCACAAGGAACTCAAACAAGGAATTCTGGCATGAGAGAAGATCCACCAACTGTTAGTTGTTATGGTTGTGGAAAATCAGGCATTGTTAAGGCTAAGTGTCCAACCTGCTCTCCTCTTTTAAGTAAAGAATCAGCCGATTTCAAAGCTATAAACTTACATACATTGTCTGTAGAGACACCTCACATGAGTCTTTTAAGAGTAAAAATCAATGGATTTACAGGAATTGTCTGTGGCATTACTCACACTATAGCGGGAGAAATATTCTATAATCTCTTGAAAGAACAGAGATCAGAATTTAAGAAAACTACTATGAAGGTCACTCTAGCGGACATTATTCAAAGAGACGAAGAGGTCCACATGACATTCAGGTAGACATTTACACTGCAGGAAGATCATTCCGCATAACTTTATTTATGCTTCCCTCAGCAAAGGATAACAGGACAGTTTTAGGATTGGATTTTCATAGAAGCGCTGGAATTGTTTTAGATCTACAAAATCATTGGTGGTTTTAACACGATAATACGCAACAAAAGTTTAAGTTCATTGATGATGATTCTAAACCCAATGATCGAACCAAATGTACATTGGAAGCTGACACTGTACTGTTAAGAGAACATGACGGACAACATCTATCGGCTCATCAAAGATCACAATTAAATTAATTATTGAGTCAATATTCAACTATCTTCCAACCAGGGGGAGAAGCAACACCTTTCATAGAACATCGAATTAAAACTGGAAACCATCCCCAGAATGAACCCGGCCAAGAAAGAAATCTTAAAGCAAGAAATTGACAAGCTCTTATCTGAAGCAAAAATTGAAGAAAGTGAATCCCCGTACGCATCCCCCAGTTGTTTTAATACCAAAACCTAATGGAACAGTACACCTCTGCATAGATTAACGGAAATTGAACACGATTACAGTTCCAGATTCCTACCCAGTTCCAAGAATGGATGACCTGTTACATGAGGCAAAACATACTCCTATCACGTCCACCCTTGATCTTCGTGCAGGTTATCACCAAGCGAAGGTTTATACTGATGATCAAGACAAAACAGCATTTGTGTGTCCCTTCAGAACATATCGTTTCTTACAAATGCTCCAGCAACATTCCAGAGATTGATAGACCGTTTTCGCAATGGACTTGAGGACATCCTTACCCTCACCTATCTGGACGACATAATTGTGTTGTCAGAATCATTCGAGTAACACCTTTCCGATCTCAAAGCTGTTTTTGAAAGATTTTTGCTCTTCAAACTGCCCGCAAACAGAGAGAAGTGCCACCTTGCTTCTTCTTATGTGAAATATTTGGGATTTTGGATAACACAAAAAGGAGTCGATGTTGATCCAGAAAACGTTTTCTCTATCCAGAGAATTCCACATCCCAAAAACATCAAAGAACTGCAATCCTTCCTTCATACGTGTTCTTGGTTTAGACAATACATACAAAACTTCGCGTAAATATCAAGACCTCTTAGTGATTTGACGAAGAATGAAGTCTAATGGGAATGGGATTTCAACCAGCAAAAAGCACTTGAAACTTTAAAAAATTGCCTCATAACATCTCCTGTGTTGAAGCAGGCAAATGGAACTCAACCGCATATTATTTGAACAGATGCAAGCAATTATGATTTTTGAGCCATTTTACTTCAAGGCGAAGAGTCAAAATAACACCCTATCGAATATGTCAGCTGGCTGCTTTCTCCAGCTGAGCAAAACTTTTCGAAGATTGAACGAGAAGCCCTCACTGTAGTTTGGGCACTGAAGAAATTCCGTGGTTACGTCGAAGGATCAAAAGTAACTATAGCATCCAATCATCAACCTTAAAAATGGCTTTTGAACCTCAAGTCTCCAACCAGAAGACTTGCTAGATGGGCACTTGAAATTCAGTCTTTCAACCTGAAAGTACAATACATTCCTGAAAAGCCAAACGTCATCGCTGACATGCTGTCCCGTCCAAGCTCCGAGCATGAAGTTTCACTGTGATGTATGGGTGACGCCAACCATCAAGATGTATAGAGGGCGCTAGCTCTCAGTCAGAGAGGCGCCAAAAGTTTAGTTTCCAAGAGGGAGACAGACAGAGAGGTCATAGGGAAGGCTCGTGGTAACCATTAATGAAAACGAAATTAGCTTGTATTAATATATATATATATATATGTATTTCAGTTATTAGATTGTAGTTTTAGTATTAGTTTTGTGTTTGTGCAATAAATGTTCAAAATATAAAAAGGTAAAGTTATTTCTCTATGAGGCAGAGGATGAAGTAAGGGGTGATATTACATGCTCTCTTTCAAGAACTAGAGCTTTAGATGATGGTAGAGAAACTTCAAGAGAAGCAGGTAGGAAGGTTTTGATTTTATTTACTTAAAGTATAGATGTATTGAAGATATATATATACAAGGTGTGATCAAATGAAAAGGTACGAAACGACACGGTGGGTACAAATGTAGACTTTATTCAAAATATACACCATAGGCCTGAGCACAACAATCTCACTGATGAACAAGCCGCAGGATTCCTTTTTCCCAGAACTCCTGTGGCCGTGACGAGACAAAGTCCTTCACAGCGTCCTTGAGTACATCTTCCGAGTTGAAGCGCTTCCCTTTCAGGTGTTTCTTCAGTGGACCAAACACATGGGAATCGCAGGACGACATGTCTGGACTGTAGGGCGGATGATGTCTGGACTGTAGGGTGGCGACATGTCTGGACTGTAGGTCTCCCACATGAACTTAGCCAGTTCCATGTGTGTGACTCTGCAGACGTGTGAAGGCGCATTATCATGGAGCAGAACCACACCCTCCGTGAACAGCCCCAGTCTTTTGTTCTTGATGGACCTGCATAGGCGTCGAAGTGTCTCACAGTACACATCGGAGTTAATGGTTTTTCTGTGTTCAAGGAATTTCATAAGTAGCGGACCTTGAACGTCGAAAAAGATGGTGAGCAACACCTTATCTGCTGACAGCACAGCTTTGAACTTTTGAGGGGAAGGTGATGACGCATGCTTCCTCTACATGCTGTCCCGCTTTGTCTATGTCTTGTAGTGATGACACCAGTTATCATCACCTGTGACGATCCACTCCATGAAAGCGGGGTCTTCCTGATACCGAAACAAATGTTGCAGTGCTAGCCCTATATGCAGTTCCTTTTGCTGGTCAGTGAGCTGCTTCGGAACCAAAGCGGCACACACCTTCCGATATCGCAACCTGTCGTGAACAATTGTCCACACGGTTCCATAGCTGACATCCACCTTCACCATTCGCAATGTGACTAGACTTCTCACTAGGTCGTCCACTTTGTCAAGACAGTGTTTGCCTGGCCTGGTCTCGGGTCATCACCCACACTCTCGCGGCCTGCACAAAAACGGGCACTACATTTTCTGACAGACTTGCCAGAGACACATTTCTCCCCATAAACTGTCACCATCCGGCAATGAATAGCAGTCGGTTTCTCACCTTCTGCTGTGAGAAATCGGATAACACCTCGCTGCTCCTCAGTTGTCAAATTTTGCAACGTGAACGTCATCCTATCCTCATACGGACTGCTGCATCATTTGGACGCCGCTTTTGATAAGAGCTCTGCTCTCTCCTGCGCATGCGGGCGCCCGCGCATGCTCTGATCCCAGTCAGAGATTCCAATCGCATCCCAAGATTCTCCCATGGCAGAATATGCAAATATTTAACTGTTACGTTTTTACATCATTTCGTAACTTTTCATTTGATCACCCCTTGTATATGATATATATAAATTAAAAATGTATAAGAATACTAAAAAAAAAAGATTTAGTAAGCCTTCTTGGTGAAATTGAAGATACACAAACTGTTGGTTTAACAGTGGTTCAATTAAAAGGTAAACTTGAGGACAGTAAAATATTTAAAGATGATCCAGAATTCGTAATTGGATTATTAACATAGTTGAGGAAAGAAATATTAGAGTAGAAAATGAAATAAAAGCTAGGGATGTGCAGTTAGCCTTAGCAGCTAGAGAAAGAATTAGAATTGGAAAAAGTTAGAAGTCAGAACACAGCTAAAGATGGATCTCGTGCAGATAAAGACATGATTACAGGTTCGGAAAATTATTTGGAAAATTTGATAAAGAACGTTAAAACATTAACTATTCCTGTTCCGGGAAGTTCGGAAAACTTCAATTTATTTTTTCAAACATTAGAGAGAGCATTCATAACTAAAAGAATGTACTACAAGGGCAGATATGGTTGAATTAGATGTAGAGTTGTCCAATGATATGGTTCCTGTCATTTATCATGATTACTATATTTGCATTTCAATGAAAAAGTTTGAAACTTGGATTTTTGGATTACCTGTGGAACTGATAACTGATCACAATCCGTTAACTTTTATCACAAAGAACGCACCACAATCTTCTAGTTCCAGAGATGGACTTTAGCATTACAAAAGTATGATACTATAATTTTGCATTGCCCAGGTGCTAAGTTGAACAATGCAGATGCGTTGTCCAAACTACAGACTATTGAGTGACTTGTGTGAAAGAAAGAACATTTTATAGACATTTATAGACTCTTAAGATATATATATATATATATATATATTTCAGTTATTAGATTGCAGTTTTAGTAACAGTTTTGTGTTTGTGCAATAAATGTTCAAAATACAAAAAGGTGGAGTTATTTCTCTATGAGGCGGAGGATGAAGAAAGGGGTGATATTACATCCACCTTGTGAGATTTCCAATATATCTGTAGTGGACATGCCCACAAGAAGTCAAAAAAACATGCATGCATCCCAACTTAAAGATGAAAACTTAAAAAAAAATTATGGAAAGTTTCGAATCCACTTAGAAAATTGAAGAATGTGCCAACAGGACTGAATGGGGATTCTTAATGAATCAAGGTGTTCTCTACCAATATGTCTCTGACTCTGATTCAGAAGAGGCCCATTTAGTAATTCCAACTGCCGAGCGTGAATCCATCATGCGAAAGCACCATTATGACCCAATGGCTGGACATTATGGAGAGGAAGGAACATTTCAATGAATTGCCAGATGCTATTATTGGACTGGTATGAAAAAGAACATATCCGACTACATGAAAAGCTATCCTGAATGCAACTGCTACAAGGCTACCAACCAAAAGCCAGCTGGACTGCTAAGAAACCCTGTCTATTCTCAGTGTTTTGAGATCATATCTATTGATTTGTTTGTACCACTGCCAAAAACTGACACTGGAAAACAATGAATCCTCATTGTCGAAGACTGAACTACATGATGGGTTGAATTATTTCCTCTTGCTTTCCTCAATCAAATCCTGTGGACGGGAAAAGCAGAGACTTGAAACCTAGTCTTGCAGTCCTTGTAGGAGAAGCGCATGACAACTGGCATTTGAAACTCCCAGTTATTCGCTTTGCTATGAATACGGCCGACTGTGACACTACAGGCCATACACCAGCATTCCTAATGTTTAGAAAAGAGCCGACGACGTTGTTTGCATTTTCAAAGCTGTGGTTGAAAATGATAACTTTTTTCCTGAAATCATCGCTTATCTTAAACAATTTGCAACTATTACAAAGAGCGTAGGACAGCGCATCGAAGTAAAGCAAGATGAATGTAAAAAGCAATATGAGAAAAAAAGGCAACAAATGTTTTATTCACTAGGTGAATAAAGTATGGGTCAATTTACATCCTGTTAGCAATGCAAAAAACAAAAAGATTTCAAAGTTCATACCAAAGCGTGACGGTCCATACTTGGTAATGACACAGAAATCACCTACTTCCTATGTCATTTCAAGGCTTCATAAACTATCAGAACTGTTAGGAACGTACCATACATCTGCACTAACACCTTTCAAAGACTCGTCCACTTTCCCATTCTTCCGCTCAGAAAGAGAGGTAGACTGCCAAAAGTTACTTTGCATTCCCGAAATAACCAAGAACTTGTGGTTCCGGATAGTGCTTCAAAGAGAGGTCCCCTTGCCTAGGAAACCAAAAAAACTGAGACTAGAGACAAGAGCTCCCAAATACTCCAGTTCTGTCTCCTTGCCGAGGATGTTGGTGGAGCCAGAGGGAGAGTTTGTAACCAATCCTTTAACATAAACTGTTGGACTAACTGTGACAACAAGGGTGGCCTCTGGTGAGTAGCCAGAGAAGGACTTTAGTAAAAGCCAAGTGTCTAACCAGATTAGGTTGTATCAGACTCTTGCTCTGTAATTTTCTTAAAGTTAAATATAATGTCTGTGTGTAACTTAAACCTGTTAATAAATACTTGTTACACTATACATGACTATTCTATGAACCTACCTAAAACGACCCCCCTCACAAAACTATTTATTAAATTCAAATGCACTTATGTTACAGGATTTTTTCACTATTAAAATCAACTATGAGTCACTATTGAAGCAAGATTTATTGATCTTAAATGACAGTTGTAGTGTCTGGTAATAATCAGCATTTAAAATGATCTATTAGATTAATCTGTGATGTTTTAGGTCAACTATTTAGCCCAAACGTTTTTAGGCGGTTGACTACTTTGTGAAACAAAACATGCAAAAAAATTCATCTGAAATGCACTTTTGATAAATTTAAATGCAATAATGTAACTAAACCTCTCAGCACCAATACTTTCTAATCTTCTAATTAAGTGCTGCATCTATACAGCATTTATTCCACCGTAATTTTTCTTTTTTTTTTTTTAATCTGGTTCCAAAATTTGGAACCCCCCCCAAAACAGCATAATCTTAATAATCTGAAGATAGATGAAATCAGCAAATTTTTCTACAAATATTTTGCATCAACTACATTTTAAAGCAAAAGATTGGATATATCTAATGAACAGCAATTGAACTACTAAAACCATTGAATTTTATGTTCAGTTTTACTTACCTCATCACCACCAATATGAATAAATTTTGAGCTAGGATGGCTATCAATTATCTGGTTCACCATTTCAAGGACAATAGATTCACTTTCTGAAAATTAAAAAAAAAGGGGGAACCCTTAAACAATAAAACTGTTCTTACTAAACAAATCATTTTGGGCACTATAAAAAAATCCTTAAAGCTAACAGATAAAAATATTCCACAACTTAACTGATTTCTTGTTCTCTTGAACTGATGAACTGCAAATATAATTTCATCAAATACATAAAATCTCCCTATTTCATGAATTCTTTTAGTATTACACAATTTTACACAAAGATTTAAAAGTTTTCTTGTGAAATGTTTTAATGCATTATGATTAATTTTTATACTCTACTAACCAAATAAATAACTCCAATAAGAAATTTTATTAATGGCACTGTATTTATGATACCTAATTTACTATCATAAGAAATATGAAAATTGAACATTACCATTGTAAATCATTATCATATTCACTAGAATTGTACATTATCAATCATTATCATCACAAAATTGTACGTAATGCATATGTAAAGCATGTCGATTTTTGTAACTATAATTTTTATTAAGGTTTCATAGTCAAAATACTGAGAAAAAAAAAATAGAAATTAAAATCTGAAGGGGTTCAGATCTTAACAATTGACTAAAAGGGAAGTTTAATATGGTTTATCTGTAGAAATTATTGATAGAGATGGTCCGATGGAATAGCGAAAACTTTTTTTTTATATTAGATAAATATGCATTTATAATAACATGAGAAAATTATACATCTTCTGTATATCTAAAATGTGAAAAAATATATAAAATGTAATTCTATGAAAATATTTGATGTTTTTAGTTAGGTATATCATGAATTAAATGCATTTTTATTTAAATCAGAATGAAAATTTTAAAAATGGTATTTTTATGAACTACTTCAAATGTTTTTGAATGATCTAGTTTGTTAATTAGTAACAGACAGATTAAATATAAAAGAATGATATTTTACATTTTTTCCAAATAGCAACAGACTCAAATGAAAACTGAAACAATGAATTAAAGTAAAGCAACACAAAATCATGTTTAGAGATAAACGGCTCTTTTAGGCAAATAGGTAGCATCTTATTTATACACTGAACATTCTCATTGTGATCACCTTCCCCAGGCAATTATGTCTAGAAGTGACAAGTATTTCTGAAAATATGCATTATCACTGCATCACTTCTCCAAGAAAATCAAAGTTGTTTTAAACCATGGGTGATAATTTTACAAAGGGTTTACTGTATATCTGTACAGAGACAGATAAAGAAAAGGTTTACACATTGTTAGAATGATTAGTGTTAAATCTGGCTTTTTTTACTATAAGCCTGCATTGTGATTTATATGACAGAAAGTTTTTCGTAAAATTTTCACAGGTATTGATTTCCATTCCATATCCTCTACTTTCCAGAACTCATCAACCGTTATGGGTTTGCAATCATAAAGATCTCTTTTCAAAGGATCAAAGGCACAACAACCCATAGCTGAAACATTAGAGGACATTAAAGGAATATATTGAAAAGGTACATATGCAATACCTGTACTAGTCTTTATTTTTTTCAAGGAACACAATGGTGTTTTTCAAATTATGCCTTGCTGATTTGACTTAATGAAGTTATCTCTCTGGAAGGCAAATGTAATAAAGAAATGGAACTTCTCCTGCAAATATCTGACGTAAAACTTTCTCTTGATAATATACCAAGTTGATTTTCACATTTTTTGCCACTCTTCTTATTTTTAATTTTTCACTGTAAGAAAATCCTGCAACAATTCTAAACCCCTTACTGAAACTTTCTTTGCAATCAGATTTGTATTTTTTATTATTTTTTTTTACTTTTTGATAATAAATAGAGCTTTTTTTTTGTTATAGTCATTTAAGCAAACCCATGCTTCATCAAGGAACACAATGTATTTTCAATTAGCTCCAGGTACATAATTTTCATAAAAGGTTCCACAAAATGTTCTGCACTGAGATACGTGCCTCAGCAAAAGCTGGTGAATATTGCTTTTTAGCTTTTTTAAGTTGTACATCTTGGTTTATTATTTTATTTATTGTTGCTATAGATGTATTTAAAGATTGCAATTTATTTCTGGATCAGCAGATTTTCTTTTGTTGAAAATGATTTAACTTTAAGAACATTAGAAATAATATGTACCTTTTGTAAGTATTTGTTTGGTGTTTTCGTTCAGTACAGAAGTAATGACAGATGGTTTTCCCCTTTTGAATTAATGATGTTGCTTATCTTGCATTTACAAATTTTAATATCGTGTATTTCACAACACTAAATTATGGAATAGGAATATTTCACTTTGGAAAGCACAAAAACATATTCTTCAATCTACAGCTTATTTACATGCGACACTTAGGAAAAAGTATATACAGTCAAAAGTCTTTAATCCGGACATCCATAATCAAGAATGATCTATAATTCGGACCCCAAAGCTACAAACTTTCTGCGCATGCATCAACGCATGCGCATAATATGTTTACGCATGCGCGTTTAATGTATAACGGACGGTATAAGCTAAGCTAGAATTATCTAATTATCTATTTCAGTTAATGTTGCAGATTGCATTGTTCCTTAATCTTTTAATTGGATCCGGCTTATTATTTTTTTCAGAATGTTAGAGCAATTTTATAAAAGTAAGCTTGAACTTTCGATTATGTCAAAAAGAATTTCCGATTCTGGAGCTACCAAAGGATCTACAAAGCAAAAGCATGTTCCGATGTCCATCAAACAAAAAGTGGAATTGCTGCAAGAAATGAATAAAGGCATATCCTTTGATTCTCTAATCATTCTGAAATATCTTTATCAATTTCACGCTGCTCTGCGGGGGGGGGGGAGACGCGGCGCGCAATGAACTGGAAGTTGATCTATCAGCACTATCCTTATCTTCAGGGCAGATGTTTTTATTTTATTCAGCTTATAATTCCTTACTAAATGTACTATTTCATCTCGATGTACTGAATACACATCAAATAGTTTTCTGGTTGTAATTTTCTAATTTCGACTATGCGTAATGTATGTTTTACACATGCGCGGATTGAAAGAAATGTTTAATAAAGTACACAAATAAATATAAAGCATTTTTTTTGTAAATTTTGATACCCTTTAGATTATAATTTCATAATTGCTCTTTATTTCATAAATTACAGTTTCATATTTTTAATTTTATAATTTCTACATGCCATCTTACCAGATTTAAACTGATGATCTATAATCCGGAAAAACCGATAATCTGGAATCGCCGAAGTCCCGACGAGTCCGGATTAAATACTTTTGACTGTATTTAGAAGTAGCAGAAAATTTCAAATAATATGTTGTTTCCAGAAATTTTTATTCCAAAGCATCTGCTTTTTTCAAATTCTTCACTGAAATAATTCTAAAGATGTGTAAGGCATTTTATCTATTAAAAAGAAACAAACATTTACACATGAAAAATATACTTTAAAAACAAATTAGAAGAGGCATATTGGGAGTATCGTTTTTTAATAATTGAATAAAATACTTAATGTGTATTTAATACATATTAAGTCTCTTTTTATAAATAGCTTACTTGGATGTGAAGGACATAAAGCATTTGGATAGCGTTCAGCTTCTCTAATTTCATAGTACTTGTCATGTTTCAATAAAAACTGTAAAATAATGCTCATTGAGTCAATAAGGCATTCTGAGGTATAAATTTAGAGAAATGAAATAAAGAAGAAGTATTCTCCATATATATATATATTTACCTCTAAGTGTCCAAATGACTGAACTAAGGGAACAACTTCTAAATCATTTTCTGCAGCCAATGACTGAATTTTTTGTATTTCTTCCTTACTGAAACATTGTAATAAAATGGCATTATGATTACAAATTTCGGGGTAATATATTTTTCATAAGAATGCAGAAATTTTTTGGTGCTTTTCCATTTCACCTGCACAGGCAATAAAGTCACCAAAAATGATAAAACCAACAGACAAACAGAATATTCCCGCTCGTAATCTTTTACACCACATTTTCAAAAGAAGTCATGGCCATTTCTTATCAGACTGATCGTTTCTTTCAATACTGGCACACAACTACATAAAAATTTTACCAGATGGTAATGCTGTAAGGCCATTCACAATAATGAAGTCAATTAGAATGCAATCACACTGCTCACCCAAAGGGAAAATGTAGAAAAGGCAAAGTCAAGAGTTAAATTCATAAATTCTAAAGAGAATCCAATAGCAAAGTAAAGTACTGTGTTATACATAATTTCTGTGTAAGCAATACATATGAATTGAAATAATTCTTGCATTTAAACTTGTATTTCCTAATAAGATTTAACTTGAAATTAATGTAGATAATTACTGAGAGAATTAGATTTTTGTAGTGTAGTTTACGCGAGATGAGATCACTCGGGGTCACGTGATATGAACCGGCAAATTAGGATGTTCTACCATGAAAGCATGGTGAATTCGTAAATTCTTGTCTTTTACCTCATGTCAAAAATGGATGAAAAAACAATGAAAATTTGGGATTTGTTCAGAACAGAGGAAGAATCTGTCAGTTTCTTTCCAGCGAAAGGCATTTTGCCTAAAATTGCTACTAGTGATGATAATCATGAAATGAAATTGTATTTCGGAGATGAAATTCAATGACTCTGCAACCTTTCAACTTGCAATGGTAAAAGTAGTATACGGAAAGGTGTGTGTCATCAAAATTGAGTTTCTTGAAGTGTGTGAGATTTATTTATGGTTGGGGAAAGAATTAACTTCAGTTAAAAGTGTGAAAATTATGCGACGCACAAGCATTAAATCACAGTTTCTTTAATACATCGCTTTTTGACTTATGATGTTTCCCAACCCCACCTCCAAATTTTTGTACTTGAATTTTCATTTATATTTTTGTTGGAAATCAGTCACAGAAGAGTTATGGACTGGAATAACTACATAAGTGAGGTTTATGCGGATTCTTTGCTTAAACATCAACAATGGAAAATAGGAGGACCTGCTATGATCCTTGAAAGTATGTTCACGGGCATCAAAACAATGCAGGACGGATTCTACCACAACAGTGGATCTTTGGAGGAGTTTGCTGTGAAACAAATGAATGTTTCCTTGTAAAGATGCCAAACCAATCCATGAGTATTATATTCGATGCAATTAAGGAAAATGTCGAAAAATAATATATTCCACTTCGCGGAAATCATACTGCACTGAAAAACTGGAAGAGGCAAGTTTCAAACATTTCAAAGTGAACCATAAATACAATTTTGTCGATCCGGAAACTGGAACACGTACATAAAAAATAGAAAGACTGTGCGGTAGTGCCAAATGGCAAAATAAGAAACAGAGGAATGGCATGTCATCATCTGGAAAGTTATCTCACGGAATTTATGTGGCGAAAGGAAACAAATGAGTCATTTGAAAAAAATTTAAACAATCTTAAAATTTTTATGCCCCCAAAGTAAAAAATTATTAGAACTAACATTTGTTAAAATTTTTTATGTGTTTCCTGTATGTTGTGGTCAATAAAGTCTCCTTGGCGAAATTTGCGCCTGCGAAATAGAAAAGTACCAATTTTTTAATTATTTTTAAATGTAGCATTTTAAAGCATAAAAACTGGTATTGCTCAGATGAAATTATACTTAGATGAAGAAATAAAAATGTTGGAAATTATGAAATAAGCACAGACAATTAAGACACAGAAATAACAAAACAAACAAACAAAAAAGTATGCTATAAAGCACAAAGAAATTATTATTTTAAATAGTCAGTTTCTAAGTAATAACAATATCATTAACTCAAATTTTAAAAATATCTTCTTATACTCATATCTTCTCGTACATTATGCTGGGAGAAACGAATTTCAAAATAAATAAAAACTTCAGTTTCGGTAAATTTGTACATTTAACAGAAATATGCTAAAGAATATAACTGTTTAATAATTATATGAAACAGGCCTTTATGTGGCTAGCCTTTAGTCTGGTATAAAACTAACAAATACATTCGCAGAAGATTAAAACTAACAAAATTGAAAATCAAATGCTGAGCTAATAAACAAAAATTTTTGGTTTATTACAAAACACACATCATTCCTGAAAATGTAAGGAAAAATTAATGCTGTTTATAAAAAATACAGAAATAAATAATAAATATGAGTATTAAAAAAATATGAGAATACAGTAAAATATTAAGCATGGAAATTTACACGTAAACAAAGCCTAATGTTGCCACACACTAACTCATAGATTCTTTACTTTATATGATTAAGATACATCACAGGATTATTTATTCCACTAGCTTATTCTTAATGGAAAGATAGACATTATGCGACGCACAAGCATTAAATCACAGTTTCTTTAATACATCGCTTTTTGACTTATGATGTTTCCCAACCCCACCTCCAAATTTTTGTACTTGAATTTTCATTTATATTTTGAAAAACTTTCCAGACTGATGTGCTATATATATAATAAAGTTAACATGTACCAGAAAGGATATTAAAGCAGTCAGATTGAGATATTCCTGTTACACAGAAACATATATATATATATATATATATACATATAGAAGAAACACATTTTGTAATCTAAAATCTTTTTCTGAGGAGCAATATACAAAATTATCAACAAGTGCCAATGTTCCAATACCTTCTCTACCAACTCTTTGAATGAGCCTCATCACCAAGAGTAAAACTGATGATTTTGTTTATTATGGTATCCTCACCACACAGCCATCTGAATATCAATTCTTCAAGTATTCTTCCAGCCTGACTTCTCTAAATATATACCAACTCTTTTGAGCCTTATCAGGAATAGAAATTTTGATGATGATGTTTATTGTGGTATCTCCACCATCTGATGATTTGAAGATCATTTCTTCAAATATTTTTCATGCCCAACGTCTTTGTATACATTAATGTAAGTATAACCCTACTGTTCCTCCCTTTTGGTATGACCTTCAGGTAAATTATATGAAAAAAAAAAAAAAAAAAACCCTAACATGAAACATATTCGGAATTAAATTATTTTGCCTAACACTAGGCTTCATTCAGTATATTGTAGAAACATTAGGTATTTTTTAAAAGTAGGAGAGATGAAAAATGAGCAATGCCCTCACCGGGACTTGAACCACAGACCACTCAAATATGCGTCACGCGTGTTGACCATTACACCACAGAGTCATGCTGGCAGTGGAGAATCGTCATCCACCTATTTTTAGTTCAAGTGCCACTGTAGAGACATTAGGTATTTTTTAAAGTAGGAGAGATGAAAAATTAGGAATGCCCTCGCCAGGACTTGAACCCGCCAGGACTCAAATATGCGTCGAGCGTGCTGCCCCTTACGCCACGAAGGCATGCTAAGAAGGTGGGAGAAATACCTTATAATATAATTGACAATACCTGAAAATAACAGTACTATAAATGCATGTTTCATAATTTTGGGTTGTGTTATAGACAACAATAGCTTGGGATTTCCTTTGCTAATTAGCCAAATGGTATAAATCTGTGTGAAGTAATTTGTCCTTGGTGCTTGTGTTTCTAATTGCAAGATCTTTATGATTTGAGTAAACTGACAAATTTATGACAGGCTATTAATGAAGATCAATCAGCAGATTTCAGAAGAAAAAAATTTGTTATGGAATTCTCGCCAGAGAATTTTATCAAAAGATTTGAGAATAATACAATTATCTATCAGATTAGCATTTTGTATCTTCATACAGAAGTTGAGAGAAAAATGTGTGGGTGCTTACCTAGACTTGAAGAAGAAACTGAATGGTGATCCAAACTTCTTAACTAAGACTGTAATTGGGAATAAAGCTTGGTACTATGATTTAACATAGAAACAAAATAAGTATCAAACCAATGGAAGGATTCAAATTCATAAATATTCAAGAAAGCATATTAAAACTGATAAGAAAACATCAAGACCATCAGTCCATCAGATTAGCACTTCGTATGTTCATACAGAAGTTGAAAGAGTGCTTGCCAAGAATTGAAGAAGAAACTGAATGACGAGCCAAACTTCTTAACTAAGACTGTAACTGAGAATAAGGCTTGGTTCTAATAGTTAACATAGAAACAAAACAAGTATCAAACCAGCAGAAGGATTCAAATTCACAAATATTCAAGAAAGCATATCAAAATTGATAAAAAACATCCAAGACAATGTTGATTTGCATTACTGATATGAATAGAATTATACACACAAAACCTATTTCTATACAACAAATAATGAACTAAAATATTAATCATAATATTTTTCAATTACTGTATGACAGCGTGTTATGGAAATGGCCAGAATTGTAGAAAAATGAGACTAATTCTTCTACTATGGCAATGCTCTTCCTTCATGGTTGTATCCAATCAACAATACTTGCAAAGAACATGATGCTTGCAGCTATCTTAAACACTAAATTTTACTCCATGTGATTTTTTTTCCTACTCCCATGAATAAAAAAAAAAAGTTCTCAGATAGCTGTAATTCAGCAAGGTGGATGAAGTGCGAAAAAATATGCTCCATGCATTGAAGAGTATTCAGGGTCAAAAGTCCCAGAAATAATTCCAATAATGGACAAACCCTTGAGACAACTGTACTGATGCTAGCAGAGAATACTTTTAATGGACTAAAATATTTAAATGTAAAGTTTAACATAACTGTTTAAAAGAATAACTGTGGACATTGCTTTAAAAAACTCTTGAATGTTCACAGATATTGTTTAAGAAATAACACTGTTTGAAAATAAATTATTATTAGCACTATTTAATTTAGATTTTATTAACATTGTTTAGTAAAATTACACTGTTTAAAAAATAACACTTTAAAAAAAATTAGACTTAGTTTAAAAAATAACTGTGGAAATTAACCGTAGGCTGTGTAACTTACATTTGTAATACCAACTCACAAACTTTTTCTTTCAAATTTCATTTCAAGTGACAAGTATTAGCGAAGCTCCGGTTTCTTTGTAGACAAAGTTTTAAAATGTATTCTTTGATTTTAGAGCACAAGCCTGCTCAATATCTCTCCATAAGGTATATACTGGAGTATTATGCTTTAAAGTTCTATTACAAAAATTAAGTACAGTCAATTCCTGATTTATTGGTGGTGGATGAACCAAGTCCAATCTTAAGAAAAAAGGTTAGGAATGGTGTACTAGCATGGTTGTTATGGCAGATAAGCAGATAAGTAGGTCATAATGGAAAAATTGCTTTCTATTTTGAATACTGATTTAGTTTTTGCAAGCAATGCAAAATTATTTTGTAGATAAACTGCTTAAAAAACAGAAAGTTGTTAATAGTATTTTCCTGTTAACTGTGATGTAAGTTGTTCCATTTTCTTTCTTTTTCTGCTCCCCTCCCTCACACTCAGATTAACAGTGGATGAAGTTAAGGGAGTGACTGGAATTTCAATTTTTTCCCCATCAAGTAACTCTGTCAAAGGAAGAGACTACTTGGGGGGGGGGAATTCAAAGTTAATTCTGTGATGCATTAAAGTTGTACATATTTCATCATTAATAATTAAAGAACAAAAAATGAAAACAAAAAGACACGTATATACACAGCTAACATGGAGCTATATTAAATGATGTTTCAAAGGATGTTTCTTAAATTTTTCAAGTCGCAAATATAATGGGATAATGTTTTAAAGGAAATATATTTTATAACTTTTTTTTTTTTTTTTTCCTTTTAGCTTATCAGGTATATATAGATATGTTGCCGAAAATACAACCCATCATTATGATTCTTTTGGCAACCTTAGATTCTTCTAAAAAGGTTAGATTTTTATTTCTTTTCTTGCTAATGTTTTTTTTTTTTTTTTTTTTTTTTTTGGTAGGCTAGGATGTATAAGGGACTAAGATTCCCCGCTTTTTAAGTCAACTTTAATACTCAGAACATATATTGCAAGTAGGGATGAGCACAATGGAAGAATATGTGGAAACACACTATAGCTTGTCTTCTTACTTATCAGACTACATATGGAGGCAGAGACAAGCTGAAGGAAATAATCTGCTTGATGCCACTATGAATGCAACTGCCAAACAATATACACTAAAAATTAAAATTGAAATAATAGCTTTCATTGCCAAAAAGTATAAACAGACTGTATGAATATAATGGCAAAGCTTGAATAACCAACAAGTACCAAATTTATTATCGTTTTTAGTAACTGAATTGTCATTTCTTACACAGAAGATTTGAGACTGTAAATACACACCATCAAATGCAGTAATTATATATATAATTTCAAAATGAAGTAAGATGTTAAAATGTAAATTAAATAAAAATTTTAGTTCCAGAAAATATAAAGGCCAACCTAGTTTTATATCTTCATGAAACTGGAAAACTGAATTACATATATTTAAGGGCACACTGTTAAGAAACATTAGCAAATCAATGAAAATCTTAAACACCGCCTAAAAAGGAGATTGAAAAAATACAAAGTGTTATCAAAATGCATGAAAAAATTAATCTCCTTTGTTCAAACACTTGAAACAGAACTTGTCAAGAGAAAAGTGTTTTGAATCCCATGAACTCAGTTAATTAATGAGCTTCAAATACACGCTTCACTGCTCTTGCAAATTTATTAACCACATTTTAGAATGCAATTTCAAACAATTCTCAGTGCGCTTACATTTTTTCCCTACATGCATTTATACTCAAAGTAAACAAAAGAGCATAAAATAAACTAGACTACATAAAACAAACAAAATAATTAGAAATGTAAAGGAGCAGAACTTACTTAAAAATTGTGAAATCTTAGTGATACAACAGATAGTAAAACAAAATAAAATAAAAAAAGACAGACATGAAATAAGCTGAAAACTTCTAAAATAAGCAAGTGAATAAGTAAATGACAAACCTGTCAACTGTCAAATTACCCAGCAGAAAACAGGTCAAGCTCCAATGACCTGAAACACCTAGTTCTTTTTTTTTTTTTTCAAAAACTATTTAAGATTGTAAAAGAGTACAATAAATTAAATGTCGGAACTAATAAGCTCATAAGTAAGAAAACTTACTGTGGCCATCAAGACTTCATAACTGAAGAAAAATCAAAACTCCAAGGTAGAAAAATCAGTTAGAAACAACACTTGCAAAAAAAGGGGTTGCCCAAAAATAATGAGAACCCCGGCTAGTGGGTGTACCAGTATGTGAGAAAAGTTGCTCCAAAGATTGGAAATGTAACAAGGGTCTCTAACAGAGATGAAAGAAAAACAAATAAAATGTCTGCACTTTCTACTACACCCCATTCAACGAAACCATCTTTTCAGCTTTGGGTAATAATTTTCACACATATATGAAAAATTAAAAGTATTGCACTTCATTCACTTTATGGAAATTCTAAAATTTTGATTTATTTAAATTTCATGCAATAACAAAATAAACGAATGCATACACAGAATGAAATCATTATGCATATACTTATAATACATAAGCAACTAAAATCAGAATAATTTTCTCACACTCTTTCCTGGTAAGAGTGAGTTCAAAAATACCCATAATTTTACATTTCAGCTTATTACAAGTTCCACATATTTACACAAACTAAGAAGATATTTTTACCTGTATACATCTGGCTGGCAAACAATTTGTAGATCTCCTTGATAAGGAAACATATCTTCATATTCAATTAAAATTCCAGTTGCTCCTAACTTTTTTAACAGTCCAAATATCTAAAACATCAGTAAACACAGAAAAATTGATTACACATAAATTACACTTTTAAAGTAGTTATAGATTCTAATTCAAAAGTCAAACAACAAAAATCAGTGTTATATTTACAAAATTTTCACAGGACTAGTTTCGATGGTTTCACAGGACCACCATCCTCAGCTGCAAAACCGCAAAAGTTTGCGGTTTTGCAGCTGAGGATGGTGGTTTGGTAAAACCATCGAAACTAGTTCTGTGAAAATTTTGTAAATATAACGCTGATTTTTGTTGTTTGACTTTTGAATTAATATTTATTCAGCATATTAATGTGTCTTAATTAGTTATAGATTACTTAAGTAAATTTATTTATTTATTTAAGTAATATATGATGGTATCTGCTTATAAAAGACTAATTTTAGCTTTCAATATTTGGTAATATTGATTTATTCACTTATAAAAGTTAAGCGTGTTTCTAAAATCTAACAGAACTTTTAAGCTTTAAAGACCATTTTCATAGCTTTTAAAGAACATTGGTTCACTATATTCAGAGATCATTATATACTTACTGCTATCATGACACCAGAGAGCAATTGATTTTTGTAACTAATTTTATTTTGGATTTGATAGTTGTCCCAGTAATCTCCAAATTAGCGTAATTGGATAATTGCTTTCTACTCAGAGGCCCTTGATATACTTCCTTCAAGTGCTTTTACAGAAAGTACCCTTCCAGGACACATATTTTCCATCCCTCCTTTCCTTTCATGAAGGAGGTCCCTACTCCATTTTAACAATGGCTTGCCATAAAACCATAGCTAACGTAAGAATGGATACAAGAGCTCATCACTGCTAATCCTCATCTAGTACAACCTAACAAAAAGTGAAATGACAAACTGCTACTGAATGCAATATTACTTCCTTCAACATTACAAATTAGAAGGAAAAAAATCTTTTGCTGTTGATGAAGATGGCCTTCAGATCCAAGAATTACAAACTAGAGCTAACTCTTAAGCTAAAGAATCCCTAGGTTGATGTGTCCAATTAGAAAATAGCAAATGTGAGAAAACAGAATCCTTTCAACCTGAAAAGGCAGCGGGAAACATCCCTCTGATTATAACTTCAGACTTCTTAGCTGACTCGGAAGTTCTGAAACAGAAAATCAAAGATATTTACATTGGCAAAATCGGAGGAAATCAGAAGAAAATACTTTTCAAGTTTTTGATCCTAATGACTATCTCAGCATGATTGAAGTCTTTCGAGAAGAAATAGTTCTATATCATACTTTTCTCATGAATGTTGATAAACCAATTATGTATGGCCATATTTAGAGGAGGAGCTGAAGATGCCGCAGGGCCCCAAAAACTAAAGTTTCAGTTTATAAATAGAATACAGGGTGCTACTTCATTTTCATGGCTGTTGTATTAAATCACCAAAGTATGTAACAAACGATACTTTCACTTTTATGAGTGAGATGATAACACAATAAACATTTTTCAGTTTAAGCATTGTATAAAAACTTTCACAATTTTTAATTTATTGAGGAGTAAGGAAGATGCTGTCCTGTTTTACAAAGAAAAAGATATACAATTACCTTACAGCTGAATATGAGCAAACAGTGACAAAATTAAACTATGTGTAAATGAAAGTATGTGGAAGGGCAATGAGAGACATTATAAACCAAAAAAAAAAAAAAAGCATTCAATCAGACAACTGGTTCCAGAATACCATTCCTAACAGAACTTCATTTCCTCTACTGTTGAGCAAAGGAATTAACATTGCTTAAGTAGTGCAATAAACAGCTCAACATCTGTCAAAATATCACGATTGACTAAAACAGTTTTATGAGAGAGGTTTGTTCACTAGATTTACTTTGACAACCTAAAGGATGAATAGGTAGCTCTGGAAAAAATGTTGAAACTCACGAGAATTTGTCATGTGATGAAAAAAAAATTCTGGCAGGGCACTTTCACAACCGTGGATACTTGCGCAGGTTATGCCGAAAGAGTGGCGAGTGCTTTCTTGATTAAGTTCAAAATTGGGAAGCACTGATATCAATAATTGTAGACCACATAATGGAAGTCTCAATAATATATTCACATTGTTGGTGAACCTATCGTAGCATTTCATGCATGCAAATGAGAAATGCATTGCATCAGCTAATTAACAAGAGGCACACACCCCATGTGTGTTTTTATACCACAACATCTCTCTATCTTCAGAGTCTTTTTATGGCTCTTCTGGGAGAGAAAGTTTGCTACATTGCTCCAGGCACAAATTTTGTTTCTGTAGGTGGAATAAATTATATTTTTATACTTAATAGTACCACTCCATGCAGCTTCATTAAAATACAGGAGTCGGATCAAACAATGCACACCTGATCACTATAAAACAGATGAGTTTGAAAAGGCTCAGCCATTTAATTTTCTTGATTCAACAATGGGTGCTCACACCTCAAATTGGAAAGATTGTGAGTTCTGTTGAATGGTGAAACAAAAGAAAAAGGGGGAACAGCTTGACATCATCTAGAGACATATCTTTCCGAATTCACGTGGTGGAAATTCTTTGGGAAAAATAGACCTTTTGATGGCATATTGAAAGCCATCATGGAGATATGGAAGCCACAACCTATATGCAAGTAGTTTAAACCTGGCAATAATCTTGGTATCACTTTGATACTGGGGGCCATGAAAATTAAATAGTATCAAATACAGTTACAGAAACATTATTTTTAGATAAAAGTCACAGCCTCTCCCTCTTCTGAAATTAAACCGTAGCTACAGGCATGTGATTATATGAGTTGTAAAGAAACTATAGAAAAATTATAATATTGATATTATAGAAATTATAGTATTAATCTCATGGAAATTATAATACAGTCAAAAGTCGTTAATCCGGACTCGTCGGGACTTCGGCGATTCCAGATTGATGATTTTTCCGGATTATAGATCATCAGTTTAAATCTGGTAAGATGGCATGCAGAAATTATAAAGTTAAAAATATGAAACCATAATTTATGAAATAAAGAACAATTATGATCTAAAGGGTATCAAAATTTACAAAAACAACAACAAAAAAAAAAGCTTAATATTTATTTGTTTACTTTATTAAACATTTCTTTCAATTTAAATTGTTTAAGTTGCTTCGTTATTTATTTGATAATACATTAGCTTTAATTCTATAAACAGACATAATTTCTTCTTCAGTTACAAAGTTCCACTGTTCAAGTCCTATAATTGCTGTGTCGAGAATACCGACTAATTTGTCAATCGAAATTTTTTCGTTTTCAATAACCTCTGTTACTTTCTTCGCCATTGGAAGCGAATTATAATGACGAGGAATTTGATTTAAATCGTATCAAAGATGGAGTAATAAGCCAAATAAAATAAAAACATCTGTCCTGAAGATAAGGATAGTGCTGACAGATCAACTTCCAATTCATTGTGCACCGCGATGCTAAAGATAAACAAAGTTTAGATAAACAAACGTTAAAGTTTAGATAAACGAAGGATATGCCTTTATCCATTTTTTGCAGCAATTCTACTTTTTGTTTAATGGACTTCGAAACATACTTTCGCTTTGTAGATCCTTTACCTATTAGTAAATATATATCAGAAATTCTATTTGAAAGTTCAAGCTTACTTTTATAAAATTGCTCTAACAGTCTGCAAAAAATAATAAGCCGAATCCAATTCGAAGATTAAGGAACAACGCAATCTGCAACATTAACTGAATTAGATAATTTAAGCTTATCTTATACCGTCCGTTATACATTAAACGCGCATTGGTAAACGTATTTTGCGCACGCGCACATGCATATTCGCAGCCGTAAAGGTCTTACGCATTATAGATCGTAAAGGTGCGGATTATAGATCATTCCGGATTATGGGTGTTCGAATTAATGACTTTTGACTGTATTGATAGTATAAAAGCAGATCTGATAGAACTCAATATCTTAGTCATCAATTTTAAGCAATTTCAAAAACATAAAGGTGGTATTACGATTCTGTTTTCACGTTTCCTCACTGAAGCGAAACATATCGATAGAAAAAAATATGTAAGAATGGAAAGAAAATATATAGTATCTATGAGACCTAGATGTCCATGTACAACATATGAAAATCGAGCCCAAATCAGTGCCATAAATGTAAAAGCTACAGGCACATCTGCAACATTTATTTTTAATAAAGAAATATGTCTCAAATGCACTAGATTCCATGAAACTTTCATATGTAAAAGAGATAAAACAAAAGCCAAAGCATTCTTTTAATGCTTCAAAGTATTCAAAGTCATTTATAAATAAGATAAGCAGTTAGGATGCAATAGGCAATAACAAGCAATAAGATGCAATAGGCATAAGCATCTTATTTTTCAAATCTTGATAATGCATTTTAATGCAAATCATCATATGATTAACATGACTGGGACTATTAACATCAAAACTTGTTATTTCAATAGTAATGGGCCAAAAGGAAGGAAACAAAAGTCACCAACGATGTCATTTAACATAAAAAATATGATGCTTTTATGGGTTAAACATATCGATAGGAAAAAAAATCATCTCACCTACTGTACTTATTTAGACTACTTCTGCAATCATTTACAGTGCAACTAGAGATGAACACCTTTTTATCATAGCTTATAACCATGTTCATATATAACCACCATAACTTATGCTCATTTTATAATTCATCAGGTAATAGTTTGAGATGGCAAGATCTGCAAACTCTGACCAGCTTAAACTTTGCTACAATAATTGCAGGAGATTTTAATGCCGAACAGCCTACATTGAACACAAGATATAACAATACACTGGTGGACTTCTTGATAACTTTGCATTTAACAAAGACCTCAGAATTCTTAGTCCTAAATTCTCAAAGAAATATCATTATAATGGAACTGGTATGTTTTTATATTTTTGACATCCTTACACTCAAGCATGCAAATCAGATTCTTTTCCATGAAATAATCAAAGAAGTCCCTCGTGATTACTATCAAGAGAAATTCAATTTCTATAGACTCTACTTTCCATTAAAGATATTAAGAAATAAAATCAAATGGCAATACATTGGCATATTACACTAAATAGACATAAATAGCACTCAGTACAAAAATTCAAACTGCAATCACTAAATTCATCACTTCAGTTTCTCATAATAACCCAAATTCTCTTACCTGTCTACATCCTTGATAAGGTAAAAATCAAAAAGTCACTTAGATGGAAAATTACCAGAGATCCACTTACAAAATGCAGAGTTAGCCTTATCAGAGAAATTCAGGTATACAGATCAAAGAGTTATAGTAAAATAGACAGTCAAACTATTTATAGTCAATAGTTAGTTATATCAAATAATCAGAAATATAAATAAACTAGAAACTCTTTATCTCTCTCCAAATTCAATATATTCAATTTCAAAAATTGTAAAAACACAGACCAATTACATCAGTCTAATTTTCCTCTCTGATCAAAGACCTTCATTCTTTGACTAGTACACGGCTTTTTACCTTAAGTTTTTGCTAACATATCATCACATATTCCACTGGCAATCAGTAACAAAATTATAAATTTACAAAGTAGAAAACATTCTGCCTAAAGGAAAAAAAAACAAGTAAATATGGTTTGGTTTTATGAGATTACAACAAAGCCTCAAGGGCTATCTGCCCTAGGGATGGTATGCCTTCGTGGAGGACTTTCAAAGGGAAACTGGCTCATATACATGTTACACATGGAAAAAAAAAATGAAAACACCCATGCAGCCAGCCCACTTGCGGGATTCGAACCTCGGACCTAACTACCAGTGTTCAGAGACTTTACCACTTAGCCACTGGTGGGCCTAAGTAAATATGGATGAGAATTATAACAGTACAAAAATAAAAATAAATAAATAAATAAATACAGCAACCACTGTTTATACTGTTTATTAAAAATCTCTTCTATTTCAAACATATTTGAATTTATTACACAGTTAATTTTAACAAACGGCAGTTTGTGTATTTCAAATAGCAATATCAGTTTTAAACTTTTCAAGCAAAACAATAATTAATCCTAAAATGCTAATTAAAAGTTAATACTAAAATTAAACTATTTATGTACTTTTGAAATTCACTTTTTATTTTTTGTAAAACTATTTTTATAATTACATTCTTCACAAAATTTTTTCTCTCACTATTTTTCAAAAATTCTATCAAAATTACTTATTTTTTAAACTTTTATGTATTTTTATCAAAAATTTATTTTTTGGAAGCTGTACATTTATTAGTCAAAAGTAAAATGAATTCAAACACAAACTGAAAGTCATTAAAATATTTTAACAGGTCATCACAAAATGCTAACTGATCAAGATAACAAATCTCTACCTGCTCATAATATGATACAACTGGAGGAGCACCTTTCAGATCAAAATGAACCAACCTGTAATAAAAAATAAAGTAGCTTTCAGTTCATTGCTTTAAGAATTAAAACAAGTTAATTAGATTCTTGACTGAAATTCACAGAATTCTAATTCTGTGAACCACAATAAATTATATATTGTGTTCATAAATATTTCCCAATTCATACATAACATTCATTTCATTGTTCATGGGGAAAATGGTGCCATCTGAAATGCAACTGTATAACTATCAAATATTTTTTTTAAACGCAAATATTTTATGTTTTAAAAATATTATTGCTTTTAATATGGCAATTCAAAACACCTTTTTTCCCCCCTTCTAAAATAATGAGTTCAGATGACTGATTGATTGATGAATTAGATTTTTTAGAATTAGAGTTTTCATATGATATCTAAAAATACAAATTTTAACTATCTTTATCTTACAAATATGATGGCTTCATCTTCATGTAATGTTGTTTCAAATAACATTTGAAAGCATTTTATAATACATTTTTCTTACATAAAAATTAATGAATTAAAAACACTTTAACAATTAAATAGCTTTCTATTTTATCTCTCATCCATTTGTAGTATAAATAAGGCATTTGGTTAATTTATCATCACATTTAATTCTCCTATTCTTTTCATAGGATTGAAAATCTCTTCACCAGTGAAGAAGCTATTTTAAAATTTATTTCTCGCTTATTCCTTTTGTAAATAATAGTAGGGCCTTTTCTGATGATATACAATCCTACTGTGATTTATTGAAGTATGCTTCAAACTCACAAACATCTTTTAAAGTTTTGAATTATCTAAGCGAGAAAAAAACTGGTAAAGTTCTTTTATTTTTGGTGCAAATAAAAGAAATTCTTTGAATTACTTTTATTTTTGGTGCACATAAAAAATGAGAATAAAATATAACAGCTAGGAAATGTGAGAAGTAAATAGATAAATTTCATTCTTCTGCCTCACCGAAAAATCTAAAAAAAAAAAAAAAAAAAAAAAAAAAAAAAAAACTTATGTTAGGAATTTGTTGCATTACTAGGATACTTAATAGTATTGCCCAAATATTTACATAAATTGCGCAGCATCGACTGTAATAGAAATCGTAAAATGTAAGTACTTACTTTCGAAAATCAGACGAACTGCAGTTAAATGAGCTCATTATGAATGTTGCAAAATCAGTTATTGAATAGAATTAGATTTCCTGTTTGAGTTCATTAGCATTCAATTTTTTAAATTAGGTGGCTGAAATTCCATTACCTTAAAAAAATACCGGTATTAATCCCACAGAGTATATATTATATATTATATAAAACGTAATTATACGCTAAATCGCTTTAAGAAATATAATAGCACCAATCTTTGCACAGAATTTTAAGGAAAAGAAAGCAGCATACCAAACACAGTAATGCATAAAAGAAAAAAAGATGCGGACTAGAAAAACGACAGAAGGTAAATACAAGACGACTATCAAAACTGAAACCATAAACGTTACTGCATATTCTGCCGGTTGTCTTCTTCAACAAATTTAAAAATGAAAGAGTGTTATGCGCTATGTTATGAATTTACCTAAAAATTAGAGAGACTCTTAAAATTTATATATTCACTAATTATTATTTTCATTAATTTTTACCTCATTAATTAAATTATTGGGACTATTTATTTGCATTTGTGATCTTTTTCATGATCATAATTGATTGTCAGAAAAGTAAATCATTCATTACCTTTTTTTTATTAGTAAGACATTTAATTTAAATAATTACATAATATTCAAAAGATATTTAATCCTTACTGAGAAAAGCATTACTTTAATTCATTAATCAAGGAGTCAGGAACTGATGTCTGTTTTGTTTTCATTTCGGGTGTTTGGCAGGCTCCCTTTTTGTGTAATCTTGACAATGTTATTATGTGTTTCATATTATTACATATGTTAGATGAAATCGCGCTATGTGAAACTAAACAGCTATGAATATAATGTGGATAACGTGAATTTTATGTTATAAATTTTCGTTGAAGAGTATAATGAGTGAATTTGTATGGTAGCCTTGATTTTAGAGTTTGGCTGTTCGATAAGAGGTTATAAAGGGTATTAATTTTTTAGTTTACATATGATCATGCGTTTTTTTGCTGTTTAAAAATTTATTTCGTAGACGCATGAGATTTTTTTTTTTTTTTTTTTGCCATGTCTAATCTTTGGGCAGTGAATACTCTTGGTAAAATATATGTGCTGTCTACCGCTGAAGATAATTGGCATGAGGTTGAAACCAATGGTATTGATATTAAAAGGATCTCGGCTCATGAATTTTTCACTTGGGCTATAGGAGGAGATCACCAAATTTATATTTATGTGCCTACAAAGGATATTCCTATTCGGTGTCGTGTTATCACCTTCGAAAATGAGGTACATTTTACAGTCTTTTTTTTTTTTTTTTTAAACTATATGGGCATAATTTCATGTATCAATCAAAGTGATTTTGTCAGTAATATTCTGTGTGTTACGTATCATGAATACCACAAACTGGTACCCTGAAATTGCATAATTTTCCCTTCTTGATTTCCACATGCTGAAATTAATAAAAGAAGGGGTTATGTGAGTTAAATGGTATTTTTAAATATAGTTAATGTATATTAAATTACTCTTAATCATAGCATAAGCAGCAAATTTTTCAGAAATTTATAATAATTTGCACAAGTCTATATCTACATACACATGGAAATCAGAGAGGCCACTAAAATGTTCTTCAGTCAGAGATCAGTTTGGTACTTTCTGATTATCCGCATCTCCACTGAAAAGCTGCAAACTTGTTGGCAACTTTGGAGAGCATTCATGAACTCTTTGCTAATTGTTTCCAAGCTAATGTGTGAAAGGCAACAGCCATTTATAAAGTGGCAGCATTCTAAAAATCAATAGATTAACAAAATAGAAGAATAATACAGATAACACACATATACAGATAATAAAACAGAAAAAATTGGTAATAAAACACTTGCCTCTTTCAAAAAAATTTTTTTTTTCTTGGGCAGTTTTTCGGTTGATCTTTACAATATGGTAACTGGTAGTTTGGCGACATTTTGGAGGCGATAAAGGTTACTACCTGGCACTTTGGAAATAATGTCAGCAGTACTCAGTTCCGATTACGCATTATTTTGTGTGAGGGGAAATGAGAGATCATGGGATATGTCATGTGATATTAATGGACGAATTACGGTTCTTTAATCGAAAGGGGGGAAATCGGAAAAATCTGGAAATTTGTATTTGGCTTTATTCTGTGTGTTGAAACAGTGTCGTGAATTTTTGGATCCCATGGCCGTAACTAAAGTGAATTCGAAATGGGTATTTATGTATTATTATTTAATGTATGTGCTCATTTATATTTTACGTAGTAGTTTTTTGAATTTAATTATATTTTAATTAAATGATAGTTATTTGGAAATTTTTTTAGGATTTGGTATACGTTTTGTTGAAGTAACGTGCATGGAATATATAAATATCTGACATATATGTTCTTTTACCGGGTTTAAGATTGAGAAATTGTCATGTATTTTCGTGAATTTTTCTAATTTATGAGAAAAAAGCAGTGTACATGGATATATGAAGAGTGTGCGCAATGCCATTTTGTGCAATTCTGGGATGTTTTTTTAAGTAAAAATAAGTTGGCGTTACATGGTTTATGTGTATGTGTTATTTTGAAAAACGCGTAAGGAGTATGGTATTTTGTGCACTTTTTTCCCAATTTTGCAGTGATATTTGTCATGATAAGCAGTTTTGTTTGATAAAATTTCTAGCATAAGTGTAATCGGCAGTACATTGTTGGAAGAAGTGTCAGTAGATAAAAAGAAAGAAACATGTCTTACTTCGTGAAGACAAAATGGGGCGGGAAAAAAAAATAGAGGGTTGCTGTAGGAGAGTTGGTCGCCAAATTTTCGCCAAAAAAACGCCAAGTTACCATAATGTAAAGATCAACCAGTTTTTCTTCCCATGTACACAATGATATGTTTTTGATTTTGGAAAAATCAAAGCATTTTATAAATTTTGCATCAATTAAACTTGCATTGTGTACTGGCCAAAATAAGCATGTGCTGTATACTATATGCCTAAGTGTCCACATAATTACTTTTTAGCAACGTCATAGGTTGCTACATAACTATTTTAGCAACATGTTTACTTTTTCAAGACTTGAGTAAGAGTGAGGTAATCAGAAAGTATCATCAGTTTATTTTTAAAATTAATATCTGGATTTCCTCATGAAATGATTATGAAGCAGAATTTATTTTAAAGGAAAATAATGCCATTACTATATGTTATTGAACAAAATATAGAATGTAATAATGTAAAGTTTTGGAATGGTGACAATTTCCATTATATCAATTTATTTTAAATATTTAATTTTCCTAGATTTTCTGCTTTGCTCTCAAAATATCCAATATTATCAAAGTATTAAATTTCACCCTGCTCTTTTTAATTTTGATTACAAAATTTTTAATGAAAAGATACACAATCTTTTTAAATGTAGTGGCATTGCTTTAATTGCATAAATGTATATGCTAATTACAGCATTATAGTAAAACACTTGAAGTTTTAAGTGTCTGTTAGTGAGTATTAAGTGCATTGATATCCAAAAAATATTTTAAAAAATTAAGAATATTTTGCATTTAAAGGGAATTAGATTTTGCATTGATTCTGCACTTGATTGATATTATAAATTGATATTTTACATAATTATACATACATTCTGCACAATTTTTTACTTTGGATGAACATACTTTTTATTAGCATCATGCCATATTTGAATAAATTATTGTTATGTATGAAGTATCTTTAAATGATAATTGAAGAAGTAAAACCCCAAAACATTTATTATCCATTATTTATTAATTATAGTCAGTGCACCGCAAGAAAGTTCTTGGCCATGCCTAAATTACTTGGTATCAGGCAATTATGGATCTTTGGGTAAACTGGGACAAAAGGTACATGTTCTATCATAACTGAATTTACTCATTTACGATGTCGGTTAAGTTCTTTTGTCTCTCCCTGCAGTAAAATGAACTCCAATTTGTAACAGCTGAGATCAAGTCTCTTCTTGCTGTGAACTGTATTAAGATCTTTTCATCCAGAAATTAGGAATGAAGTTTAATTTTTGTAATATAGCTTCTTCTACAACTGGTTTTTCATATTTTATTAATATTATAATACTAATAAAAATTAAATAAAGTTTTCATGAATTAAAAAAATCTGAAAGTTTTCAGATTTTATATTATGCCCAAAGAGCCTTTTTTTTTTTTTAACTGAGGCCAAAGGGCCTGAGTGCACGTCATTAGTTCGTAAAACTATCGAAAAAATGCATGTTATCATGTTCAATAAGAGAGTGAAGGTGAGTGAGATAGCTGAAGTTATCGAGATATCAGAAGTGTGCAAAACGTCTTGCACAAAGAATTAGGGGTGTGAAAACTCTGCACAAAATGGGTGCAGCTTTTGGTGAATGCCAATGAAAAGCAAATGCTCAAACGATTTTCGCAGCAATCTTTGGATGGATTCAGCAGTGGTCCGATCGATTTCGTGCAGCAATTTGTCAGTATGGATGAGACATGGGTCCACCACTACCTGCCAGAAACGAAACAGCAGTCCAGGCAGTGGGTGGAAGCCAGTGGTTCAGCATCAAAGAAAGGAAAGTCAATTGCATCTGCCAGAAAGGTCATGGTCAGTGTGTTTTGGGATGCAAAACGGATCCTGTTAATTGATTACCTTGCAAAGGGCAGAACAGTTACAGGTGAATCCTTCTTTACCAGCTGTATGCCAAAATTCACAAGAAGAGGCCTGACTTGAAGAAGAGAAAAATCATCCTTCATCAGGACAAAGCACCTGTATACAAGAGTGTGTTAACAATGGGAAAACTATGGGATTAGGGGTGCAGATTGCTCAGCCTCCCTCCCTGTTCTCCTGATTTGGTACCCTCAGATTTCCATCTATTCCCAAATTTGAAGAAATTTGTTCCTGCGAAGCGCTTCGCATCCAGTGAAGAAGTTGAGAGGGTCATAGATGAACATTTTCACAACCTTCCAGACTGTCACTTCCGGGAAGGAATACTGATGTTAGTGAAATGCTGGACCAAGTGTGTTGAAATCAAGGGAGATTATGTAGAAGAATAAAACCATTTTTAAAACTGAAAGTCACAGTCTTTCGTTGTCAGGCCGAAAACTTTTCACCTTACTCTACCATAAGATTCAATCTTACAACAAAATCACAAAATAATTTAAAAAGAGCATATCTTTAGAATTTCCAATCACACGCTGAGATTTTTTTTTTTTTTTTTTTTTTTTTTTTGTACAGTGTCACCCTTGCTTGCTTTTAAATTGTTTAGTTTGTTAATCAAAAATTCGTTAAAATTTTACAAAATTTAAAACAGGTAATAAAACAAATTCCAGATTCCATATTTGGGCTTCCAGATACCCTTATTCGAGTGGAGGATTACGTTATTAAAAATTTGATGGCTCTAGGTATACTGCTGTTTTCTTACAATGGACATACATATGTACATACATTTATGCAGATTCTTCATTACTATTTAATTTTTTTAAGGACAATATAAGGTAATAATGTTTGGTGGCAACAATTTGAAAGGTCAGCCTTTTAGTTTTCAACACAAAGTGCTAAAACAAAATTAATAGCCCTTCTGGGCTAATGTCCTTTGGACTAATTATTAGATAACAACTAAATTATTAATTATTTGATAATATATATTTTTAGCCATGTGACATTAATTTTTAATTTTATTATTCTTTTTTAAGAGATGGAATCCTATTCATGGATTTTGCTGTATGTTATTGCCCACTGATCGTCCACAGTGGAGTAATATGGATGGCTTAGCTTCATTGCCAAAAGAAAATTTCCACCTTCCTTCAAAGAGTTGGGAATGGGAAGGAGACTGGTATGTGGAAGATAATCTGGAGGGTCAACCTTTGGAACCTGAGGTATTTATTTGTTTTTCATGGTGTTTATATATTATTAAATCAAGAATGAAACTGAGTAATATAATTGATATGCATTTATTTACATATAAATTTAACAAACATTCTCTATTCATAAAAAGCAAATTTAAAGTTAATGAAATTTAATTGCAAACAAATAAATGATTAATTATTGCTGCAAACTAATCTACAATATCATTTAAATTCTGAGAGCATATGTAAATGAAGTGAAAATATCAAAATCCATGAATAAATATACAATTCTAAAAAAATTTTTAATCCTAAAAAATTTATAAAAATGCATAAGTGAATAATTGCCAAGTAGGCAGAAGACAGACTTATTAAGGGAAAGTTGCCTCCAAACCTAACTCTTCAATTATTCAATTCATGTTTCATCATCCATGTAAGCAAGGGTAAAAGTAAAATTCAAAACCAAAAGCAAAACCAAATGTTGTGAATTGCCAAAAAGAAATTTAAACAAGTGGAATCTCAAGAAATATTTATAATTTATGTACACAACTGCTGTTTAAATAAAAGCATACTCTAAAAAAGGAGTGTGATTATCTATCTGTCTTCATTTTATTTATTTCTTTTTTGATTGTAATATTTTTTCAAGTTGATAGAACAATTTTAATAAAGTTACATTTTTCAATTTTATCATTATTGTCAAATAATTTTGACTGTGAGATTAAAATTGAAAGATATGATTCGCTCCCTAAATTTAGACTGTACAGTTTTTTTATCTAAGCTTAAGTTTGTGTTTGATTCTGCTTTGGATATTGGAAATATTAATAATATGGGGAAACTTTAGTTTGATGAATTATATCAACCTGCTGATTAGAGATATTTCAAAGCTGAAATGTTGTTTCTAATAATACAGTAGCTAACAAAAGCATTTGTACACTTACGAGTGTGAATGAAATATTGCTTTATTCATTAATAAAAATTAATATTTTAGAATGAAAATTTTTTAATAATATTTATACATTTTTTTAGCAAAACTACGTTAATTATATTATGAACATATTAAAACTTTTTTTGGAAAATCAATAAAAAAAAAGTAACCTCACAGAAGTCTTCATATGCTTTAAAGAAATCTGCACATATTGGTCAGTATTGTAGTAGTTGCCTCAGTTAGTATTTTGTAGTATATCCTGCAGTATTTATGACAGCTTTCAAACATCTGGGCATAGAGTTCATCAGTTTTTTTTTTTGTTTTGGTAATATCTGCATCAATGTTCCTCCATTCTTCCATCATTACTGTTTTTAGTTCAGTTTTTGTTTTAATGTTGTGTCTTTGTACTCTAATTCTGTCCATATGTGTTCTGTTGGGTTTAAATCTGGTGTCTGAGGTGGTCTTCTTAGTACTTGTGGACAATTATAAACACCCAAAAGGAGAACGTTGAGGGCAGTGTGCTTAGAATCATTATCCTGATAAAAAATAAAATTGTTTCCAGTATCTAAATTTTGGACGGATATTTTTAAATATTTAAATAATGAGCGTGGTTCATTGTGCTATCAATAAATATTAAATTATTTAATACTGATGCTGACATGCACCCTCACACAAGAACACCTCCACCGACATGCTTTCCTGTATCAACCAAGGTTTAGGGATTAAACTCCTGGTTTTTTTTTTCCTTCATACAATTATACATCCATATGAATCAAAAATGTTACATTTGCTTTCATCTACAATTAAGACACATGATTCGGCTTATTTACCATTGATTTCATGATTCGGCTTATTTACCACTTACACATGATTCGGCTTATTTACCACTTCGGGCTTATTTACCATTGATTTTGAGAAGAAAAGCCTAAGCTTTATTTTTTGCACTTCCAAAAAATTTTCTTTTATCAGAGCACCCATGCAATCCAGCTGATCTGAGTACTCGTTGAACAGCTTTAAATGGATCTGAAGTAGAAAATTTTTCCATAACTCCTGTAGAAATTTTTACAACATTCAAGCATGGGTTTTCACAGATTTTCTAACTATAAATGTCTGATCACGTTGAATTACATTGAATCCTCTTTGTTGGACAACCTCTTCTTACTTTATTTTGGATCCGATTTTCACTTTTAGAGCATTTTATCGCATACTGCACCATAGAAGGGTGTAAATTTACTAATTTAATGATGTCCCGAATTAAATTTCCATCCTTATGATAAAAATTGATGAATTTTCAATTAAAATTGATAAAAATTCATTGGTTCCTTACTCACATTAAATAAAATATAATGAAGTAAGCAAGCAAAAAATAAAGGCAAACAATTTTTTAAATTAAAAGAAAGTAGTTGATAGTAATTTTATTTATTAAGTTTTGTGAAAATGTTTTGGTGTATGATAATTTTTGCGACACTTTTTTATCTATGCTTACATTTTCAATTTTAGAAAAAGAAAATAAGTCAGTAGTAAAAATGAAAATTTTTAGTTTTATTTAAAGTCACATGGAAATGATATGAAAAAATTTGGTCTTTATATTTGAATTCCGTTCCAGATTACAGTGCTTTCTCTGCAAATTCTTTAAGTATGCGAACACTTTTGTGAGACACTGTCTGTTATCAGCAAAGTATGAAGTGCCAGTATGCGTAAATCCATGTAAAAGGTGCCATGTAAAAAATTTTGGGATTTTAATAGAAATATTTTAAAAAGGGGGGGGAAAGAAAGAAAAATGAAGAACCGCAACCACTTTCTGATTATCTGCATTGCCACAAAATTCATTCATTGGCAACTTTATGAACAGATCAAAGAAATTTGTTTGGCTATTTTTATGGCTTATAAGTATTGTTCTGTTCACAAATAAAAATAAAAAGGAACATTTTATGAGAAAGATAAATTGTGCAAGAAAGAAAAAACAGAGATCTATGACTGTTTTTTGCATTTTTACAGCCAGTGGACATGGTTCAGCAAAATGCCAGTTAAATGTTGAAACAATGGATGCTTATATAATCAGAAAATACCGAATTCAGTTTTAATGTATTTCTAATTAATGCAACCACATTAATAGAAGAGAAAAAATTTTCAAAATGTGGCAAACTCTGGCAACAATACACACAACCAATCTTTCGGCAATCATGCTGTCATAATAATCCTTTAGTGAAGCAATGCCGCCCTTTTCATATGCATTCTTTTTTGTTGTATTTCAAGTTACATCAGTTTTTATAAACAAATTATGATATGTTTTTGCCTTAAACTTAGTTTTAAAATATGAGCTCATTGAATTTGCCAACATTGGAAGAAACTGTGGTAAAATTTCTGCAGGAATGCAGAGTTTTGCTGAAAATTTTCTAAAGGGAACAATGAGGAAATGCATTTCCTAGATATTTATTCACTGTTGTGGAAGGTTGCACAAAACTGAGTCTCCGCAATTCTCTGATTTTTTTTTAATTGAAAACAATATGTATTTTGGGAGAAGAACTGAGTGAAAAAATTGCAAAAAGTTTCGAAGAATTTAAGTGTTTTATATTTTTAATGTATCTCATATAATGATAATGTTTACTGATTTCACAATAAATATTGATGATTTGGAAATGTTTCATAAAGAAAAGAAGAAAAAAAAAAAAAAAAAAAAAAAAAAAAAAAAAGAGGCATGGAAACCACCAACTTGCACCCAATAAGTAACTTTTACCTTTCCATGTGTAAAAAATCACTATTGTCCCATGGTCATCGTAAAAAAAAAAAAAAAAAAAAAAAAAAAAAGATTTAATATATTTTTCAAGTGGTCATAAAATGGCAATGGCAATGGCAACTAACATTGTCAAGAATTGATTTTGAAACTGAACCAGTTATTGATGTAAAGGCCTTTGTTTTTCTCATTGCATCACCATATGGCTTCCACAGTGGTATAATAACTTAATGTCAATTTCATGTCAATTTTTACAAATTCTCGTGTAGAATAAAATACTTTTTTCTTGGAAGAAGACAATAGCTTCATCTTTACTTGATCTGAAATTAAAAATTGTCAGCAGTTTGAATCTGGAAGGGGAGAGGTAGATTTCTTATGATCTAAGATAATGATTTCACAGTTCTCGTTAGTTTGTTTTGATTTTTAGTTTATTATATCATTTGGTTGTAAACGTTTGCCAAACTTGGCAGTTAACCATTGGTTTCCTATAAAACGACAAGCAGCTAGAGTATTTGCAAATGGTGTTATTTGGAGGATTTGCAAACAAAGTTGGTACTGTTCTGTTATCAGGACTGGGTTTAGAAATGTATACATGTATGTGTTCATATGTTCATGTATGCATGCATATGTATAAGTACGAATGAATGTGTGTGTATACATATACACATAATATACAAACACACATTCATATTTTCATACATTTCTGAATTCGGTTCTGATAACAGAATGGTACCGTAATTTTTTTTCAAATTGTAATACTGATTAGAGATAATTTTATTATTTTTTACCTAAAATATTCATGTTAAATGAATATATAATTATATTTTAGACATAAAATTACAGAATTTTTATTATATTTATATAATATGATGAAAACTAAGGCGATTGTGAGCCAATAAGAGCTAACATTACTCAGCAATTTTGTGGTATGAATTATTTAAGAAAATAAGTTCTTCAGAGCTAGAAATTATTATTATTTATTTATTTTCAGGGATGGACTTATGCAGCTGATTTTCCTGCTACTTACGGGCCTAATAAAAGTTGGAATTCTTGTGTAAGAAGACGTAAGTGGATTCGTTATCGGCGGTTCTGTGCTACTAACAAATGGTCTTTGGTAATTAATATTCACTGCATATTAGTATGGTAAAATATTTTTAAGTACATATGTTATCGGCAACGTATGAAACACCGACATTCTGTAGAATGCTTAGGCACTGTATATAATGCCGGATGTTTTTGGGCAAAGTATGAAATATGAGAATTATTACATACTTTCCCTAGGAATTCTAAAGAATGACAAATGCGGTTTATGCAAAGTATGAACAAAGGTTCTAATAAGGCAGTTATATACACTAGCTCACAAAAGTTTTGTATGCTTACGAGTTTCGATGAAATATTCCTTTATACATTAATAAAAATTAATATTTTAAAATGAAAATTTTTAATAATATCTGTAAATTTCTCTTAGCAAAACTACATTAATTATTTTATGAACATATTAAAACTTTTTTTTTTTAAATCAATCATAAAAAAGTAACAGAAAAGTTACGTCAGAAAAGTCTTCATATGATTTAAAGAAATCTGTATATATTAGTAAATATTGTAGTATTTCTGTCAAGTAGTATTTTATACATTCAAAAGTCGTTAATCCGGACCTCAAAGCTACAAACTTTCTGCGCATGAGTCAACGCATAATGTGTTTGACGCATGCGCGTAATACCTTTATGCAAGTGCAAATGCGTGTACGCATGCACATAATACGTTTACGTATGCGCGTTTAATGTATAACGGATGGTATAAGCTAAGCTAAAATTATCTAATTATCTATTTCAGTTAATGTTGCAGATTGTGTTTTCCCTTAATCTTCGAATTGGAACCGGCTTATTATTTTTTGCAGACTGTTAGAGCAATTTTATAAAAGTCAGTAGGAACTTTCAATTATGTCAAATAGAATTTCCGATGCTGGATCTACAAAGGGAAAGCATGTTTTGATGTCCATCAAACAAAAAGTGGAATTGCTGCAAAAAATGGATAAAGGCTCCTTTGTTTCTCTAACCATTCCAAAATCTGTTTATCAATTTCACGCTGCTCTGCGTGGGGGAGGGGGGGATGTCGCGGCACGCAATGAACTGGAAGTTGATCTGTCAGCACTATCCTTATTGTAAATGCAACGTATTAATTTTATTTAAAATGTATTTTCCCGATTGGCAACAACAGTTTTTTTTCAGAACAATAATAATTTGAACGGTAATGTTTTTTTTTAGCAGTAATGTTGACGGTAATGTTTCTGAATAAAGCAAGTATTTAACAATTAATGTTTGACGGAATGTGTTTTAATAAGGAACTAATTAAATGCTAACATTTCAGAAGTGGGATAAACTAGAATTATTATCTAGATTTAACAACGTATTTCCTTAACGTACGCTAAGCCTAAACTGAATGCGGAAGCTCGTCAAAACTGAAAGTAGAAAGGTACGTGAATTTATAAACTGTTTATGTTATGTCTAAGTATTAAATGGAAAGAACTTAAGTATAATTATTGTATTAGTATTTGAAAATTGAAGTCTAAGATGGCTTATTTGGCAAGAGGCAAAAAATGTGATTTAAAAGAACTTGCTTTGAAACTTGATGTAGATGTCCCTTCTGATATTAAAATTGTAGGCTTAAGAGATATGATTTTGAATAGTAAGAATTATAACAAAGACTTTACTAAACAAATGCTAGATAGAATTATAAATGATCGTTTAGACAGGGAAAAGTTAGAAATTTTAGAAAAAGAAAAAGATAAGCAAAGAGCATTTGAACTTGAAAATTGAAATAGAAGCGGAAATCAGAAGTAGTAATTTAAATGATTCTGTTCCTTCTAATGTTAGTAGAAGTAATATTTGTGATATGAGTAAATTAATGCATAAGTATGATTTGAATGAAGGTGATATAAGTTTTTATCTAGTTTTATTGAGAGACAGGCACGACGTATTGGGTTAGAAGAACAAAACTGGGTTTCTCAGCTGTTGGGTCTATTGCCTTATGAAATAACTCAATTAATTGCCCGTGAATCAGAAGAAAAAGCTAACGACTCTAAGCACATTAAGCAACTGCTACTGAGAAAATTTAAGTTAAGCCCTGAACAGTTTCGGCAAAAGTTCGTTGATCATATTAAAACATTGCGTAATACGTGGAAGGACTTCACGTTTGAATTAAAAAATTATTTTGAAGAGTGGCTTGCTGGATTAAATGTAACAGATTTTGACTCTTTAAAACAACTTATTATTACTGATCAATTAAAGAAGAGGGTCCCCGCTGCTATCCGAGACCATTTCATTGATGATTGGTGTAAATTCATTAATCCTGAAGAGTTGGCTGAAAAACTAGATGAATATGAAAATATTTGGGCAGGGATAAAAGTACTTCAAGTAGAAAATAAAACTTTTAGGCATAATTCAAAGCCCAAATCTGGTTCTAAATTTTATGAAGGATCCTATAATCAGTATTCAAGACAAAGAAATGTTAACAATTCCATGCAGATAGATGGTAATTTCAAAGTGGGTTTTAAAAACAGTTTTGATAATAAATACAATCTGAGAGATAAATTTTATAAACACGAAAAAGGAAAAAATAATATTCTGGCATCCGCAATGAAAAGGTGAGCCGAAATGCTTCAGTTTAATGATTATGGACATATAGCGACGGATTGTCCTCAGCCTAAAAAAGAAATTATTTGCAGGAAATGTAATGAAAAGGGTCATACTTTTAAAAGGTGTACATCTAAGAATCCAGACTTGACAAATGTTAAAAATAATTTATCCGTGGACCAGAATTCAGGTGTTTCACCAGCTGTATATTTAACCCCTTAACGCATTTGCCCGTGTCTCACACGGGCGAAAGTTTCCGGCAAATTTGCACATGCCCGTGTCTCACACGGGCAGCCCTTGTATCTCGCGTTATTTTATTTCTAATGCTTGTCTGAGATCCGTTCCAGTAAAAATAAATAGGCTAGATTATAATTAAATGTATTTGACATAGATGGCACCACTATTTAGCATTTTTCTTGTGTAAACCACGTGGCGCATTTTGATGATTAGCTATAAGTTTGCTAGGAATTCTTTGCTATAAGGTAGTCGTTTGGTGTGGAAAAGGTAATATATCCATTTTTATTACGTAAATATAATAAAAGTAAGCAGTTAACTACAAATTATATTACTAAGTGTTTTTGTAATTTAAAAAAAGTTATCTGATAATGAGCGACTCTGACGATGACAATTTTGAATATGCCAATTTATCAGACAGTTTCAGCGATGAGAGTGATGATTTCTTGAGTGATGGAAGTGAATCGGAAGATAATGACAACGAGATTTTGGATATAGCAAGGAATTGGTATCAAATTAGTATAAATCAACCAAACGTTGCACCAGAGATTTCGATTTGAAGCTAACCCTGGCATGATTATGCAAGAAAAAAATAGGTGATTTTTTGACCGAAAATTAGAAATTAATGTGTGCCTTAAGGGGTTAAAGTATGCTCGCATCAATAATGGAGAAGAAATTACTGCAATCATAGATACGGGTTCTAGTTCGTGTTTATTGAAACAGTCTGCGGCTAAGAGACTGAATCTTATTATAAAACGTGATGTGGAGGAATAGTTTGGCTTTGGGAACCAGAGTAAACCAGCTGCTCTAGAACATTGGGAAAAGTAACTGTTAACTTAGAGATTGATAATGGGGAGGGAAAGGACATTACAGTTCTAATTGTAGAAGATGAAACGCTACCATGCGATTTATTAGTTGGTCGAACATGTATTGATTTACCACATATTGCATACGCCAAGATAGGTAATACCTTGCACATACGCTATGCTAATGACTGCCCATTTTCACAGTTGCAAAATGATAGCAAACACTCCGCCGAATTAAACTGAAGGCTTCCCAAGAAACTCAAATCGAAAGTAATACGCTTAATTTCGTGAAAGTTAAAACTGATGAAATAAATAACGGTTATGTTTTAATAAGTGGATCGGCAGATGACTTGGGCTCATTATTGGAAGTAATACAGGGAGAAACAGTGATACCAGTCACTAACTACAACGATGAAAAGGCAGCAACTCTGGACAATGATGGAAAGTTTGAAAATACAAATACTGTAAAAGTCACTAATTCCAAAGGTAGAAAATCACTGAAAAGGAAAAGGCTTCAAAGAAAATCGTTAAACAGAATACAAGTGAAGAAAATAAGTATCCTAAAAAAGAAGCTAGAAGTGATGGCATCAATGATATTAAAGAATGTAAGCCTATTCAAGAAAGCATTATAATCAAAAGCTTAAGAAATATAGTAATAAGTGTAAAATTACAGCACTTGAGAAAGAGTTTAATACAGGGAAAGAAAAAAGTTTACAAAAAGAAACTGTAATAGATATTTTGCTGGTGAAGAAACAAAATTAAAGGAAATAAGTTTGTTGAGAAACAAAACAAAGACAACCAGAGAAAGATATTGCAAAAGGAAATAACTCGGGAAGATGTAAATCCATCTGCAAAGCAATCTAAGATAAATGAGGGAATAGACAGATCTCCTAGAAAGTAATTACTGGTAAAAGAGAGCATCTAAAAAGGAAGAAGTTAAAGAAGAGATTGAAGATATGTAGATGAAAATGAAAGCAAATTATGACAAGACGAAAAGTAATTCTTTAACATTCGAACAAGGAGAAATAGTAGTTATGAGAAGAGTACCTAAATCAACTGGAGAATCAACCAAAACACAACAAAAGTATCGAGGACCTTTGGTAGTTACAGAAGTTTTACCAAGTGATACCTATAGAGTGACTCAATTAGAAGAGAAGGTGAAAGGACATTTCTTTAGTACAACAGCTCATGTGAGCCAATTAAAGTCATGGCAGTGTCAAGCTGAATCAGAAGAAGACGATGATGATGATGATGACATTAGTGTTACTGGGGATAACGATAACAACACGCCGCATATTACTAAAACTAGGACACGGAAAAAGAATAGAAAACGATGGTGAATCTATATGACAGCTAAAGACTTTCAAACTATAAACATTAATATTACAGATTTAATTTTTTTAAATATAAGTTCTTAATGTTCCGAGGTCGTAACTAAGTCA